CTTTTTTTCCTGCATGCATTTATGTTTTTAATCAGAAATGAGAACACGCATTGCCTGAGAGCTGGAAGACCTTGTAGGAGCCGATAATTAGCCGCTCTGGTTAATGGGCCTAACTGTGCTCGTGTGCTACATGACTCTCTGGTGTCATAGCGTGGCAGAGCTTGGAGGAGACAGTGCTCAGGGGTGATACACATGTGATTAGTCTCCTCACTTCACCACAGCCCTTTTCACACCTTAGCCTTGGCACACAAGCCTCTGGTGGAGAAAATTGCACACGCTAAACTGCTCTCACTAATCAGATCATCTCTGTGTTTAAACCTCTGACTGATCCGTGACCAGTGGTGGGGGTACGGTTTTTTTCTTCTATTGCTCGAAAGGAAAGGAAATGAAATAGTGAAACAAACAGCACTAAAAGAGTAGTGTGGTAAGTTTAGTATGTGTAATGCATTTGTGTGTTTGTATAGCGGCATGTATGCTAATGTGGATAAATATACAACTTGCCCTCGGCTGTGAATTATAAATTGGGCTAATAATGATACACTCACAGTCTATTGCTTCTTTTAAATTCACAATGGATCAAGATACAGCGGCTCCCTGATTGTCATGTTGTGCATCCTTCATTGTGCTGGGTTTGCTGGATATTTCACTTTGTTATGCAGCCAGTGGCTGCTTCCTTGGGACCGTATATCCATATTCATTCAGAACCTATAGAATGTGTCAAATAGAGGTGTCCTAATTGTGTCCTTGATGAAGAGCTATTAATATTGAACACTTTCCCATTCACCCGAGCGCCGGCACCGAGGAAATGTGTTTTCCCCTTCTTTCAGCAAGACAAAAAGCAGATCTGCTCATATCTCTAATGATACCTGATTCCCCAGGGGTTAGCGGCGAGACTAGCTGTGGCTTTAGCAGATTCATCAAACAAAATGTGGTGCTCTTTCCTCAGGAGGCTGAGAGTCACATTGCGTTATATCACTGTTAATTAGAATGAAATATGCAGTTCAATTATTCTTTTTATTGTTTCAATGTGCTAACTATAGAGCACTGATGTAACACCAAATGTTAGAAAGCTTAACACTTTATTTCCCCCTCTTTTTTTTCAAAGCCACAGAGCTGTTTTTTTCCCCCTCCACTTTTCTTAATAACAAAGGAAGCTCATAACTATTCAGCTCAGCGGCGCTTTACCAAAGCGTTTAACAGTTTGAAGGTTCTTGTACATCTCATAAGCAGTTCTGTCATGACTGTGGCAGTAGCTGGCCTGATTGGGTGGGTGGCCGTGTGTCTGCTCCCATGTGACATTGTTTTTTGAGGCAGGCGGGAGCTGTCCTGTGGCCGGTGTCAGTACCTAACAACCTCTGATCCTGGAACAGCAACTGTCAGGCCTGCACCTGTAACACTGAGACCTTGTGTTCCCCCATCCACAGAGCAGGGTTACGCTCAGACATGCTTTGCATCTCACCGGCACTCATTGGCCCAAGCAATCCCCCTGAGACTGGGCATGATCCCAGCTGTTGTCTTCATTTTAATGCACTCTGAATAATATTAAAGCAGAATCAGTTGAATTTATTAATGCAGCTTGCCCCTTAGAGAGATGCTTTTAAAGGCCAATGATTTAATTTCAGCTCTTAAAGGCCATCTCCTATTCTTGATGCTATAAAGAATTATGGTTTTTGCCATGTCTTAACACCACTGTGTACTCTGGGCCACGAAATGAATTATTTGAAAACTGGAAGTAGTGAAAACAGATGCTATTAGCGACCATTTTTCCTCTGTGTTGTTATCTCGGTCATATTCCCACTTCTACTCCCGGAGACAACATCAATCCTGGGTATTGTGATTTACATCCTCTATCACAGGAAGAAAGTAAAGCCGTGTGCCGTCTGGTTGAGTTACAATCAGGAAGGAAAAAGCAAACGCAGGCGTCTTTTTAAAATCCCTCCACGCAGCCTCATGTAGATGCGCGCAAGTACAAAAGTAATCAGTTATTGTCATAAACTGCTGATCTCTCCTTTAAAATTTCACACTCTCTCTCTGTGTTAATGCTGTACAATGTTTGCTCTGTACTGGTGTCAGCTGTCTGTCTGCAGGCAGATCATAACCTCTGCACCTTTAATTTAGGCCATTTGGGACTCGGAGCGCAGTCCCTGATCTTTCTGACCCGCTTCTCAGGTGGTACAAGCAAACCAAATAACACATGCATACAAGCTATAACACATGTAAGTCAACTATGAGTCGCGCTTTTCTCACTTTGTCCTACTGTGCGCAGTGTGCCTCTCAGAGAGGAGGTCACAGAACCTTAACAGCGCTGCACATGTAACAATTACTAAGGAGGTGCAAAGAGAAGTGGCTTATTCAAATGAGGAAGTTTTTTTTTCTTCTTTTTGCTATGCGTCTCTTTGTAAAGCAGCGCAGGACTGTGACAGAGAGAAAGGGTGCAGTATTCTCTCTCTCCCTGCACTCTCTGGTAGTTTGACGCCCGCTCCGGGGCTGAACATCAGAGGAGCGGCTGCTGAAAAAACAGGTTGTATGGGTCCTTGCACACAGCCTGCCTGTGGTGCTGCCTGAAGGACTGCCATGGAAACAAGGAGTGTGACAGGCTCTGGGGGGATCCGCCACAGCTGCAGGCACTTCCTTTTTGACAGCCTGATGAAGACATCACTGCCACATCATGCACAACAACAACAACAACTACTGGAGGAAAAATGTGATCAGACAATGTTAACTGCTGTGTGGCTCAAATGTTCATTAGCAGGCTTGTAAAACATCCAGGGATTTTCCCCACTGCATTCTGGGACCATATTGCACAGTGACTTCCTCTGCAGAGATTTGTGGTGCTCCCAGGGGACAAAACATTGATAAATAATTTCTAAAATATAATTATACCTCTTTGACGAAGGGCTTGTGCGTCTTTGGATGCATAGACAACTGTACATTGGCGTTTGAGTAGGTGGCATGAGTGTGCATTGGTGCACGCAGAGTGAATCACTTGTAGTCGATATGATCACTGACTATGAATGATACAGAGAAAAAGCAGGTCAGCTTTCAAGGTTTGAATCTGATCATTTAGACAGAGAACTGTACTCCCACATAACCTCTCGTAATGTCTGTGGCAGTGTTTGACAAATATCTGTGATATATCTGTTCATGACACAAATCAGTAAAACCTAAAGCTGTTTTTTTTTTTGGTGAAATATCTCTTTATTCGCCACTTAATTTTTTTCCTTCAGAGACTAAAATATCTGGACGCAGAACTTTGTTTGCAGTGACAACCACTAAAAGTACCCTGGGAGTTTTTGCTTAATTGGTTTCACCTCTTGGGGACACCTCATCAGGTCTTGCCAGAGATCCACTTGCACCCTCCCCTCTCGCCCCAGCTCTGCCTTCCTCGCAGCATAGGCCACCCCCAAACCCCCCCCCCACACTCCCCCGAAACCCCGATGGAGCCAAGAATGTAGGAGGGTCTCAGCCAGTGTGTGGGATTTAGCTCGTCAGAAGCTCAGGGTCACCTCCACACCCTCTCACTTTGAAATGGACCCCTGGTGGCAGCTCCTGGGAGAGCCCAGTGATGTCTCTATCAGCCTGTCAAAAGAGATAGCCCGGGGCTCCACCAGGTCCCCCTGAGCCAATCAAACTCCTCACAAAGCACAGATGGATGCTCTTTCACCAGCGTGCTACTGCTGGGAGGGGAGGGGGGGGGGGCACCTGCCAGCAATGCCCAGTCCCCCAATCAGCTACAACAAACTCCCATCGGTGGGGTCCGAGCCTCAGTCCAGCCCAACTTTAGTTCCAACTATGCATGTTTTAAAGATTGCTCGCCATTTGTTTTGCTAACAGACACACTGAGAGAAGATAAAGCGGGACGATCAGAATCCCACACACATCTGGTGGCAAAACTAAAATCTGACAGTCACTCTATAAATTCAACACGTCTATTTTGAGTTTCTTAATATTTTCAAAAGATCTTTCACAGTTTTTTTGCTTGTATTTTTAATAAAAAGATGCACAAAAAAAAATCTATACCAAATTGAGATGAATTTAAAGTGATGCCACAAGTTTTTCTTTGTGCTACAATCTAAATTTCATTGAGGAGACTGATTAAGGAAATTCTTCATCCGTCTTCTTGGAAAAACCGTTGTCTGCAGACGGATGGAAAAAGCGGCATGTGTGTAGAGCCATTAGATAGGCCAGGTGATTTTAGTGGAAATGTAAAGCACTAAGTGCCGAGGATGGAGGGAGTACTCTTTGTGAGATGAGCTCTTTCTCTCTTATCTGAACCCTGTTATTGTGAGAAAGCAACAAAGCACTGCATTAGGAAGCACACTGGAGCCACACAGCTTTGATGTGAGCTCGGTAACCAAGGCGCAGTGGTGGCCGGTGTGTGAGCTCTGTTCCAGCGGCTGTGTTGTGTAATCAGATGTGTTTACTGTGTATTCTACTGAAGATGTGGTGTAATCCATCCTCACTAGAGAGCAATAATTGAAAAAATATACATGCAAAAAAATAGATGGGAATCCTTTATTTGAGTTTTGCAAATTCTCCATTTGATGATGCTGACATGAAACAGGGTAAAAATGAAACTCAAATTAATCAGACAAACATGCATAAGTGTGACATACAAAAATAGAGTCAGATAGAAATTATACACAAAGTAACAAAAATACAGTTTATAAATATATATAAATTTGCTCTTTACAAAATCAAGAAAGATGATTTTTATTTTACATGACAAACCCTAAAGAAAATCAGCACAAAGTATTGTGATGTATCATTTAGAAGGTGCAACAAAATGTTCGATTATCTTCAAAAAAAAATTGTTGAACCATGTCAAACTTAAACTACACAGACACACAGATAAAACTCTTTTACACACAGTTTTGATTAAACTTCATCGTAAGGCAAATTTGTCAGTTTCACTAAAGTTAGAAAACTAAACATAGGTAAGCAAAACCCAAAGCTTCTCATTCCTTTTCTAAATCATTTCCAAAGACGAAGGCCCGGCCTCACAGGGCTTCTCTTTTCTTTACCTCCAGGCTTGTGATTGACAGCGCCATGTGCTGCCCTCCTAGCTGCTGCAGTTCACAGCCTCTGTCAGGGGGGTGGCAAACACACAAGCCAGATAGCGGCTGGCTGCCCCTTAGCAGCAGGGGGCAGAGTTAGGGTGGTACGATGGGGTGCAAGGGGTCATGGGTTCTGCTGGCACCGGAGCATTGTTGTCAGGTGGACGGCGCCATACCGTATTCAAACGGAGACCAGCCTTTCATCCAAGCCAAGCTTACTTTTTCTTCCGCGGCTGGCTGGTGGGCGCTCTCAGAGCGCTGTACTGCACCTGTAAAAACAAACAGGAGTTTGGTCAGAGGCAGGTAATCCGAGCTCAGTGGAGCGCACGGTAATGGCTCCCCTGAGGAGAGCTGGTGCAGGGGAAAGCGAGGCGGGCTCGCCTGTAATGAATCATTTTTTAAACACAGGAGCAGAGGGGATTAATCACAGGGAGGAAGGATTTGAAGAGTCAAGGGTTCTGTACCAGTGTACGCCCCCCTCATTCTGCACCACAATCACAATATTAGAAACAGACATCAACTGTTGAGATGACCTGCCAGGCTGAGCAGGAGTTGCAAACTGCATAATCACTCAGTCTAAGTTATGTCCCCTAAAGAAAACTTTGTTAAAGCTGAGAATAGTAGCAAGTGTTGTTTATACTGACAACACGGTTCGAGGTGTAACTTTGTTCAGAGCTTCACAGGTCGACTTTTTGGTGCAACTTTGATTTCTTCAGGGAAAAAGAAAGCCTGAAATAAAACATTTGAATCAACAACTTTTCCTTCGTCTTCTTTTTGCATGATGAAGAATCAAGCTTAATATAAATACCACAACTCCAGAAACTCCTCAATGATCAGACCGATTTGTAAATACATTTATGTTGTGCAATCATGTTTCCTTTAACATTTCAAAATTCTAATTCATTCGTCCAAAATTTCCTTTTTTTTTTAACCAAAAACCACCACTATAATCCACAGAGGGCTGATCATAGGCTGAAGTGAAATAAGAAGAGCTGGAATTTGCAAAGTTGCTTTTGAAGCCTGCTTGCTGAGCTCAAACAATACGGTGAATCTGTTGAATAAAGGTAAAAAAAAAACCCTCTATGCTAATTAGCTGGTGTCCATTATTAGAATGGGAGATGGAATGTGGGAACAAAGTGACTGCCTCCTGCATCAGAACATGAAACTGTCCTCAGAACTGACAGATGCTTCTTATTTCAGGACAGACACTGCGTTGTCAGAAGTCCCCGTTTGAGAAAGACTTTGTAGATGTGCGCAGGCACTAATTGCCAAGTCACATTCGCAAGAAAGACAGGAGTCAATTTTCAGTCTTTGTGGTGTTTTTGTGTCCACACCTATCTGAGGATTGAAGTTCTAAGTCAACAAAAACAAAATATGTGGTCTATTGTTTTGGGTCTCCTGTGTATATGATGTTAAGGTTATTTTTTCACAGTATGTAATGAAACACACTTGTGATGAATCTTAAGGGTGTTTTGTTTTTTATGATTGGAGCTATTTTCAAGATGTACTTTTTCTTTTAAACCCGGCTAAAAAGTATTGTCTCCATGAGATTTGAAAGTGAGTCGTTTTCAAAGCTCAAACGTTGTATCCCTATGGGGAAGAAGACATACAAAGGATTCTGAATCAAAATGTATTCACCACCTTGTTTTGCCAACTCAGTCAGCCAAATCTCAAACAACACAGGCTCCCTCCAACATCACAGACAAGTCAGGAATGGCTTGCTGCAGGAGGACATCAAGGGTGCAGCAGAGAAACAGACTGGGGTGAGAGTGTCTTTCCAGATCCAGACTGTCAGGATTTCTCGCTGAATTCCGTCTGGCGAGTTACCTGCTAGATGAAGGCACTGTGTGGCACTTCATTTCCTGGCCGAGCAAAATTCTCAGCCGGAGAACGGAGAGCACCCGATACCAGTTACAACAACCTGACAGCTCTCCTCAGCTCTGTGATGTAAATGAAAATGACATATCAGCCATGGTTAATATGTAATCACATATGGCACCCTGCAAGACGACTGGGGCTCACGACTACATTAATTGACTCCGCCACCCTGAAGTGACTGAGGCCATCAGAGTTTCCATGCTGACACTTCAGCCGGAGACGTCAGAACCCCTCTGTCGGCTCTTTTGGCCAATCACCAACTTCCGTGTCACAGTGCTTCAATCGGACAGACAAAATTGCTAATAACGGACCGGGCTGCGGCAATATGGCTGAGGACAGATCTGAGCATCTCCTCACTCAGGCGCTGTGGCGACTACACAGAGCTACACCGGGGAATAATTGGGCCAGAGCTGCTTTAAAAGCGAGAGTCCATTAATAATCAAACAAAGCTGGAGGATACATTTCTCTAACGCTTGGGAATTCTGGTACAGCAAATAATGGCAGCATCTTTAGGGAATTCCCTCCTATCTGTATGTAAAATTGGACCCTTACCTTTTGAACATCAGAAGGCACCCGCTGAAGGAAATCCAGTATTTCATTATTGTCAATAGCGTACGGGTTGCGCAGCTTCTTGGTAAATTTGTTAATGCCTGTGAAAACAAGTAGACATAAATAAATAAATACAAGCGTCGCACCAAGCGGCGTAATTTTACTCGGTTTTGCTGCGTAAAAGACAGTCATTAAAAAAAGTCGTGTAACCCCTCCTGTGTTTATATATATATGTGGATTATCACCGGTGTTATGAGTAACTTCGTTATAAGACACTTTTTCTACCAAACTGAATTCAAGCCTGATCAATAAGGTAACGACAAATCAGTAAGAGCAGATGACGATGAAAGCTTTACTCTTTAAAAAAAAAAAAAAAGGTGCACTTTCATGACAACTTCTTTTCACTTTTCTTTCTTTCACTCTGATTTGTAGCGCATCTATATTTACTTTGGCCCTGTACCACAGAGAAAACACCATCTCTGGGGTCTTGTAATAGGGACCATTATATTCACAGCTTGGTACTGCCTGTACCTCAACATGCAGACAAAGAACCTAAGGACTTAAATATGTGCAAGCAACTTGAAAGGCTTGCCTTGAAACCACAGAGATGGGGGTTAACTGGGGAGGCAGAGGAGTGTCTCAGACTGTGTGTTTTTTGTTTGATATGATGGTTTTTTAGTATTGATTGTGTTGAAGGCAGTGTGGAAGTACAGTGGTTGTGGGCTTACAGCTGGAGGAGGAGGAGAGCCTGTTAAGGGCAGCGCATCTCCCTGACCACTGAGATGACTGTCTATTCTGTATGACTACAGCAGATAATGAGAGGCTAGACCAGGAGCCTACAGACTGCCCAAGGACATCATGTATTATATACAGCTTGCTATTCTACCACTGCTTTGTTTTCACACAAACCCTGGGCCTCGCCTCTGCTGGGCTCGGCTACATCTGCCCACACTGAGCAGAGCGAACCTCTGCAGCTGTCTGATCTCTGTGCATCTGCAGAGGTGTGGGGATGGCTGCCTTCTTAAATTATTGTACTTCATTAAATCATGGACTCCCGGTTAGGAACGCTGAAAAAGCATTGTATTGTGCGACAAAGCAGCACGAGTCGCCTTTTATGCCATTTGTGAGTCTCTGCATTAAAAGACTTTATATAAAACACGGTGGGAGTAAGTTAGCGTTTGGTTTTCACCCATTACACTTTCAATGATGTATTTTCTACGATTTAAATCTACTGAAGAAAACTTACCCCATATCAGAACAATATATCGCAGTGGGATAAAATATAACAGCGCGGTTCCCACAAACAGCACCAAGCAGGCCAAGCATGACATGAACGGGACGGACCAGTTGAAAATGCTAAAAACAGAGAGAAAGAGTCAGTTTCATCAAACGGTTCATTTCAAACACAGATACTTGTGGGACAAATAAAGAAATGGTCGATTACTTCTTGGTTCGCTCCCCGATATTTGCGATTTCCTCCAAAACATTTTGGACGACCAGCACTACTTCCTGAACCATATGTATCTTATCCATCAAACCCTTTTTTCCAGATTCCTAAAATAGAGAGACGGAGAGAAAAAAAAGCACACAAACACTGATGAGGTACACTGTATGTCAATTGTTGGGCAGGGTAGACAAAGACCAGTTTATCTCAGTGATGCTATTATGTGTGATTTATCTATTCAATGGCCCATAATGAGCAAACACTGTACATCTTCAGACTCTGCTTTTGAAGATGAGACAGACTCAGGGTTTAGAGGCTGTTACGTGGATGGATGAAAGATTTCAGCTTTTGTCCGCCACATACAATAGAGCTGCTGCACGAGTGCAGCACAATCAAGACTCTCTGGTAGATGAAAAGTACACAAAATGGCCATCTGCAATCAGGCAGACGAGACGACCCAGACGAGAAGAGCAGGGGCCCACAACTTAGGAAAGATTTGATTCCAGCAGCCTGCACAGGACACGTCTGAACATGTTTTTACTAATTTGTCTCTGTGTGAGAAAAACACTTCACCTCATCTGGATAGTTGGTTGTGTACTTGTTCACCATTGCACTTATTTCATTTAGGAAGACATCATGGCACATAGTTTGATTTGCCTTTAATGTACTGGCAGTATAATGAGCCTGATAATGCGATAAGACGTATGTAAGTTTGTGTGAGTGTGGGGGGTGGGGAGTGGGTAGAAGGTCTGGCCTTCATAATGAAAAAAAAAAATTCAGTCACAACTAGTCTGAAAATAACGAGCCTGAAGCCTTCCAGAGGCAGAGGAGTGACCAAGATAACACGAATAACATAAGCTAAAGAGGGCTGAGAAGCCTCACATCAAAAGATGCTATAATGACAGGAATGATGACAGAGGGTGGACGAGGACGAGTGAGAGGGGGGAGGGGGAGGAAACGCTCTGATGGACTCTAACAGGAGGTTTCAGCATGACTGTATGTTTACGTTACAAGTCAGCTGAATCCGCAGCCTGAGTGCATTGACAGGGTCCAGACTCAATGCCTTTATCAGAGCCTCATGAGGCCGCCCCTGAGAACACACTCACTGCCAGCACAGAGAGACTCCCCACTGTCAGGCCCACTCTGCTCCACCAAAGGCGCAGGAAGAGAGCAATTCCCACACTAGCAGAGCCTCCCCCTACTGCGCTGGGGTCTGGACAGACACTGGAGGCTCCGCATTGTCCAAAAAAGGAAAAACTATCACAAACATGCACGGGATTAAAATCTCATGGTCTCATCTTGGGTGAAACAGACCGTCAGGCTCCCTGCATTATCTCACTTCAATCCAGAGCATTGGGGGGAGGGATGAGCAAACCTCCATGTGTCTTCTGCTCCACATCAGGTGTTAATTGAAGTTTTTACTCAAAGTTTATTTTGAAAAGAAACAACTCTGCCAGAATCGGCTACGTCTTTACGTTCCAAGTCATTGAGCTCTTACTGGACCCTGAAACCATGCATTGAGCCTCATCACACACACACTCATACGCCTTTTCATATTTTTCACTGAAAGTTGTAAAGCAGCTCGATTACATGATTAAAAATGCAGGCCTAATAGGAGATATAAAGCATTATTTAACCGCACTACATACATATGTAAGGTAAATTCGCCCAGAAACGCAGCTCCAGCAGTTAAAAAAGAAACCATATTGTCTTTCATTTCTAAAAGAAAAGCAGGCAAATAGATGTTCTCTGAAGTGCGCATCGAGAGGCAGAGCTCTCATCATTATCATTATTCATGTGGTTTAAGATTCTTGAAATCCTCCATCTCCTTAGCGACCGAAACTCCAAGTCCTGGTCCTTCCAACATTAATCATTTGATGATATTCTTTATCTTTGTTCACTTTTCTTTTCACTCTGTACACGAGTACAGAGGAAACAAAAATAAATAAAAGATCTCCTTCTGAAATGGAAAAGGATGGGCAAACTGGGGACGGACTAAATGAATCCTAAATGTCTCCTGATTAGAAAACCTGTGCGAAATCATATTCTCATTTCAGATAAAATTGTAAAAGCTTCCTTTTAAGGTGCAGTAATGGAGAACCAATTTGATCTCCTGCGCAAAGGTAAACATACTCTCACAGACATGTGGGGTGTTATCAAAGGCTGGAAAAAGCTCATTTAGCATCACTTTAATTAGAATAAACGCTGCCAAATTTGAATTCTAGGACTGCATGTTTTTCTCGTGACTTCTCTGACAAAGATAAAAAGTGCATTTGAATGAAAAACACCTGTGTTCCTGGCAAATTATCTCACATGGAGCTAAAATAAGCTAACAAACAATTTTCCGGGATAAAACACCACCAAAGCTCTCAGAGGCTTTAATTAGACGGTGGGTCCATGTGCTGAATCTCTCATGATGCACGCCACCGATCATGACATGGGCAGTCGTTCTAACCGGTGGGCTCAAGGAGAGCCAGCGGTGACTGCGGACTACTGGGTGAGATGGAGTAACTCCTGAGAACCAGTCTTGCACCCCCCACACCATCTCTCCACCCTCCCCTTCAACCCCCAACTCCCTTGGGGTACACTCTGGGAGCAAGGCAACCCCAGACCAGCAGTGCCAGCCGGGGGGCAATGAAAGGGCTGTTTCATCTTCCCTTTTCATTTCTGCTGGAGATCTATGGACTTGTTTTGCCTCTCTGTTTCTTTATGTTACGATTAAATATTGTCTATCTGCACAATTGATACCTAAGGCCAAAGGGAAGTCACTTTGCCCACACATAATTTGTAAGCTGTCTCTTTCCCCGAGGACAGATTTGTTCACAGGCAAAGAATCTGTTCTGTATTATCCTGCTGTAACACTGCCTTGCCTTTCGTCTCTCTTTAACGTCATGCCTTCACATTCTTGCAGCTCTGTCTGAGGTTTGAATATTTCCTTCCTCAAGGGGGAAAAGGGGGGATAAAAACATATTTGAGTGGTAATCATAACCTTCTCAGAGGGAAAAGCCTTTATTCGCATGTTGGAGAAAAAACTGGAGGAAAAAAAGGAAGAGCTTTGAAGTCATCAAATTTAACACTGATCACTCTTTAACCCCAAATATTTTTAAAGAAGACTTTGATAGGAGGTGTAAAGCTACACTGCTTGATCTGACTGCATGATATCACATTCAAGTGACAGGGAGACCATAACAAGACTTTCAAATAAGCCACTTTAAATTAAAGCTGACAGCTTAAAACAAACATGGGTGACTGCTTAATTAGTAAATGAAAGGAGATATTTCATTTCCTCAGAGTGTGAAAGGGCTTAGGAGGTTTATGGAAAACCTTTCAAACAGCTTTCAGAGACGAAGGCTGAGTTCAGAAGCACATGCGACGTATTGAGAGAGAGTATTAAACCTTTCTCAAACCGCCACCATTTCTTTAACTATAAACACTCTCTATTGAAAGCTGAGATTTTAAGGTAAAGAGAAAGACTCGAAACCATTGTGTGTGCAGCAGAAATAGTATATTTAAAACATAAAGCTAATCCCTCCTGATTCAATCTTCATAAATACGCTGAATTTCTGTGTCACTGCTGTTTGCTTAAGCACCCGTTAGCCTGTTCTAAGCAATGATAGCAAGTGTGGTTTCCCACATTGTGTGCACAGACATATCATGCGAGTTTTATCTGTGAATTAGCCCGTCCTTTCAGACAGGATTTGGTGGATGTGCCTGTGTTTTTAAAAGAATCTGGCTTTTTTTGTAGCCTCGGGTCATCACAACAGAATATATTGAGCGCATTATGGATATGAATCCTGGGCCTAGACACGCAGCACAAGGGTCATTGCTTGGAGGCTTTGCGTTAGCTCCACACTTCATTGCCATAAAGCAATAATACACATCCCTGTTAACTCTTCCTTCTTTACAAAAAACAGTGGGATGAGTTTAATTGAATATTATGTGCTGAGGGAAAGTATAATTTTCAGGCTACTTAAAGATTTCCTGTTGTTTTGTTTGCAAGAGACACTAGAGGGAAATATTAATAAACATCACCATTTATGATTTCTCAAAACCGGGCGAGTGAAACGGCTGATAACCTTTAGGGCAGAGTATACTGTTTACTGCTGTGTTATTGTACTTTGTTCATTTGTCTCAGTAATAAAAGGTCATTCTAAACATAACTCTCCAATTTAGACGATGATGATACAAAAATATCGACTGATTCTGCACCCAAAAGCTGTGCAAAATCTAATTGACAGTGCTGTTTAAATTTGATTTATAGATTTTCAAAGGGCTGCATTATCTCGGCGGAGCACATTTGTAGAGTGACACTGAATACCCAGAGGAACACACAAAAGGACTACATGCTACAACTGCTGCATAGATGTTGCCATCATTTGGGATGCAGGAAAACATTTCTATTCTTAGTCAGAAAAGAGCTTCTGAGAAATCCGTCACCGTTACTATGCTTAACAAAAAAAGACTAAAACCTGCACTGCTCTTTGGGAAAATGTCTCCTGTTTTCTAAGACGCGAGCTCTCAATCATGACATTGAGACACATAGGTATGCAGTATTTCCGGGACTAAGAATTTCTACACACAAGAACGTTTGACTTTGGGTTTTAGAAATGAAACGCTAGCCTTCTAAACAAATTTTTTTCCATTAGCCGCAGAGTGTGTCAATGTTCATGGTAAACCGTTAAAGATACATTTTTATATTCACAATGAAAACCTAGATAGAAAGATATTATCTGCTGAAATGTTTGAAAGAGACAAGATAAAATACCTTCTCGTCCTCCTCTTCGTCGTCACCCATGCTCATGTTCACCTAAGAGATAATAAAGGGTAGTGGGTGATTTCAAACAAACGGGACATGTGGGCACTGGAGCATTTTTAACAAACACCTAGTAATGAAATTTTCTTTGAGTACATTCACCCCTATTGGGAGAGGCTTGTTTCCATAGAGACTGCATCACAGGGGTGACCTCATACAAAAGGAGAGGTGAAAGAGGGCCTTCCTCACAAGAGCACTGTCACACCAAAGCAATCTCATTTCTCCACAACATAAGCACACAGAAAAACAGAAAAGAGGGGGATAAAAAAAACCAACACATTTAATTTGGATGCTGTTGCCTAGATCACTTTATATCAAGTCATCCCTGACCCCAATGTGGTGCACGATGTGACATTGCCTGGGAACAGAGCTGTGTCATTGCCGGCCAGAGGGTCACAGAGGGGTGGCAGAGTCTCCACACTAGATATGAGGGTGAGCTCGGGCTTTAACATTGCCCAGGGGCGGCATCTTTGCCAGCAGCCATAAACACAATCACCGGGGCTGGGTATGTTGCTTTGGGGAGGGGGTGTGGGTAGGCCAGGCCCCTAGCTGGCCGATGAGAAGGCTTACAACACAGTGAAATTGAGGGGCAGTTGGAAGTGTGAACAGCATTAACCTTCACAAACATGTGTAGGGCAAACTGAATTACCATAAATGTAGAAGGAGAGGAGATAGTAGCATGTTGTGAGGGGAACTATGCGTTTACAGATGTGGTGATACTGTATAAACAGACTAAAGACTATAAACACTTTTTATAGTGATTTCGTCTAAGTGATCTTACTGTTATGAGTTTGTTGGGCCAATGGAGGCAATCTAGAAAGTAATTAAAGCAGCTATAAAGCATAAAGTAAACGGCTAAAACTGAGAGCGCAACAGCTCCTGTGATTTACAGTGTGCACACAGCACTGGGAGTTTTTAATTGACGTGGCGGTAAAAGCTGCATTCCCCCAACGTGTGCCAAAGGATTCCCCTCTATCAGGGTTTGACCAGAGTCAGGTTAACATATAGATTGAATTTGCACTATAACAGCATGTGTCTACAGATGTATATTGATGAATACCGAAGAGTTCTTGTCACTCACCAGGTCTTGGTTGGAGCTGGCCTTGCCTGTGGTGAGCTGAAAGTACTGCCAGCCGATGAGCAGAAGCAGGAACAGGGGCAGCATGAAGAGCTCCCAGTGCCACACCGTCAAGAGGAAGATCTGAAGAGACAGGACATGACAGTGTAACGCAAAACCCGTCACACTATAGCAGGAGGACACAGCTTTCAAATCTCATCTTGCCCGCTCCCAAAACAAAATATATAATGGATTTAACCACATCCTAAATCTCATAAAAAGCCCTACAGACTGTAAATCCTCTGAGATTTACAGCCAGTGGCAACAGATTTTACTCTTAGTGGTTTGAAAGTAACAGACATTCAGGGACAACTTTTAATATCTTGAAATCCTATTTATATACACCAATAACACCGCGCTGGCAGGGTGCCTTACTGCTGAACAGAAAGTATGACATGGATAGGCATGGTATGCTGTCTTTTAACTAGCACATCAAATCCTCTTAGATTCGGAGGCAGCGAGGCTCTCTGACGAGGCGCATATGGCAACCGGAGAAGCAGTTGCAACATTTACCCCCTCCATGGCGATGATACTGAGAAAAGCCAAGACCCCTGGTAGAAATAAGATGGATCACACTGAATGAGTAATCCCTCATAATTCTGTAAAGGAGTGGTGCTAAGCACGTTGCACAACACCCACTGCATTTCACAGCAGAGGACTAATTGGACGGCTGCATTTAAACCAATTTACTGACAGCCTAATGAGTCTATCTCCAACTGAAATGATCGGGAACGTGTGAGGAGGATCACACCAGCAGGTTGACAGGGATGAAATAAAAATGTGCCCCAGCAGCAAGTTGAATCTTAAAATCCATTATAGTGTAATTATGTGGCAATACACTCGACATATGCTCCATTTTTTATTTACAGACCATACCTTTTTATATAATCAATGAATCCTTATCAATTCTCAGATTCATCCTACTTTCAGTGACATTATTTTTTGCATTTTTTTTTAAATATTGGATAAAGTGGCCGTGCAGAACCAACACAATTGTTGCACAGCTCAGATTCAAAGAGCTGGGGGCTACTTGGAGTATGAACAATATGCTCGAGTTAAACCCGAGACAGTATGTGAAGCACCGGGGCCTGAAGGCCTCAGTAGCAGGCCTGTAAACAGCAGACTGCTCCTGTCATAGCGGCTGCACAGAGTCCGTGTATGTTGCTCTGGGGGCCAGTCTACCTATTGCCACACCAGGCGTAGGTTCAAACGACCACCAGGGAAATGTGAACCATGAGTAAGGCAGATAACACTTTGCCCCACAGCCCTAGGCTTCACCACTGTCCTGTCCATTATCCCTCAGAACAACCTGGGAGATCACACGAGAGCCACAGAGTCATGCAGAGCCACGGCGGGGTGAGCAACATAAAGAGAAATGAACAATACGAGCAATATGTTTTTAGCTATTTCATATTAGAGCCCCTCTGAATTACATATGCAGCGACAAACTAGAGCCAGTGGGGGATAAAAAAAAGGTAAACAATGAATATGCATGATGCACAGAGGTAGCTGCAGTACATCTCCTCTCTGTTATGAATAACCTACGTCATGTGTTGTCACCTCAGTTCCCATGAGGGGATTCTACAGCAGCGCTACCCTCACCCCAGAGGAATTCAGCTGGCTGGTGGACAGGTAGCTTGTCATATTCCCAGTATTCTCGTAAAAAAGGGAAGAGAAAAGAGGTAAAAATGTGCCTGGAAACTGACATGAGCCCAGCAGGAATGTTGAACCTCCTTGCCCTCCCTGCAAAAGCTGCTACATTAACCACTAAAGTCTAATTGCTTGGTCTCTGTCTTCCTGTGCAAGTCAACAGAGGGAGCCAATTCATTTCCACCCAGGGAGCCGGTAGAGAGAATCTGTCACAGGTATTCATAATCGCCCACTAATGCAAATTTCTGCTCACTGCGTTCTGGCTCAGTGGACAAGATAAAAGCCTACAGAAATACAATGCCTTGTGTCTAAACTGAGTGCTTAAATGAGGGTATAAACCAAAACTGTCAGAAATATCTTCTCAATTCCTCCCTCATAGTGTGTCAGCCCATGTGTTCAGGATTTACATGCTTTTTTAACACTAATAAAAACGCTGGAGAGAAACATCTGGGAGAACCTCTCAGATTCCTTCACTCAGGTGCACACACTGAGACTTCGCCGTCAGACGTGCCGCAGTAATGAGCGGAGGCAGGACTATACCTTCCCCCTGTCTCCTCACATTCTCCAGCGTTTCTGTGAAACGGAGACAGAACTAATTCCCCTCTAAGTGGTTTATGTTTTATTAGCAAGCAGCTGAGTGATTAAAGGACATGTTGGACAAAGAGCAACCTTTCGGGCGCGAGTGTAAATTTGTGTAGAAATAAAAAATCCACATTTTAATTGCCACATAAGACGGGCTCCATTTCAGTCTTAAGGGGGCCAACTGCAGATTTGTTTCATCCTTCAACAAATTATTCGTGACAAGTAAAAACCTTGAACTTTGCAAAGACGACAGTGCTAATATGTTGCACGCGAGGTAAAACTGTCATTATTTACCTAAACGGGACATGGAGCAACAAACAAACACAAGCGGGTGACAATTAATGATATATCCGAGCATTTAGGTTTACACACAGCAGAATTGGATAACGAACGACTTGTAATTGAACAAGTGTGAGTATGTATGTCTTGGAGGAGTGTCTCTAAAGTAGAAAACCTCCCTTGACAAACACCATTTAGCTGAAAAATGTCTGTATGATTATGCAGAGGGTGCCTGGGGAGGAAAAAAAAGAATGAATTAATAAAACTATTAGCGTACGGTGGAGTAGATGATGGAGATGCACTCTCCTTAGCCACCTGTAAGCGCTTGGAGAAGGGGGCAACCCCGGGCAGTGCAATTCTGCCAGCAGGGTTAAGAACAGCCTGACAGATTTGTTTTATAGTGCCATTAATATGATTCCACTAAATGCATTCTGCGCCTTCTCATGCAGATCCCCTGGCCAGCAGAATCCAGCACCTAATAATAAAGCACTCAGCGATTAAAAGTGTGAATAAAATAACTTAAAGCTGAGCAAGCATGGCAGCTCCCACCACCCACACTCTCCCAGGAGAGGGAGAAGGGATCGTAGCAGGAACAAAGGGACAAAAGCATCCTCTGTAAGAGTTTCTACCATCCTGTAAATTGATTAAGAGGAGGTGGTGGCCCAGTCTACCAACCAAACCACTGATTGGCAGACATGGCACCAGACTGCGAGACTGCCAAAAGCTCCCCTTGCACACCACATTCAACAAAAAGCTATAAATATAGGCATCACATCAGCAAAACCCATGTTGTGCTGTTAGTGAGACAAATAAATGGGATATTACGGCAAATTAAAGCCAAGCAGAACTATCACTAATGCATCCAAAAAACCACAAACTGAGGAGATAATTCCTACGGCTTTTGAGGAAGGTAAATGTCTTTTTAAAAATATATTTTCAAGACTATGCATCATAAAAAAACTGTGTGTATCTACACTATTCACTTGCACACCACTTGGAAAGCTAAACAAAGCAAGAGGAGCGCCAGCCAGCTTTATGAGGGTCAGTCATGGGGGCCGTGGATAGATGCCAGATTACGTATACTGAAAGAGTTTAACAAAACAGACTACAGGCTAAAGAGTCTTTTTTTCCTATGAGTGTGTGTGTGTGTGTGTGTGTGTGTGTGTGTGTGTGTGTGTGTTTGTCTTTTTGTTTTTGAAAGGACAAGGACATCCTGTGGTTTTGACTAAGCGCAAGTATGGGACAAACAAACAAACAAAAAAACAGAATTAAAATGGTACAAATATATCTGCAATTTTAAAAAAAGAGAGATTAATAATGAGTCAAAGGCACAAGTAGCAGCTCAGCTCATGCAGGTCTTCCTTTCTTGCTCCGGCTGAAACAGAGTCTGGCTGAGGGCTTGTGTAGGGGACAGGAGGAGCGGCAGGCTTTAAAGTAGCTGTAAATGCAGAGCAATGAGACATGTAATTTGTGTTGAGCTCGGGCCAGTGTGGGGACAGGCTTTCAGGGGGTGTCAGAGGCAGAGGAAGCACAGATAAGATTTCTCTTCAGGGCAGGTAGAGTGTGTGGGCAGCTATGGCGCTCTGAGCAAACACTGAATAAATATTTCACATATGCTCAGCTCAAGTCTTATCGACTGGGGAGAGTGAGTGAGAGAGAGAGAGAGAGGGAGAGAGACAGACAGAGAGAGAAGAAGAGAGAGAACGCCCATATTGAGTGAGTGCGATAAATTGGGGAATCTAGTGTCCCTCTCCAGCTGGGGGAAATCAGCCGGAACAATTTTAGAGAGTGATGCAAATTTTACTTGAATTCTGAAATACAGATACAGACGTGCTGATATTTACTGCCCATAAATTAGGAGGTAGCTTAATTTCTTATTTAATTTACAGTTATCAGTAATATATCTCTCTATATTGCCTTCAAAAAGTAACAAGAATAAACATATTTATAAAAAAAACGTAAGCTATGAGCTACAAAAAATATATTCCTCAGTTTAAGTCAAATGCTAAAAATAGCCCATAAAAATTCTATTATTTAGTCTAATAGTACAGTTATTGTGAAAATCTGACTGTTCACAAAGGTATGACTAAGAAAGATGAAAAGTATCTGTTTGTGAGGATATTTTCAAAGGGCAGTGAGTGATTGTTACAGAAGAGGAGAAGCAACCGTGCAGAGCCAAGTAGAAGCGTTGCTCACAGGGCAAGCTCTGGCCGTCGTCTCCCAAACTGTCTGACACATGCCAGGGCCAGAGTAGCACCACTACAAGGCTGCAGCTGGGCAGTCGTTGGGGGCCCCATGGTGCCTGTCAGTGGTGGCTACACTGACCCCGCACTCCGGCACTGGCCACTAGTGTTTAATCCGTGTCGGGAGCGTTAACACTGAACGACCTCCTGGGTGACAGATCTGCCATGCGAGCCTTTTCCCCTGAGGAGATGGGGAAGGAGTGGCACGGACTCTCTCTCCCTGTCAGCTCAGCTCACACGCACGTTAATGCACAAGGGCCAAGACCAGCCCCGGAACAGCCACACACAAGGGCGGGCGGGTCAGCGCCTCAGCTGCCTGGGGAGAGGTGTCCTCTGTGACTTGGAAGGTGGCGAGTATGTTAAAGGCAGTCATTATGATACGGCACACACAACGGGGTTAAACACAGAGCATACTTCATCTTGGCTGAGAGAGACAGGACTTAAGCATCAGTACAATTACGAGCGCAGCACAAACACAAATAAAACCTCTACTTTGGAGGCGACACATTTATTTAGCGGCTGATTATAAATCTGAAGACACTCGACTTGTTTGTACTTGAAAGTTACTCCAGGCTGTTTAATAATGCCTACTGATAATGATACGCTTAAATTGAATCAAATGTGTTCTCGAAACTAAAAATCTGTGTCCTAAAACACGTGAAATTGAGAACACTTTCACAGCTCTAATGAAGTGAATATTAGCAGAGAAGGCTTGTTAATCCCACTAATAAGGGGACATGTTTCAAGGTTACGCACAGCAACAGCCGAGGAGCTGTCAACTGACACACAGTCAATCAGGGCGGCTAAATAATAACACTGTGTTAAATCGTGAGGCGATGCTGAGCAGTCTGCAAGTAGTCATATCCTATCATTTAATAATTAATAGATCTCTCAGACCCAATCAGATGAATACACACATCGCCATCCCTGCCATCTTTTTCTTCCTACTTGACACATTCCCACTGCAGTGAGTCTGTGAAAACTCCCACAGCCAGGGAGATGGAGAGCGTAACCCCCAAGGGACTGAAGAAACCCACTCCTTTAAGGCCTCTAACTTTTTTTCCGAGGGAGACAAAACAGATGCAGAAAAGAATCAGGGGGGAGAACTCGCAGGCATGTACAGTCCTAAAAAAAAACCTCGGACACCCGGTACTGCAGTAAAATCACAAACACTCACTTCTAAAACTCACAAAGGATCTCATTTTCAGGGACGGTGTTAACAAGAACAATTATGACAAGTCTGATTACGGCTTTGATCTTGGCCGGGCTGGTGCTCTAGTTAATGGCCCCGACTGCTGTGGCTCAGCACAGGTGGTCTCCTGAGACCTCTGGAGCCAGATCTGACCCTGTCCTGCCCTCCTCTGGGCAGACGATGATTCTATCATCCCTCCCTAAAAAAAAAAAAAGTGCCCGCTGCAGCTGCCAAGTGTGTTTACAGCTGCACCGCATCAAACATTCATCAAATGCCATCTTTACAGTGTGTGATGTGAGGCAATCAGCATTTCACAGGCTGTCAAATGATGTCTAAAGCGGTTGCTACCTGGCAGTGTCAAAAAGAAAACAGTTCAAAAACTCACATAAGGTATACCAGGTTCCTTTCTAGTCTAACTCCTGACAGATGAGGTACCTCGTATGTTAAAATATTAATTCTACTTAAATACTTAAAGAGCTCTAATGACAGCAAAGCTCAAAATCAGCTTTCAAGTGTAAATGATCCTTTTCTTTTCTTTTTCAACTTTCATGCATTTCATCTAAATCAAAATTGTTCCCAACTTTAAACTTCTGAAGCAGATTAATTTGGCCGGCTAATTCATGCTTAGTTTTTTTTTCCTCCTCTTTTTTTTTTTCTTATTGAGGAAACTTGTGTCTCTTGGTTCTAATGCACAGAATGGAGGATTTCACTCCAAGTTGTTCCCACAAATGGCTCCTGTTGGGAAAAGTAACCGATCTCCACCTTCGTTGGTGTTTCCAGCAGTGCTGTAGCGCCATCTACAGGTCGGGTTTTTGCATGCAGCAAAGAACTCTGGGTGACCCCTCTGCAGTCACTGCTGATGTATAGCACATTCATCTCGCTCAGTGTTAGTGAAAGCACATCTAAAGGCGGTTATTTTATGAAGATTTTCGCTGTCACATTTTCTCTCTCTCTGAGAAAAGAACATGCTGTTGTCAAACTCTTGAAAAGAGCAGATCCCAGGCTCATTACTGTAGCATAAACAAGAGGAGGAGGAAAAAAAAATCTAAATTTCTTGTTTGGATTTCCGCTCACTGATGAAAATGTTTATGAGCATTTGCCAGAACTTTGTATAAACGCGTGAGAAAGAGTTTTTTCTTTCTTCTTGTTACCTAATTAAAGAGACTATTTTAAAACTGCTTTCACACGGGTTGAAAACTGAAGGCAACTTCAAACAGTACGGTCTCTGCAGATGAGGTTGCACAATCAAAACAGGTAACCTTCTACACCTGGAAACAATGACAATACTGCAACTCTTTCCATTCGCTGCAGGGTTTCCTTTCAAACAATATCACTCAGTAGCAGCTAAAAACCAAATAAACCACCAGCCTGTAAATGCCAATTTTAAATGTTCCTCCATGTGAACCTTTCTGATTGTCACTTATGAGGGAAAAGTTAACTTGATCTGAACAAAGAAAACTTCTCGAAGGAAGAAAAGAGGAAAACTCTGTTTTTCTCTCCGTTTTTCTTTTTTCTTTTTTGCCCGCCTGGTTAACGTGAACCTGAGCAGTGATCCCTCATGCAAAATTTGAATACCTTACGCACAACACACCAACAATCACTTCATAATGCATACATGAATCTACATAAACAGGATACAAATGTAGACTGCATGCTGCGTGCAGGTCAGAAAATTGGCCTGTGGGACTTAGTGATATAATGGCTGAGTATTCCTGGTAAAGCACTACGCGAGCATCCCGCAGTCCCAGTAGAAACCACAGCAGCGGTAATGCATTACAGGATGTATATGGTGTAAAAGGCTAGGACTGGTCTGCCTGCTTGATAAATAATGTATTGTAATGTATATTAAAGCTAGACCCACCACTGCAGCGTTTCCTATCGGCATACCCTGAGAAGCCCTGTGCTGCCTGCCACTGTGGAAAAGAGCAGGCACTAGTGGTATAATTATGCACATCTGAGAGGCAAGCAGAGGCCATCTGTCAATGTCTGAATCAGTTACCTTATTACCACTGCCTAAAGATATAAAGATAGGAGTGGGAGCTGCTTTCATTAAGGCACATGGTGGCATGCTGCTTTAGACAGCTCCAAACACTAACTTAATTGCAAATGATGACTTGAAGGAGGAGGAGTGGTTGCTCTGTGGCTCGCCTTGGAGTGGGCAGGGGCACTAGTGTGGATGGTGGCACGGCACTCAGCTTGTAATGACAGTCAGCTGAGACCCCGTTGTTGCCCTTGTCGACTGTCAGAGGGACGATGAGGTTCAAAGTTTTCTCTGTTACTATCAATTACATGAAACACACACATGTCATTTGCATGTTTGACTGTAAGCTGGTTACTTGTTGAGGATATAATGATTCATTGAAAAAAACAGAACTTTTCACTTGTTGAACTCTGAGTCTGCTGACGAGTGGGTGATAAATATACTCTAAGGCAGCGGATTCTCTCTGTTTGGGTAATTCTCACTGCGCACCTTTGACACTTGGACTATTTAAAGCACACCTCACCCAGACAAAAGCTCTGCTCTGACTGCTCTGTTATTATCTGCTTTTAAAAATAATTCAAACCAGTGTGCAGCTGTTTGAAGGAGATGTTTCAGGAAAAAAAAAAAAAAAGGACAGAGCAGATAAAGTGAATGTCACAAGAATTATCATCTCCACTGACAGGAAGCTCGGTAAACACCCACCTGGCAAAATAAGATCAGAAAGCAATACCCTGCAGTAACGGCAAGTACCGGGATGATGAAACTAGCGAGTGTGTGTCTTTTCCTTTATTCTGAGGTCTGTATTTGTGTGCCAAACCTAAACTCCTAAACAGCAGGTGGAGTAGAAGTGGAAATGAAAGATTAGAGTGTGCCACCACACACCCCCATCGCCTGCGGTGGATCTAATTATAGGTGGAGGAAGATGGCCCCATCCCGCTGACCTGTCACCTGTCAGCCTCCCTATCCTCTTGCTCTCCTGCCTATATCCCTGCCTCCGAGTCTCTAGCTATCTGCCTGCTAAGACCGCGCGCTATAACCAAACTGTCTTCCTCTTTCTGTGCCCTAACTTTCTTTCCCAGATAGTAGCCTCCCTCCCACTCTATCCTCACACAATTGCCTGCATTGTTCTCCGTCTTCCTGTCTGTGCGTCTGCCTGCCTGCCTGCCTGCCTGTCTGTCTATTCCAAAGGCTGTGATACACTGAGCCCGGCCATTGCCTGGAGGGATTTGCACCTCAGGATCAGTGAGAAGGGCTTATAGAATACACCAGGTATGAATTGCATGTCACTCTGAGACAGAGCAGACAGAAGAAAGGCGGCGAAAGGAGAGTTCTTCACACACCCTGTCTGTGACCGCTTCCTCACCCTGACACGGCGCTGGCAGGGCTTTCATGGCAAGTGTACACTCTTAATCATGACATTACATGTGCTGTACTGAGGGGGGATTCACAGGGTGATTTAAGATTATTTAAGCTTAGGACCTTAGATCACATACCCTCATTAAAAACAGCTAAACAGAGACATTTAAACAAGGTTCAAATCTCGGAGGCAGACTGTCACTCCTCCACCCAAGGAAGCTGAGACTGTGATCCTCCTTACACCATCCCCTGGGTCAGGAGGCTTTGCTAAGAAGTCAGACATACAAACGCCCAAACCCCACCCCTTCAAACACACTCTAATGTCATCAGAACTGAAGGAAAGCCAAGTGGGGTTTGATTTAAAGGATAAAGCACATCCATCACATCACGCATGGGATAAAAACTGAAAGGCAGCCATTGTTTTTCATGGGAAAAGACGAGCGGAGAGAAAATGGCTAAACCGGAGATTTTCCTGAACATCTAATTCACATAAAATGAAAGAGTTAAAGCGGGGCTGCAGTGAAATGGGACAAAACTTGTTCGCCCCTAGGCTTAAAGAGAGTTCATTAACGTGAGGCAATGACTTACCAGAAAGGCTATTAGACTCCGTTGCGTGCTCTCCCACTGAAAACAGCTTTTAATGTACTGTAACGTGTACAGAACTGCTGTGCTGATTTTTCGAACCCGATATATATTCCGGGCAAGAATCTAATGGGAAATAATTGGAACAAAACACTGGTTAGCATCGTTTGATACTGGACGTAATGTTTATGACTTTGCAATGAGGTTGAAGTTGCTGAAAATCCCTTCCTTGCCACTTGAGAAATTAAATGTTTACAGCCAATTAAAGTAATTAGTTTGACTAAGTCCAATCCAAACTATGACCATGTGTGGCTTTGTTGTGGCTACTTTACTACTTGGATGTGAGGGGAGCATATTGGCAAGTTTTTTTTGTTCCATCTGCTAAATCCTGCAAAAAAATGTCAATTAAGATAACCTTTTTGGAGAACTTCACGTTTTCCTCAGTGAATTTCTCCTCCTTTGACTGGAAGGTTCGGATGCCAGCTCTGACCTAAAACAAATGAAGGAAAGTAAAGCTGCAGTTTCTCAGAATTTAACATTGTAGTTTATGATGCAGATCATTGTAAAATTGTGAGAAAGATCAAACTAACTCAGCTTGTTTCTTACTCTGTTATAGACGACATCCAGAATCAGTGTGATAGTTCCTTTTGACGCACTCCCCAAGTCTTCTTTCTTTAAGAACAAACAGATCTCCTGTCCGTTCTGGACCTTTTAGATTCAAGAAAATGGATATCATATAATATGTACAATAATCAAAATCTTTGGTGTTTCACAGAGGAAATTTAGAGGCTGTTATAAGAAAAAACAAACTCACAGTCAGTAATGGGATTGCCACTTTTCCCAAAAAGTTTGGGGATTTGTCCCCATTTTCATCAAAGACAGTCAACTCCACCACATCATGAATATCCTTGATTGGACTGCAACATGAGAGCAAATGGAAATACATTTACTCACAACAAACAAACAAACAAACAAAGAACAACAGATTTTTGAGGAGATGTCTTACTCACAATGTTAAGGCTTTGTGCCACTCTGGATTGATGGTCTTGTAGAGAGTATGAGTTTGAAGTTTGCCATTTCCAAGCTCAACTACACATATCGGGTTACTTTTTCCTGAAAAGGACAAAAAGAGAATAGAGAATGCAAATACAGAGGCATGCAAATGGAAAAGAGCGAGGCAGGTTGTTGATTTGGATTACCGTTGAGGTCTGTTGCAGGAAGATCATTTGCCCTAATGACCTTCACTTGAAGAAAGCCGACCTCCCCCACCTTCTTGTGCGAATTCTTCAAGCTCTAAAAGGAAAAGAAAAGGAAAAAGTTCATCCAAGGTAGATTTCCTGAAGATAGTTCATCAATTAATTTGAATAAAAAAAATGTATTATTGATACCTCCTTGAAGCAATCATATCAGAAAAATAAGAAATAAACTCACAAATTTCTCCACGACTGAGTCTCGCCCATCAGGCTTCTCTAAGGGAGCTGTTTCGATGTCAGAGACGGAGACACCCCAGCAGGGTCTCAGGGTGACCAGAAACACCAGCCTGCCCTTTCCAGGGTCCAGCACATGAGTGTAGAGCTGCCTCTCATTAAGTGGGAGTCTGGATAGGTCAATCTCAAACCTGACACAAAAGGAAAATAGGTCCATTGAAACACATAAGGCCAACTAGTTCTGTGGAGGAGCCAATGTGAGCAAAATTAACACTATCCACCTGGAAATACTCACATCCCCCATGATTCCTCGCACTTCCTCCCTCTCTTTGAAAACACCTCCACCTGCAGAGGTTCCTTATCTTCAAACTGATTGAAGTCAAACTGCTCTCTCCACTGGGGATTGGCCTGAATGCAAAGGTTCTGGGGGCAGCAAAAGACACAGATTCAGCACATACAGTAATGTGGAAACACACACACTTCAACGCAATGTCAGGTTTAATGCATTATGAGACAGAGCAGCCCCTGCATGACAGGTGGATTAAGTCTTCTCTCAGTCCGACCAGAACGAAGCAGGAGAGGAGAAGGAGAGGTGTATTGAGCCTGTGTGTCTTTATTTGTGTGTGCTTGTATGTGTACACCTCAGTAGCCACTCAGGGATTGTAAACACTGACAGCTTCCAATTAGAATCAGCTTTGTCCAACAAACAAACAAGCGGAGAGGAAAGCAGAAAGGTTTACAAAGAAATAACACGACAACACAAGACAAGTGCACCGTGGAATCATCAGGGGGGAGGCCAACAAGTACAGGTAGATGAACAGGGCATGCTGGGTATGCAAATGAAAGCAATGAAGCCCAGCGCCTGAAGCACGGGGAGAAGTGAGTGGCAGCCTTGCCCAGTCTAATGAGCTGCCTCTGCCATGGCCCAGTGAGCCAAGGTGGAGGTGAGTCACTGACAGGCACCTGCTGAGAGAGGGAAGCGGGGAAGTAAGAGGAAGGCGCTGGGAAGAAGACTTGAAGTATAAAGAGAGGACTTTGAAAAGACACGAGAGCATGAGAAACGGAGGCGAGCAGAAGTGGGGAAAAAAGACTCTTGAAAACAAATCCAACCTTGCTCTTGTACTTCTGATCACCCAGGCGAAAGCGGACATAAATGTCCCCGTTCCCGTATTGTGGTAGGTCCAGTCCTTCCACCAAGGTGATTCCAAGCACCCCGGTCCACATCTGATTTTTCAGCTGATTCTTCGGCGTTTCGACAGGCCGCTGGACTGGCGTGGCCTGGTTCTGCTGCAGGGCAAAGATACACACAGACAGTTTAATTTTTTTCTTTTAAGCACCATGTGTGAGGGAGCCCCTGTGCACTCCCCTCTATTTACGTGCTCCTGCCTCAGCCTGGCACCTCATCATGTTCACAGAGTGCATTTAACTAGGACAAAGGTTTACACTATACAGCACATCTCTGTTGGAGCACATTAGCACATCTCTACTGACAGGCAAGCCACACCATGGAGGCTCCTGGAGAGAAAGGAAGAGAGGGACGTCAGCGAGCAGCCAGATGTCCCTGGCTGTGACAGTCCCACTCATCACTGGCTCACAGACTGAGTGTGGGGAGGCAGGACACTTGGCATACTGCACCAGAGACAGCAGGCAGCAGTGAGTAATGATGCAAACCACACAGCTCTCTCATCAGCAAATTATGCATACATGCAGTATGTATGGCCAGCCTCAGAGTTAACTGCATGTGGGCAAAATCATCAAAATTTATTTTAACCAGCCAAGTAAAAAAAACATTTTTTCAAGAAAACGAAACAGCCAAACGCAAAAAAGATGTTTTAAATTGGAGAACTTTTTCATAAATGAAGGACAAGCCCGGCAAACAATCCACTTCTCTCGCCGCGTGTCACATAGGGAGTGAGAGAGAGGGGCCTTGATACGTCTCCATGTTAGAGTTCCCGTGAGGCTGTGCGGTGATAGGCCAAGGCTGTTAAAACAAACAGCAGAGAGGTTGTGTAGGGATGACTGTAATTAAAGAGCAGGACCATAATCTGCTCTAGCCTCTTTGATTGCCCAGCTCCTTCGACTGCCCTGGCGACGCTACTTCAAACAGCCCCGCTACAACTCCCCTGCCACTCCGGCCCCTCCTCTTCACTACAGGGTCACAACCCACATTGCCACCCAATCCGGAGGGGATCAAAGCACATCTCAGGGACCTGAATTAACATGGAATACCACAGGCGCAGCCCTATAAATATCAGCCCCCTTCAAAAGAAGAGGAACAGAGGGAGTGGAGGAGCGATATAAAACAGGCCTCAGCCAAGTCATCCCAAGTGTTTATCTTGGACACATTTCTATCTCAGCGGCCAATAAAACAATTCCACTTAACTGTAAGTGGCCCCTAAAGAGAATCTATTCCTGGTCCTAAAAGGGCTGTGCGATTGCTTCCATATGGTGGGACAGCATGGGGACAAGCACGATGAGCTCAGACCCACGTCCATTTGGCTGGTACCTCAGCACTGTCCATCCACAGCTGTGATATTACATCCTAACATCTGGGTTATTGCCCGCTATGCCTGGGAATTATCAGCGTTGCAGATCTTAGGCATCCCGCACTGGCAACATGCCTCGAACAGCAGAGCCCCCCTCCCGCTTCTCCCATACACCCCCTCCTGTTTGAAACACTATCACACAGCAGAGTTTTTACTTAGGCACTTGCCATTCCCTGTCTCTGTAGTGGCAACACAGAGGGAGAAAACGATGTTCAGAAAGAGGGGGAGTAGAGCTGCAAGAGCTGGGTATTCAGCACTTCCAGGATAGGTGTTAAATGCAATAAGATATTGTACGTTTGTCAAAAATGAAACAGGGAAAAAATGGCATTGTTACGTTGTTAAATTAGCACTGTGATTTAGGCAGCAGAACATTGTGAAGAGTCCCATCACACATTTCTGTCTCCCTTTGAGTATCTTTAACCATCTGTAGTGGATAACCTACACTGTGTATGAAAATGGCTTCATTCCTTTGTCATCTAATTTCAAATTGAGATTGTCTACTGGACCATCAAGAGACTGAACAGTGGCAGATGTAGTGACTACATAGGTGTGAATATAAACCCACTCGCCACAGTGCCAGTCCCAAACAGCAACCCTCCTATTTCACTCTGAATCTAATTACAGCTGCAATATATCGAAAACCACTTGAGAAGAGATGGAACTTTGTTTACAACAAAACCAAATACTGCTCTGTAATACTCATCTAAAGGCTCTTTCACGACAATGTATTCAGTCAATATTATTATTTGGGTTTTTGATCAGAATGTAATACCATGAAGTACTTTTTTTTCCACAAATGATACCAATGAAAATGATATGCATTGCAAAAAAAAAAAAAAGGTTTAGAATAAAACCACAAAAGAAATAGGCTGTGCTCAAACCAAGGTTACACACAAAAGCCTGCATCCTGAGCACACACCTCATTCTTTGTTGCATCATAGCACAGTGAGCTACTGCCCCCTAGTGCTCAGGATTGGGGAAATGGAAGCACTAACATGGAAAAGCTCAACTCAGCAATACAACCAGCAGTCAAGAAACAATCCTGAAATTTAACTTAAACAATTTTTATAGCATATTAATACGTACCTTGTTCTTTCTCTGTGGCCATCTCTACAAAAACAAAAAAAAAAAAGGATAACATAAGTTAGTACAAGATGATCAAGGCAGGCATCAGAGAAATACAAAGACTTCTAATACAGAGAAATAACCTTACAGGGCTTCTTTTGATGGTGGCGTCTCTGAACATTAAGCAAACGTCAACAACTATTACTCCCATATCATCTTCTTTACTCTTTGGATCATCAAGACGAAGCTCCATTTCATAGGTTCTGCGAAGAGACAGGAAGAGTTATGACCACTGGTCAATGATCTGTCTTCTAAGTTGGCTGAAAATGTTGTTGCTTACTTGTACAACTCCAGATTCTTCAGAGGAATAGTGCCTGAACCCATGAACTCATCAGCTGTCCGGTTTTTATCATAGACCTGCAACAACATAACAAACACCACTGAGATTATAAACAGAAGCTGCGCGCTCTGCTACAAGACCGCCGCACTTCCGTTCAAACAACAATACCTACCCGAACTTCCACAATATGTTCTCTGTCACGGAGAGGATAGCTGAAGGACTCGTTCCATCGTGGATTCAGGTTTTTATAGATCACTTTGCTTTTATAAAGCTGCTTTCCCTCAAGTTTGAACTTCACATAAGGATCACTAGTACCTAGAATAAAACAGGATAAAAAAGCAAATCAGCGAGTGGTCATTATCTGAAGTGTTATGTAAATGTTCAATAACAGTGTAGAAACTGTGGCAAGAGAGACATTTAATGCAAACTCCTCACTTCTTGTTAAACGTATTTTGAGTATGTATGAAAACACACAAATTAACACACGTATCTACAATCCGTCCCCTCATGCTGATGGTGTGTGAGACTGAAATATGAGGAGATGCACCTCACACATGGCAAAACAGAGGCATGTAGCTTTTTAATTGTGAAAGAGTAGACACACTAGCCAGCATGAGGTAACCAGGAACCGAGAACGAGAAGCAACCAGTGTTAATCTCCCAAGCCTGTTAAGAAAGTCTGTCTGCGAGTAGAGTGGGGGTATGGGATTTCTTTGTTTCTGCAATTGCATGCAGATTGGCCAAAAAATGAAAGCCAGTCCCATGCCTTCATTTGTATAGGGGAATAAAGGGGTGCTTGAGAGAGCCTGCAGGGAGGCTTGAATCACATGACAAAGGCCCTGTGGGGATGGGCTGTCAGGCCTGTCAGCTCCCCACTCCAAATGAACATCTCGCAAAGGCAGGCAGGACCCACAGCAGCTCCACCCTGCCAGCCTGTGACAGGGAAACCTCCAGGCAACTTGACAGGAGGAGAATGTGGCAGCTAGCAAGGAGAAAAGCTCTGGCATGACTGAGAACGGTGACGATGGAAATTAATGGGAAAAAAAGGCGAGAACAAAAACCAAGGAGTGGGGGCTGGTGGTGTGGGTCCTTTTTAGAATAAGTAATGACAATGTATGCTATTGCTGAGCCTTTGGCACAGGGTTGATTGTTGGGCAAACAGTGGAGAGACAGGGGGCGTGTGGGGATTGCATCATCATGGTGCCATCTTGTCAGGGAAAGTAAGGTCTCAACTAGCAGGGAGTAGGGCACTAGGCTTAGGGGGCTCAGGCCACCAGGCAGGAAGAAAAGGAAACGATCATCCAAAGGAGAAATGCTTTTACTGCGATGTGATTTCAGAGATACAGCGCGACAGAAACCGTACAGAAACCTCCTCCAGGCTACATTGATATAGCTTTGAAATACTGCCATGTTTAAAGTTTTTTTTTACCAGAGAAATCTGTCAAATATATAGAAGTAGCCACAATTAATGAGACCACACATGGGTTTCTCAAATGTTGTAGTACCATTTGCAGCCACATGATGTCGCCACTTTCCTTCAGTTAACCCATCGATACCGGTGTCTCTGCTTCTCTCACAAATCAATGATGACTCAAGAAAGGAAATCGATTCATAGCAGATCAGTAAATTAATAAAATCAAAGTATTTACATGTATAAAAATCAAAACCCTCTCTGAAGCTGAACTTCATACTTGACTTGAGATAATACAATAAAACCAAACGGAGGCTCCAAATGGTGTTAAAGGATTATTGCAGATTAAAACAGATTTATGAAAACCAAATTCAAACATCCAACTTTAAATAGATTTAAAAAACAAACAAACAAAAAAAAAACTGCTAACTTTTTTTGTGAGTCAAGTTTTTTCTTTCCAAACCTCTGAGCAACATGCTTTTTTAAGAGACAGCCCACGTGAGAGAAAAGCACTGCTGGTTAAAATTGATAAAGGTTTTACTACCATTCAATCTCATACACTATTTCAAAATCAGTAGCATAACCAAGTCACAACACCCAGTGGTTTCATGTACAGATTGTGCGTTCTTCTAATTAGCACTGATTGCTCGATGCCAGTCTGTCTTTCGTCATACTGGTCTGACTGCATTCTGTTGTAGTGTGTTTTTTTTTTCCTTGTACAAACGGCGCTCGACAAGAGACGTCATCCGTACAAGTAAACACAGGCATTAACTGAACACAGCCCATCTTGCCTTTATACACAATAGCACATTTCCCGTTCACTACTTTCAGCTGACTGATTGGTTTATAAGCGTAGTGAGCTTAACGAGATGTATAGGCATTGTATGTACATGCAGCATTTCATTAAAGGCTTAGTCTTAAGCAGCCACTCAAGGATCTACAGTCTTTTGCAAGAAATTTGATATATCTCTTGATCTGCACTGATCTATCCGAGGATGTTCCATACACTCCCCGCAGTAAAGAGAGCAGTTTGATGTTAGAGCACAAAGACAGTAATTATCCAATTTAGTGCAAAGTCAGACGTGTCTTATGGGCCACGAGAGGCCAAGACAAACAGACAAACCATAGGTTGCTGACCTACCAGAGCGCTTGTGTTTGATGACCAGGTTCCTGCCCTGCTTCAGGTTGATGTTCAGGAGATACCGTTGGAATGGGCCGGGTACTTGAACTTCAGGTCCTGCTGGCACAGAGGCTTCCAAGGGATCTTGTAGACTCTCCTCAAAGAAATCACAAGGCTCACTGCACAGCTAAATGACAGAAAGGTTGCAATGAGTTTTAATGTTACTTTAACTGATAAAAGCATGAAGTATATTAATGTGGTAAAAAAGAAAATAAAGCTCAAAAGTATGGTTAAAACAGTGTACAGCCACCTGATTATGATATACCCCTTTGTTTTTGTGGACTTAAAATGAGCTCACATATCTACACAGGACTGAGCCAGCAACCACAGAGGTCACCATCTCGCACCACCATAGCAGAGAACAGACTAGAATCATACATGTTTATATTTAGTGAGTAGCTGTGCAAAAAGCACCACCTAAAACAAGAGACAAGTTTTTGTGTTAAGGTATTTGTACTGATGGAATTTGGATTACACTAATGAAGGAGCTTTTTGTACATGAGGGCATCTATTATCTAACCAATGGGAAACGTGTTCCTCATGACAACAGCTCATTTTTCAGATACAACTAGGGTGAGGACAGTGGTAACATTCGTCAACAGTAAGAAAAATGAGATGTTATCGTTGTTTCCATGAACTTTTGCAACAGTATGCATGCCACATGGTTCTTCTAACAAGAAACACAGGTTTTTTGGCTGCTCTCCTTACCTAAAAGGTATTTAGACAATGAAAGACACAACAGCCATAGTTTCAGTTATAGCCCAGGGCTATCAAAAGTCAAATCCTATAGGCCAACACTTCCCCTCTACTGTCACAGCAGAACTACAATATACATATACTTTACATAGAAGTGCTACATTGTATTAGAAAACTTGCTAACAGGCTTGGGAATTTTTACTGTGTACATCTAGATTAATCACTATTAAAATAAAATAATAAAAAAACAAATTTAGTATTAATACAGTTTTAGATTAAAAATGTATGCTCTAACTGACTTTAATTATGATTATTATCCTGTGACTGAATGCATAGGGTTGTACATCTATTTAAAAACTGACCTCAATTTCTTCCTGGGCCTCCTCAGACTGGGCATCTTCAAGCATAGCCTTGTCAATTGAGAACTGTTTCACAAAAAAGGGAGTAGAAGGTTCTCGTTCCGGTTCTTCTGAGTCCGTTGTCCAGGTCATGTTGACTCTCTCCTCGTTGGGAGTACCAGAGTCCAGAGAATTACGGTCTGCATTTTCCAAAACAGTGCTTGGAGCATCTAATATCAGAGATAATTTTCCTCTGTTTGCTGGTGGAGTCCCTTTTTCAGATGATGGCCGTTTCTGCTCAAATGACACATTCTTCCTCTCCATGTAAGGATTTGCTTGTTCTCCGAGGGAGCTCGCTCTAGCCAACGCTGCAGCAAGAGAACCTGAAAGCCCCCTGTCCGTTGCGGGATCGTCGCCAGAGGGATTTTCTCTCCCTGCCATGTCCAGCCTTGGTGAGAGAACACTGGTACTGTGGAAAACAGATCTTGGTGCGGGGACAGGCTCAAAGGTAAATTTAGGTGCATTCCCCTTGGCTTTTTTATCTGGTTGTGTATACAACTGGTCAAAAGTTACCTTGTTCTCTGATTTTGAACTTAACATATCATCACATTCCTCATAGAGGGTCACTGGTGCACTTGCTCGGTTAAAAGCAGAAGCTGGGTGTTCTTTGGGAACTCTGAGTCTTGTTTCTGGGGCAGGCTCAGTCAGTTTGTCTGCGAAAATTGGTCCATCAGGAATCACACCACTTGCAACAGAATCAGTGTCACTCACACCAGGGGAAACCCCAAAGAAGACGCCATCAGAGCCATCAGACCCCAAGGCGTCTGTAGAAAATGCTTCACCTGGCACAAACCTGAGGTCTGGTACAGAAATACTGCGCCGATGGGCCAACCTCCTGCCCTGCTTGGCAAGTGCCTTCTTGCCTGGCTTTTTCAGATTGGCAAACTTAGTTTTTGAGCGCAAGTTCTCCAAGAACGTCTTTTTCTTGACATCCATCTTCACTGCTTCCTTTCAGATTGGAAAGACAAACATGTTATACTGTGTGACAGGCCAAAAACAACACAGGTGTAGTCATCTCTGAAAAATGGTCTGCTGTTCTCACACTACCAAGTAAAAAACATCTTTTCTTTGTTTTCTAACTTTGATTTAATTTCATACAAACTTAGTCTATTCATCCTATTTTCCATATCTTATCATGTAGTAGGTCGATGACATAGTTATAGTAAAAATTTAGCACCTCCATAGATTTTCACCATACAAAGACACTGATATTATGCTGCAATGGGATCAACATTAAAGTATAAATGAGTAACCCTTACTTAGAACAAGTAAATTAGCTGGCTCAAAAGAAGGGCAAGGGCTACAGTACCGAAGAAAAACCTCAATGGTTATGACTGAGGCCTTAAGTTTGATCTAACAAACATTCCTGACAGAAAGGCTTCACCCAGATTTCACTGAATGACATTACTTCCTGGATTACTATGTTAAAATGAAAACAAAAAAAGACATTTTACTATACCTGCTGAGAGGACTTCTGCTGAGCAGGCCACCAAATCCACAAAATGAATCAGTATCCACAGAGAGAGGCAGTAAATTTCCAAAGAAGCAGCTCAAACATCCTAACTATGATGAAAGGGTTTCAAAGGAGCTCAAAATGTAGCTAGTTCACCTCCCTGTGCAACGACGGTTGATTGGTGGAGAGACCAGACCGGGTGGAACTAGCAATACCTGTCTCACCAGGTGAGTTTCAACGACTCTGAAAGGAACAGACCAAAGTGTTGGGTCCTACCCAAATCTTTCATTCTGGATGGAGCTACATACAGAGTGACTTAAGGATCAGATATTTTGGATCCTTTGACTGTATGGTTGGATTACATGAAAATCTTCAGACAAATATTGAGTTTATTAAGCCGCTGAGACATTAAATACACAAAGAAGCACTGAAACTGTGATGAAACAGTTGCTCACAGGATACCAAGTAGGAACAGTCTGTTTAATGTTGATTTGAATATTTGATTGTTTATTTGCATTTGTGGGGCTATTTGTTAGTTTTAAGACTTGCATGCATTACACTTAATCTAATATGTGTTCTGTTATATGACTGTGTGTTAGAAAAGAAAATACTTAATGCCATAATCTAGCCTAATTCTGCAATACAACTGTCCTTCTTATCAGTCCAAAACAGACCCAAAATACTGCTGATGGATTCTACAACACGGCTGAGGCATATGAAATGTTGGCTATCTGTTCATCTTATCTCATCCCTGATCTTCAGCGGGGATCTGGCGCTTGGTGGCCGCCTTGTCATACCAAACTCCATTTCTTTCATGCAACCACATATTTGTTTACAATGGAGGAGGGTTTAGCCTGGGCTCGTCAAAAGTGAGCATTTGTGTTTGCAAAGTATAAACTCTAGCTTTCTGTCCACACATCGAAGCCAACGCAACAGACCCACTGGAATTCATTCTCCATCTCAGTGTCGGTGCACAACAGTAGGCTATATGACAACAGATGTGTTTGAGTCTGGACTGAGTCTTGTTCAATATTTGCTGATGTCTTAAAGAGATCAGACCCGCATGAAAGCACCCCCAACTTGGCTGCAAGTTGAAAGGCAAGACTGGGGATGTGAACAGGGCAAGCCCCTATGGCAGGTGGCCTGTCGCCCTTCTTCTCACACAACTCAAACAGCCCCAAACCCTGCTTGGTTACTCTACACATGCACACTGGATCTGTTCCAGCCTGCAGCACAGCTGGTCTGGTGGAGAGGAAGCCAAGAACATGCACTCAGGGACAAATATACTGAGTTATGTGAATGCAGGCCTTCTCGCTGAAAATAACCATTTAAGAGAAAGGTCGTTAACAACGCAGCTAACATAAAACCCCAATGTGACTTACAGTCTTTTATGTTGCACTTTCTCTTTTATTCCAGTCCTGCTTCATTTTTTGCATACATAAGGGCAGCAAAAAAATGCACATTAAAAACACACTGACATTTTTTGTACACCAGTGTGCCTTAACACATAAAATTTATGTGTGTACATTTATAAATATTAAAATATACATTTTCTTCTTTTTTTTTTTTTTTTACTGTTAATACTATATATTATTTGTACCATTTCTCAGAGAGTTCAGGAGAGATGCGTTTTTTTTTTCTTGGTCGATTTCGGTGTCTGTCCAGCACAACCGCAGAAACTGATATCTAAAAAAGCTTGGTTTGAATATAAAAAAATTAATTCATATCTGAATCTGTTTCTAGGTTTTGGTTTCACTTGTGGTCCATTTGAACATGCGATATGTCACCGTCGAAATATGCCTGTTGTCTTAAAACAACCAAACCGTAAGCTAGCTGCGACTCCTTTTTAACCTCCAAAAATAGGGGATTTCTTGTCTGAAATTGTACTGTATATATATATTTGGTCGAATAAACAATCTCAATCTCAATCTGTCAAAGCAACCTACTTTATATTAAAGCTGAAAAGCTCTTATTTACGTTTACCTGCTGGTTTCAGATGTGCACCAACTTTCCCCAAATCCCATGAGTCATGAGGAAATTACAGGCCAGCAGCCATTTCTACTAGTAATGTCTTGGAATACAGCGCCTCCTGCTGGCGGAACTATGGAACTACATGAGGTCGTCTTGAAATGCTCTTAAAAGCTGTCAGTTTCTGTCCAAACTTATGCTTTAAAGTTAGCTTTACGAGTATAAATTTGACAGATACATGAATTAACTTAATGTTCAGATAAAGGGAGGTGGCTTTGATATCTTAAAGTTATTTTTAGTCGTGGTGACTGACTGGAGGCTTAAAATTATGATGCTGTGGCGTCTTTTTGGAAGGAAGAATTCATCTCGTTTCTTTCAAACACCACACATTACTGGTAAATATCTGGACAAAAAACAACACTGTTGGAGGCAGTGTGGCCAGGGAGACGCATTTGTAAAGACACAACCTTTCTGGGACAAAGTGAACGAGACTCTGGGAAAAATCCTGCACTATATTATTCAAAGAGATCCCAAATTCATGTATTTGGGAGCCATACCTGAGAAAGTAATAGAACAAGGAGATGTTTGTCTATTCAAGGTCTTGATTATTGCATGCAAAAAGGCTATCACATGGAACTGGATGAAAACTGATCACTCTGATGAAAACTGATCATGGGCGAAATTCATACCATGGAAAGTCTAACTTACCACTTGAGGCTGTACATGTCTACCTTTCATCAAGAATGGAGGAAATGGCATGTTTGTTAATAAACAGACTATGTGGACCTTTGTTAACCACTTGCAAAATAAGGAGTAAGAACGGCCCCCTGTGTTCCTTTGTTCCCTTTCTATCTCTATTTTTGAGAAAAAGGAAAAAATGGTTGTAAAGAAATAATTGTCTTGAACCATGCTATACTGAACAATAAAGTTTAAAAGAAAATAAATAAATTATGATGTGATGTAGCCTAAGGTCCAAATTTGAGGTACTCACATGACTGCCTCTCCTTCACAGTCACTTTTTTCTTGAATTAATATTATCCCATTAATTTATAAATGCTTCTCAGGGGGATTTCACTAAAACTGGCAACTGTAGAGATAACCTGTACAGCGTCTATCCATGTAAACTAAACAGACTATCTAAAAATAAACATTTAAAATCTGAAACTGACTTTTAGACAAAGAGAACGGTTGAAGAGTATATGCACTTCGTTCCAAATGCTGAGTTTGCCTCAGTGTACAGTCTGGTGCATGCAGTAAATAAAATACAGCTGAAACAGAATTCAAGGATTAATTGACATCGAGTTCAGAGTGAGCATACACTGAGGTGTTTAATAAAGTTGACAGTTTCTACTGTTTGGGACTTCACAGGGGAACAAATTCTATGTAAGAGCTGTTTACTTCATTTTATACATAATAAGTGAGATAACCTAAATTACACATTAAAAGCCAATATTTGTACTTTTTTGAAGAATACAAATTTGTACAACAATATCTAGCATAGTATGTTAATCGTTTAATAAAAAGTTCACTTGAATATTTATTGTATGATGAAAATAAAATAACACATTCCAGGGAAATAAAATGTAGATGAACTTAAAATCTCTTTCAGTTTTTGAAACAAATAATTTCATTATTGGCAACAAAGTCCAGCTTGTGCCGCCAAACGGTCTGAGCATTCAAACCGAAAACAGCTTCTTCAGTTAAGTGAACTATCAACTACAAACACTTACCAAACACATAGTTCTGTTTATAAAAGCCATGAAGCAAAGCAGTGTACTTTTACACAGCAAAGTGAAGAAAAGTTCTCTACAAAGGTTTAACAATTACCCTTTCCTTTCACATTCATCAGTTGTGCACAATTTGGACAAAGACCCAAAGAGCAAAGTGTATCACAGTGCATTCACCGTGCATTTACAAGTGTCAGTCTTTCTGAGCAGAGGCAGGTCTGGTTGAGCTGAATGATTTCTGTTTTTTTTTTTTTTAAACCAGACCAAGTGGAACAAAAATTATTATACTTTTCTTTGGGATAAGGCATTTCCTCTCTGTGCATATACTGTAAATAGAGAAACTACAAAATTCCCTGATATGTTATCACGTGCTAAAATGTGTGCTCAACTACGAGGTGGTGCTGCCAACACAGGCAGGCTAGTTTTGTTTTATTATTGCTATCTCGACCAGCTGTGTCACACTGGATTACATTATGGATCTTTTTTTTTTTTTTTAATGTCCAATGTCAATGAAATGGAGGAGATTTCTCAGGGTATATCAATCATTCATGAAACAAAATGCATAATATGGAACTTGCAGTCCAGTAATATCCAGCTGTGGCACTTCAGGATAATAGGCTAACAGTCTACCCTCAAATGAGCTTCTTCCTGATGCTCTGCGGACTTAAAAATGACCTTTACTGACATCATAGTCTGTTTAATGTTACATGAATTGGGGGCTAAAGCTGCATAGATCATTTTGGGTGTACTTCCATGGAGCTGATGAAGGGGGAAACCTCAGAAACACACAGAATATAATTCAGGGTGAATGCAGAGTGATACCTTTCTCCTACAGCAAACTTCTTATACAAATGTGTGCAATCCAGCAGTGAGATTGAAGTCAGTGACTTGTGGTTGTTGTCATGAATTTGCTGCTTAGCTATTTGCTTCTGTGTGGATGTAATAAAAAAACAAGTCACAGCCTCTTTTCCCCTCTTCTGTTCCTGCATGGCGTGATAATACTTTCTTTGTATATGAATTCAACGCCTTTAGATTTTTACCCCGAAGGTTCCTGGGCCTATGGTACTCTTACTGATAACAGGGCATTGCTGCAAGATACAATTTCCAGGGCCAATTAGTAAACAACAATTACTACTCACATTTCAAGTAGACTGAAATATTTACAACTATGTACGGGAACAGGCATATTCAGTATTGTGTCAGGATTGGCAGCCTTTTCTACCACATCTATGTCCTACGCTTAAATTCTTTGAACCAATAACAGGATAGTGAGAAGGGAGAGTTAGCATGGCCTTCAGATGAGCTACGTGCAATAACAATAGGTGGTTCTTCAATGTGGGGCTGGGACCTTGGGTTTGAATGTTGGCAGTGTATTCAGCAGCTGCTGGTATACAACTAAGACAAGCTAACACAATAGAAGGGGGAAAAAAACAGCTTTTTTTCCCCCTTAGCCTTGTGATTCACAAATCTGAAAACTGTGGAACTTTGACCTCACAGCATTGTTAAAACAATGTTTTCAGGACAAACAATCACCATTAATACAGAAGACAGGAAAAAACAAGTCAACCATCTGGAACTGAAATACATGGGAGGGTTTGTTGTACATTGAATTTAGGAGCGAGTACAGTAAAATGAACAAAACAGCAAATATTGACCAGTGAAAGATCTACTTTTAAGGGTCTACTCTTGTAAACTTGGCTGTAATCCACAAAAATATACTTTTCTTGAAAATGGTGATTGTACAGTACATTCATCCTGTACTCCCACCCTGGTGATATATATTTTAGTCCATATTTACACAACAGAAGAAAAATGTTTGGCTCAAATTTTCGATTGTACAAACAGAACAGCAAATGTTCATGGCTTAATCTATCAATTAGAGATCAGGTTTACATGACTTTACACTGCTTGTGTTGAAGCACAATAAAACATAAAACTACCATGAAGGAACGGTGCATCTGAGTGAACTGTTAGGAAACTGTAGCAACTGTACAAAACAACACAAAAGAACAGCTTTGGCTTATATTACTGATGAACTGTTACACAAATGTGAACATGTTGATTTTCTCACCAGTTCAACTGGACAAGTTCGCATTATTTTAATTGCACATTTATATATCCTACTCTTTTAAATTAAAAAATGAAACGTCTGTCATTATTGCAATAAATTCTGTTGCTATTTTGTTTTTACCTCCAACAGTACTGACTCGTGTAATCACTAAAGTAGTCTCAACTGATGCGTTTATTAACTGTGTGATAAAAATCCTTGTAAAGTATTAATTACAGCTCCATGTTCTTTGTATCTCCTGATGGACTGAACAATAAATTAGTCGAGGCCACTTGAGATAAAAGTCTTGTACAATTACAGCACGATTTTTAAAAGATTGCTCTTAAATTGATCATCAACATGTGAGGGTCCTCAGCTTTAAAGCAACACAACTTCTGATTGTTTGCAACTTGCGAGCAGAACAGCATCACAGCAACTACACGTGTCTGTCTAGACCAGTGACTACATTAACCTACTGCTTATTGTATAACAGTTTTTCTTTAATCATCGTTCTCCTGCAAATCTGAAATGCATCATGTACCTGATACCACCTGCTTGTGCATTAAATTCAGACCGGCTAGCTGAGATTTCTTAAAATCTTCCTGTTTCAGTTCACGAATTTATTTAAGATATGTCTTGTAACATTTGCCACTCAGTCTTACGAATTGAAATGAAGTTGAATAATATTATAGCAATGATAGCTCAAAGGACCCTTCCTCTTTTTTCTCTCTCCATGTCTCACCCCCTACTCCCTCTTTCAACCCAGCTGGTGACTAGAGGCCTGATTCCAGCTTTTTATGTCACCCACGTGTCCATGCGCAAGCGCTTGACCGAAGGACTCTCCCTGTCCTCTGAGCCAGCGGGTGGTCTGCCCAGCCCCAGCGGGGAGTTGAAGTCTGGCCGGTGGTCCTCGCGATCACTGCCGTCATAAGAGCTACAGGAGGAGCTGAGGCTGTCTGCAGGTGAACGTCCCAGAACTTCCTGTCGGCTGGACCCTTGCTGCGGCTGCTGAGGGGGGAAGCCGGAGGGGGTGACACGCTCCCGCGGCGGCGAGATAGGCTCAGACTTGATGTTTATGCTCTGGCTGGTGTTGATGGAGAGGTTGGAGCCCTGAGGTAGGTGACCTCCACCACTGCAGAGGATAAAAACATGACATTTTGTGATCAGTCTGAAAAAAAAACAAGGCTACAAATGTGAAGTGCACCAACGGCAGGAACATGTAGATGTGTGATTCAGCATGATATCACAGAGCACAGTGGGTGTTGCTTTTATGTGAGGGCGTCTGGAGAGTGTGTCTTTGTTTGGGAGTGTGTTACTCACACCAAAGAATTAAGAGCTGCCTGGCCCAGTTGATGCTGTTGCCATGCCGACATGGAGCCCAGCGAGAGCCCGGGAGAGCTAAAGCCCTGCAGGGATGAGATCTCTGCACTGCTCAGGGGAAATTCTGCAAAAACAAAAGCAGCCACACACACTGAGAACTCACTCGCAATTCTGTTACAACACCGTGTGCTACCGAAAAAAGAGCAGGAACCAACGGTGTGTAGTGCAAACAGTCATGATTGAGGTGTTTGTTGTTTGTCACAAGGCTAGACTTACCAGCAGGGTTGTAGGAGGTGGGCATGCCTGAGTAGACCAGGCCCTGTGGGGGTAAGCTAGGGGTGGTGACAGACACAACTGGAGTAGCCAGCTGCTGGGTGGACTGGGAGCTGCTTATCCTCTGAGTGTTCTGCAAAACACACAAAAACAAACCATAGAAAATACAAAAGCCCAAACTATGGAGGTTTAAAACTCATGCTCTTGTGCTTCTGTGATACAGTCAGTGCATTTCTTATCACTGAATATGTGATTTAGAGATCACGAGAGATGTATTTGAGCATCTTTGATTCATTTTATGTGGCAGTCAGAGATTTGCATATCATTTGAAAAAGCCGCCACTAGATGGTGGTGTAACTTCGTAAAAGTCAGTACAGTGGTCCATGTTTCAAATTACTGTCTGCAGTAAGAGGATAAAAATGACAAAAATTCATGTTGCTTTTCTCTGGGGGATATAATCAATATACTTCACAGAAATATAGGATAAATATATGTGACAAACTAGTTATATTCCAAATGGTTCTCACAGGCTGAAAAACATGTTGATTCTGATTCTAATAGCAAGAAATCATGTGAGCTGCTATTGATTTTAAGTGGATAAAAAACACAGCTACATAAAGTTACAGTCACAAAAAGTATTTATCAGACTTGCTAGAATTTACATGATGGTTTTACTTTGTTAAAGGAGAGAAAAAAAACACAGTTATCAAGACAGTACACCACTTTATCATTATAACTCCAAATGTACAAAAACACGGGTTTTCAATCAAATTAATGACTGTTTACTGAGAAGGTGCAAAAACATCATTTAGATGACAGGTTTCAAATCCTAAAGTGACCTACAGTAAGACTCCAGTGGTTTTTAGTGCAGTGACTGGCATGCTGTCTTCACAAACACACCTACACAGCTCTGGTGTGGTCATGCAACAGATTACGCTGTGAGAGCTACAAAGGCACACACTCCAGCTACACTAATCAAAAGCAGACGCAGTTCAGAACAATACTATAACAAATCTTCTGAATATAATGTGACTAACAGCTGCCAGCGGCTACGTTAGAAGCAGCATTGCATCATGATGTAGTTGATGGCTTCCTTGCATTGTTCCAACACTCTCCAGCCAGATGACTTCACCAGACCCAACTATCGCACAGAATGATATCATTAGAGGTGATGTAATCCTCTCTCCCTTTGAAATAACGTCAATCTCTGATATTTTTTCAACTTTTTCTCTCTGAAACGTTTCAGACGATGGCTACGCTCTCTTAGTTTTTAAAATGTAATAGTCGTTTGCACTTAGCTTAAGCTTTTTCTGTCCCTCTCACATGCCTTGTGGTATATGACTAACATTGTGCAATTTTAACAGGCTGAGGCAATTTTCACAGGCCAAACCCAAAACATGCAGTGACAAAACATTTTTTATGTATTATTGCAGACAGTTCTGAGAGCCAATCTCCGGTTAAATCTCTGCTTTTCATCGAGCAAGTACGATTACCGAAAGCGTGTTAACATTTCAGCCATTTGCCCAGGCATTTGTCAAAACTCACCAAATCCATTTCCTCCTCCTCTGACTGCCCTCAACGGGAGAAAAGAAGAGAGGCAGAGTTACAGAAAAGAAGCAGAGCGGCTCATAATTGCTCTGGAATATGCCAGGTATTTGGATTTTTCAATAAAAAGGACAATAGGGAATATGAGATAAGAATGACTTGTGCAGTCTTTGCAATTTCATTCCCCCTGAATTTGGTTAAAGTAAGGGGCAGATCCTGGAAAAAAATATCCTGGGAGTTATTAGCATAAAGGCTGCAAATGCAGAGCCAATGAAACACAAAAACAATCAACTATCAAAAATTATTAATGAGTTTCCTTGTAAAAATAGCCGCACGGTACTTAGAACCACCCTGTACTAAGAGGGGAACCAGAGGCCCATCTCCTGTCTTTTTGGCGCTGTGGGACACACTGTGACCAGCCCGGGTCTGTCTTAATATCCACACTCAATCAATGGCGGCAGGAAGACACGACAAGGGCGACAAGATATTATCTGGCTCACACCCTGGCCCCCTGATTAAGTCTTCATCTACACTCTGTCACACTGAGATGTGATTAATTTAATACCATTATGGCCTAATGACAGGCTGTCTGCAGACCTGCCACAGCCTGCACCCACCACAGCCTCTACTTTTCGAAAATCCTCTGTATGCTGAGACCTAATAGAACCAACCTCCAGCCGAGGCGTAACCTTTTCCGAACCTTTTACAACGCAACCTGCCGCGTTCTACCGATTCCACATGCCGACATGCCAACATACAGACAATAAAACCCAGCAATAGGGGTCCGGATGAAGCCGGGCAGAAGACAAGCACCCGCAGTAACCTGAGGTTTATTTACCAAACACAATCATTTTCCTGGAGTGGCTCCTGTTGCTCGGAGCGACAAGCAAAGTTTGAAATATGACATTTGCTGGTCAGTGTCAGTCGATCCCCTGCCCAAAGCTTTTGGTATGTTGATTTATGACCAGAGGATTGCTTTTTAGCCTCAAGTGCTTCAGGTTAGAACTCCTTGCACAGTCACTATTATCATCAGCAAGAACTCGTCATTTAAATGCTGGGAACTGAGAGAGTTATGACTCCTGGGCCACAGTTTCTTGGCACCATCCACAACTTATTGGAGGGAATCAGAGGAAAACAGAGCAGAAGAGGAACTGCTCAGCTCTGTGCTCTGTATACTGTGCGTGATTCTCACTTGGCAGATAGTCCTTGGTGAGGTGAAAACCTCACTGGCACGACATGATGCTACATTGATGTGATAATTTGTGGCAAAATCCTGCAAGACATTTAGCGACGAATGTCTGGATTGAGAAGTTGAACAGAGCGTTTGTCTTCCCTGCAGCAGAGATACTTGAAGGTCCTTTAGCTGGTGATTCTTGTGTGCAGTGATGTGCTTTTTACTCACCAGTGGGGGCATCATCCCTTTGCTAGATGGAGGGATAACAACCCTTAGGTCTGGCTTGCGGCTTCCCATTCCCATGTTCCCTCCAGGGGGCGGCGGAGACTTGGTGGGCATGACTTTACCCAGGCCATTGCCGCTGGGTGTGCTGAGGACGCCCGGAGAGCCCCTGGAGTTAACAAAACCGTTCCCTGTAGAGGTACACAGTGATAGAAACACATCATCAAACCATGGACTGTGACTGACAACACTCACAGTCATCAAGCAGTCCTCTCTCACAGAGCTGTTTTCCTGCTGCAGCATGCAGCGCTAAGTGTTTCCAACCCTCTGGGAACTTTTAATAGACTTGGATAATTATCCTGCACATTTACAAAAATAAAATGTCCATTTCAAAATTGATGAGCCTTTTATTTTTATCGTGAATGATTGGATCAAAGTCAAGTGTTTGTATCATGGGAGGAGGAGCAGTTCACTGGCAAATGTACTGTGACTGCTTAAAAGAAATAGCTAAAGCCATTATAGCGGAATAAAAAAACATTAAAAGATGTCTACATGTTGTTTTTACCCAGTGCAAACACACATTAACAAAGTGCTAGACACTCCTCTGAACATTCACACCTTTATGTGTAGGGTTGTTTGTCACTTCCTTTTTACAATGACGAAGTCTCCACAAACTCATTTCAGAAACTCCCACCCTCATTCCCACTCTTTAGCTGGTTAACCGCCTGCATGCAGAGTGTTAACTTCATCAGAGGGTGCGAGCAAGGTCCTTTGATAAGCGAGTCTCTGTAAATACTTACCAGTGTCACATATTGACATCAAACATCTTTAACATCTGCATAGATTCCTTGTATAGTATTATCCACACTACAATATCTCCTATGCAAAATTGATTATAATTTTATGAACAGCACAACAAAAAAAGTACCTCTGTGTGTTCATGATCGTTTATGAGCTCGAAACAATTTCAAATAAATGAAGAAAGGTTCAGTTGTTGGAAAAACGATGGTACAAACACGTACAAAAACGGGTAATAGCTTGAGTAAGTAAATCTGCAACCAGAGTTTTAAACTGCATTGACTTTATACGAATCTGAAAGAAAAGTGTACCTTCACACTTAAAATGTTTAAGTCCTGAAAACAACAGCAACTGAATAGTATCTAGCACTGCATCAACAGATCACTAACACTTCAACAAGTTGCTAACTTCTCCATTGTGTTTAGTGTATCCCCGTGTAACACAAAGTGTGTGTACAATGAGTAGGCCCATGCGAACATAATGGAACAATAGCCCTTCTGACTACAGATAAGGACAGCGACAATTCACGGTCAAATAAACAGTTATGAAGCCGACAATAGTATCACACAGCTGAATCAACAGTATATACAAGCAGCTATCGCCATCAGCTCTTGGCTTTGATCACACGAGACTTGGCCGCTGCAAGAAAACAGTGTTTACAGAATTTACAGTCAATGTCCGAGGCCTTGAAAATAGCAAACCTGATTAAAACAGTGAAGACGTCATTGAGTGGGAATATGATGTTGGAGTAAATACTATTTGTGTAGAGGTATGCAGTGTGGCAGTACTGCATGGAAAGAGCTATCTAAAGGCTGTTGCAGACAAACTAGAACTGAATATTACATCTGAAAAAGCGATGACATACCAAATGACTTCTACGAGTACATTTCAACATATTTCTTACACATCATGCCAGCTAGGTGACCATCAAAAGGCCTCAAACTGGTAAATTTTAGCATAATGTGGCCTGTTTTTGAATAATGACTGAGCTTCAACATAACATTTTATTTACCGTAAGATGAAAATAAGGGTGATATGGTAACTAAAATTTAACTTTGCTACCAGAACGTTGATTGGGGTGTACTCATTTTTGCATCCTGATTTCAAATTGAAAAAATAAACTTGTTTGCAATCAATGGCCTACATTTGGGGGAGTATTTTGTTGTATAGTCTGACACAGAAAGTGTTGATGTTGAAAGGAAACTAAAGGTTTTCTGACAACTCTGTTGGGTGTACTCATTTAGGCTAAGCACTGTAGACACTAAAACAACGCTGTAGGAGATGATATTTTCTTTTCCACGAAAGCAATGCAGAACAACAAAGTTGAGTTGATGATAATGTGGTGCTGCTGCAGCCCCTGACCCACAGCTGAGCCATATTGTTCATGCTAGCTGTGTGACTGCTCCAATCTGTTAACATGAGCACCACAATGAAAAGACAGAGGACACAGCTGCTCAGGTGTGCAGTGTGAACCCTGAAAAGACACAAAGCAGAGAAATCCTAAAAAAAAAAACGCCATTCAATTTTCTTCTGTGCATTCTTTTATCGGTCGTTTCTATTTCTTTTCATGTTTTAACTTTATACTAACATATTGTGTGTACACAACAGTATGACATGCTCGTGCGAATCCAGACCGACACTTACAGACAGACAGACGGGGGTGCTGCATCATTTGCTAATTTTGAGAAGGATTAAGACATCTGATTTACATATCTTTGGAAAATCTCTCAGGTTGTGACTGACTTATCTCACACCTTTTTAAGTCATTGCCAAATACTTTAACCACAAAGACATATTTGAACCACTGTAACTACTCCAAGTTAACCCAAGCCTTTGAGCAGGGACATTTCAAAAGGCCTCTCTGATGTCTGCCTTCATCCCATATTCAGACTTCTCTAACGGAATGGTTGTGCCAATAAATCCTCTCTGGCAGGAACCTGTGCATGCTGAAAGCTGTTTGGTTTCAGTTCATTGTCCTGAATTATTAACACGGTCTGGGAGAGGGCCATTACATAAGGCCTTGTGTTTACAACTGAAACATTCAGTTTTCATTTGAGTTCAGGGAGAGAAAACACAGTGACTTATTATGCCCAAAATCCCACATGTGTCAGGTTAAAGCAAAATGTCCTTATGAACGAGAAGATATAGTGGATGTGAATCAAGGCCTCCAAGAACAGGTTTCTAATAATAGACGCTACAAGCACTCCTGTTGTTGGGTTTGATTAAAAATAGGATCAGACAGGATGCAAAGAGGAGTTGAACGATTGTTCTTGCACTCTTTCCTTTTCCTGTACAAAAACTGAAGGATGTACATGAAGAGTGGACATGACGTCTTATGTGGGTGTATGTGCTACTTGTGGGAAGATTTAAGTTTAGCATGTTTTGCCTACACTCTCTTGTTTTTATGGAGGCAAAGTGATCATTTGGAGAAGATGGTGGCACCTATTGTGGCACCCAGCTGTCACTCACAGTCACGTCTCCATTAAGTTATCATAAAAACAGCTTTTTCTACCGGTAGTTACCGCATTTATGTCATTTTTAAAGTCAGGCTTTTTAATATAAGGTTCTTTTAAAATGGACTTACTTTTGGTCTCAGGTGTTCATGCCAGGAACAGGGGTGGGAATCACAAGTGGCCCCACGATACAATATTATCAAGATACTTGGGCCACGATACGATATTACTGCTATTTTTAACATTTTGCAATACAGTGAGTATAGCGATACAATACATTGCGATTCATAAAATTTTTCAACTGTCTAGCTAATTTGGCATTTGTCTTTCCTTTACGTTTGTCTTATTTATGCTTTTTTTTTTTTCCATGTAGCACATCTTTCAAACCTTAAACATAGATTTGTTGTACCAACTTTCCCCTGTTCTATGCTGTCACCCCTGCCAACCTCACTGGACAAACAGTTAATTTTATTTTTCCATTATCATACATATGACTTCATATTAGCAATTAATTTGGAAAATTTATATTTGGTAAGAGACGATACGCTATATCACCAGACAAAATATTGCAATACTATGCTGTATTGATTTTTTTCTCCCACCCCTAGCCAGTAACAGAAAAAAAAATCGGAAACACTTGCACTATATTTACATTTCAGCCCTGAAGATTACAGCTCGACAAAATCTGACAATACAGTTTCTTTCTATATTGCACGAATAACTATCATAATCATCCTCAAACTCTGAGTATTTACAAACATGCTTTGTAACTTTGTTTTAAGAGCTTGTAATGCTCCAGTATTAATAAGGGATGTGCACAGCTTGCAGTCATATTGCATAAGAAGGAGGTAGGCCTCTTAAGTCCCTCCTGTACACCACAACTTTCATTCTTAATGTTCATCCGTCAAGAACCAGAGCTCGTAATTAGGTCAAACTGTATAAGTTGTTGGGAGCTGCACACCACAGGCATAAAATGAGATTAAAGGGAGAGGGTTTTGATGGGGGAGTCAAGTTGTACACCTACGATCTGAAGGTAGACAAATGGCTTTCTTCAGAAGCACAAAAAGAAATAATTATGTTAGAAAAATTTGCCAATAGTAAGTCAGACGAGTAGATCTGCCAGTAGATAAGTCCTACAGAGGTTGTTTGTTTACCACCTTATGAATAAAACTCCCCCCGTGTACATGCACGTATTTTTCACCCTCTTTGGTGACGCCACTGAGCAGGAGAGAAGATATCACACGGCACATCTTCCATCTGGCCGCTTTGAAAAGGCTTTCGCTGTGGTCATAGCTGCCACTCGTGAAAAATCAGAGCTATGTCAGGAATTGTCATCTGACAGCAGGGCTGGAGCGGTTCTCCACCCTCTAGTCTATGCTGTTCTACACACTCGGTACAAACAACAGCTGCAGCATGTGCACAGTGTGCCAAACTCAGACGCCCCCCTGGCAAAGGATTCTCACTCTACTCCAAGTCATTGCCACACCCTGAACTTAAAACCTACCTAGCTCTCTCTTTACAAGGGAAGACTGTGAGGTGATCTCCAGAGGACACAATCAGGATTTAGCAAAATGTCTCATTGTTTGCTTAAAGCCACATCCTCTCATATCAGATGTGTACTAATTTATATCAAAAGCGCCAAGCTAGTAGAGAGTCAGAGTCAAAGTCCACCTGCCTCCGCCTCTCACACTGCACATTGCCATCATGACAGGCTGTTCGATCATTGTGTACCGAGGACTTAGTGGGATGTCATGTCTTGAATACCTACAGGGTTATGCTGGTCTAGGCATCTAACAGACCCTCTCCAGCCTTATAAGGGCTGCTAGAGGAGTGGAGGAAAACAGATGCACCTGTCAATAGAGAGGAAAAAACAGAGCGAAGGAGTGCTGCATGGACAGGACAAGTCTAAAGAGCAGGCAGCATGTTTTCATCTGCTCAAGTTGGACAGCTAAATTGCTTTTCTAGTAACCAGGGCTGGTTTCAACCACAAACGCCATATTGTGCGAATGCTACTTAGCCATTTCCCATTTTTCAAACATGCATTAAACAAGCATATCATACATTTCCTCTGCTGAGAGAAGCATAACATGTACTCCTTTACATGCTGCGAAAATAAAGTCGCTAAAAGGCACCATCAGTCAAAGATAATGACACTGTCTTGAACCAATCACAGATGGATACACAACTATTCAGCGCTGCGTGCTTAGCAGGAGGCCTATTGGGCAGAGCTACAGAGAGCTAATGAATCTCTCCGGGAGGACTTACCCACTGGGCTGGAGCCCACAACACTTGGCATTGAAAGGTCTGTGGTATCCAGTATGCCACCTAATGAGACGCACAGAGTGATATGATTAACCATCTGCATCCATCTGCAAGCTAGCAGAACATGTGACGGGGATGCCTGTGCGGACATGAAAATGTCACAGAGATCGATCTTCACAGCAAACGAAAGGAAGACATGTGCTCCCGCTAGTGTCCTCGTGATGAGAGGATCCAATATATGACTGAAGAGAGCAAAATCAAGCTGTGTTTAGTGCGTTTGTTACATTTGGTAAGCTGGAGTCGCTGAACGTAACCTTTAAACTGCACTTGAAAAAAGACGTTTATCATTAACTTATAAATAATACACCTGTTAATTATTTCAGCAGTCTCTTCAAGAGCGACTTAAATCAGAGCCTAAAACACTCTGTGCTGCATGTCTGCGAGAAAAAAAAAGCAACGCCTTACACCTCCCGGCAAAATGATCATGAAGTAGTTATTGTGACAAACAAACATGAAGTAAACCCCCTACAAATGAGAAGGTGTTAGCCAATGCTGAAACGTGGTGAAAAGTGAATGAGGTATTTCACACCTCTGTGCCTGTTCCTCTATCGTGTGCAGTGGAACCGACTTTTGCAAAAGCCATCTGCACTGACTGAGTCAGACTCATCCTACCAGCCTTAGCATAGCCTGACATCATTCTTCCACTCCGCTGAGACACTAAATGGTGTGATAATGATCATATAAGAGGGAGTGAAATATATAGACAACACAAAAAAACAAGTTTCAGAGTTTCGATCAGGACAGCTTGATCTTAGGCTCATAGGTTGGCGTGAAGAGAGGCTTTAGAGGAAGACGGCTTACCTGGGTCTACCCAAAACCCCACAATGCCCTTTTAGCCCAAGGCTAAAGTGTAGTTAAAATCCATCAGAGCACTCTAAAACCTAACTTTTCACTTTTTTGAAATGCTGTTATTCAACCTATCGAACCTTTTTTGTTGCGTACATGGCTAGCATTTCCCTTTCTTCTTGTTTTTATGTAAAGCTAGGCAAATAACATCCATTCGCCTCACCATTACTACTGTAACAAGTAGCTATTTTTTAAATAAAACACTGATATTACCACATGGATTTCCCTAGAGTTGCTGTCTCATCCTCAATTGCGCTAACTTGTTGATGGTTGTTCTCCACTAACCTGCATTGCCCGCATTGGTGGGCCTCTGGGGGCCTCCACTGGAGCCCACATTCCTGTGCAGAGAGGCCTGTGGAGGGGACAGCATCCCGCTGTCACTTAGGGAGGCTGCGGCTGAGGCCAGGGCCTGGCTGCCCAGAGGCCCTCCTTGCTGGTACATGGCATTGGGATTGGACACAGGCACTGCCACATGCATGGAGAAGTTCTGCTGAGGCAATGCTGTGGGCTACAAGAAGGAGACAAACACACAGATGATCACGCACAAACCGACTCAAATGGTAAAGGTGTGCTGGCTCAGTGGTTTTTAATGGCTGTATCATAAGAGGGTTTGACTTATTGAGTAGACATATCAACAAAATAATACGACAGAGCACACTAAAAGACTCCTCTTTTGCTTCATTTGAAAATACATGTAAGAAAATGATCTATCTTACATCAGAGCAGAGTGACAATATGCAGCAAAGAAGTTCAATCTTACGTCTATCATATATGTATATAAAAAACATGTACATCTTCAATGCTACTGCAACACAGAGAAAACACAGGAAACACAAAGTCCAAAAACATGCATTCAGGTGATCACTTTGGCATTGCAGCAGTCAGCACTGGAAGAAATTTATTCATCCCTTGAATAACTATATTGTGTCATGTGTTCCTCAGCACAGCAGAGAGAGGTAACAGGGATTCACAACTACAGAAGTCGTGACTCACTTACATTTACCTACAGAGTGCTGACTGTGCAAAGCGTAAGTGAAAATGGCAAGTGGCGGTGAGAACGCTTCATCATAGCATTATCCAGTGAGCCAGTCGGGTGTTATCATTAGTTTGTTAATGGCAAAGTGATGCTCTTCATGTCAGGAACATAGAGAAAAACAACTGCTTAGTAAGCACTATGTTATTGCATAATTCAAATATTGTCACGCATGATAAGATCACAAAAGATTTGTGGGATTGGGAGGGTGAGCCGGTGTGGTATTTGATGAGGGAGAGGGAAGATGCTTAATGATAGTGTGGTGATAGTGAGCACTGGAAACACTTGACTGCTGGAACTTGGTAGAAAATGTGACTTATGAAGAAAGCGCCGAGAGACAGGTAAAGGGTTTTAAAGGAGTAACTGCAAACATTACATTTATAAAGAATTATGAATATGAATCTTTAATAATCTAGGAAATAAATTATAAATTAAAAAACAGGTCTGAGAAGTGAAAAACAAACTTAATCCCCAGATCCTGAAATTCTTTACACTCACATCTTCTTAGTGAGTTTTTAACATTCATTATGATTCGTTTTAAAGCTACATCCGTTTGATTTGCGATAACATGAGACTTTGGTGAATCTATCCAGCAGATGCATGCAACAATTCACCTTTTCACACAAAATGTGATCTTATCAGAGTGTGCTTCAATACCAGCTGTTTTAAAATCCAATATAAGAAACATATGCACACCCAGTGAGGAGGGTATTAATCTTTAGCTAGAGTATAGCTCAGAAAGAAGTTGGCAGAGGTTTTGGGAGGGGGAACAGAAAGAGGGAAAAGTTAAATAAAAGTAAGAGTAAAAATCCTTTGTGCCACAAAGCCAAGCAAAGGTGTTGCATTTACAGTACTTACGATTTTATGATTTCTCATCATATTATCAAACTCCTCATTAATTTTTTTATACTTTTCTTCTGTGTGAGGAGTGAGGACATATGAGGCATCGGGGTCCGGGCTATCACAACCTCTGTGTTCTTTCTTGTTTAGCGCCTGTAGTGAACATCAACATAAAGACAGAAATCAACACAAAACAGCAGGGGACAAAGGAAGTACTTACACCACAGCGCTTGTACAATAAATCACTCTCTTCGCTTAGTTTGCCGTAATGGTCGTCCATGAGGGGGCTGTGCCCAAAACAGTCATCTGGATCAGGACTAGCACAGTCATTATGGCCTTTGTTTCTCAATTTCTGAAAGGAAATTACACAGTTGAAAAGAAACAGAATACAAGATGCAGCTCTGTGTTTGTGCTTCTTGTAACCCAGTACATACATTCCTACCAGACTTAAATGTCAGTGAAAAGCATTTAGTGCATGTTTGGTCCTCTGATTGTGTCTTTAGTTGCAGGACAAAAGTTGCTGCACCGATCCTGAGCTGAACTGAAGTAAACCGTAGTTTAGTTTCAGGAAGCTGACATGTCACTAGATATCCTTTCAACCTTCAAAAGTGTTCAGAAAAAAATCACATTGCATCCTTCTTTCTTCCCCCCTCCTTCTCTCTTCTTTTTCCACCCCTCTTCTCTGCCTCCTTCCTTCCTTTGCTGCGAGAGTGTGTTTGCATTTTTCATTATATTTCAGCTATCGTAAGCCACCCAGCTGGAAGAAACCCCCCGCATAAGAAGATCATACAGCAGAGCACTTTAAGACTGTCCCAATTTAGTATGGTTGTCACTTGTGGGATCTTATCAAAATGAACGCATGTGGGGAATAAAACGGATAATCAAATGTGGTCAAAGATGCTTATTTGAGCATGAAATTGAGCAATTATTGTAAAAGCAAAGAGCTCATAAGTACATAAGGCAGGGAGTTGTGGTTTAATAAAAAGCCTATTCGAACTTCAGAGGGAGGGAAAGTGCCGTACAGCTAAACGTATAAATGCAACACTGTGCTCTTTTGCTCAGTTTCATGCAGGCTGTTCTCTGCTCCTCATTACAGCTCTGAATAGCGGTGTTAACAAGATGTGCTGACAGCATGTGACAGCTTGTGATATCAAGACAGTGTACATCAAAACATGATTTATGTGTGGCTCTCAAGGTTCCTCTATCAGGCTACAGCAGGCCCACAGCAGCGCCCTGCCCTGTCTGCGGGCAGCCTTCGAGGCCTCGTGTCTACACGAAAGGTCACAAACTCCTGTGGATGCAGGGGTCAGAGTGTGAGCGAGTGGAGAGGTACCGACACACACTAATGAGACCTCACTCTTTTGATTCAGCTCTTCGGTGCCCAACAAAGTGGAAAATGTGTGTCTACAAGACAGACTGAAAGAGAAACTATATGAGAGGCAGTGTGTGTGGCGTGCAGTGCTTGCAAGTTGAGTTAGTGTTGTGTTTTGTGTGTGTGAGAGGTGGGGGTGGATGTGTGTGTAGGGGGGTGCTACAGCTGCTACATCCTCTGACAGAGATGTGACGGTATGTTTCGGTCTGTGCAGACAATGTGGCTAACCCAGCGCTGCTTACCACAACCTCAGTGTAAGTTATATTTCCTAAAACCTGGGCCACGGCTTTTCGACACCCCAAAATGATATCAATGCATCTTTTAAGCAGATGTTGAACCCCCTCTATGCCCACCATATCTCTGTGCATACTTGTTTCTCAAGTGCGTATAATACTTTTTATTTTTTGTTTCGGAAAAATGTTAATTTGCAATTGCACAGACTAAGATGTGTCGTTTTGCACAACTAAGACAGAAATAAGGAAGTTCAGAAAAGTACCCACAAGTCTTCAAACTTAAGTGTCTGCAATGCCAAGAAAAAGAAAGAGGTCCTTTGGATAATGAATGGCCAGCACTGTACCACAGATGGATTACTGTTTGGTGTGGTACAGAGCAGTGGCATTCTTCTCATTCTAAGAAAACGCCTTGCTGGTTCATTTCCTGTTTACTGAACGAACCCTCTTTAGTTAAGGTCCTGAAAGGCCTGTGTTTACTGGGGTTAGACTATGCACTTTCTCCACCAAAGAGCCAAAGATCTGATCTCAACCTGCAAATTTAAGTTCCAACCTGCTTATTATGGGAATATATTGGTCGAACTGGTCGGGCACGGCTGTGCGCGAGCTGGGCAGGGCTGCTCTACTTTCACAACAAGCCTGGCCAGTCTTCAGCACACCGCACCCACTGGCCCAAGCCATTTAGGGAGGGGTGAGGCAGCCCAGTGGGTGAGAGAGAACCAGATAGCGGCAGACAACGGAAAGCAGCTCTCAGAGATTTGCTTTGTGATACATGAAATAAATCACGACAGATTATGTTATCTTTTTTTTTTTTTTACTACAGGTGGACAAACTATCAGCGAGAGTCGATTGGCGTCTGTGGCGTTGTACAACATTAAAAAGCTTGGCTGTAATTTTGTTTAATGACTTGGCATGTCCTAAGCATCCCGCAGATGCTTCCTACAGCTCTCTGTAAATGGATCACTAAATCAGCACATGGCCAAACAGGTGTCCCTCTTCCAAACACCTGTCAAGACCTGACTCCCTGTGCTGGCCAATCAGAGGCAGCCGTGCACAGGCATGGCCGTAGAAGGGACCACATGGAGCCCTGAAGGCCACCCGACCCCAGATCAGCTTTGCTCCCCCATGTCAATTCTGCAGTGGACTCTACAGTGTTATGACCTAGAAAAGGGGAAAACTAACAAGACCATCGAGATGCAAAAAGAAAACAAATCGATAAATAAGCTTAAAAAGGGAAACTCTTTCTGCAAATGCATCTTGGATCTCGGGTCAAGTTGTGGGGATGGTTCTGTGGGGAATGGATTTGGCTGGACGTGGATACAGCTGACGGTGGGATTTTCAGTAGCATTTCAAATGAGAGATATGGGCTGTTTGTTGCGAAGAGGGGGCTGCAGAGAGTATAGACAAGGGAACTTGTGTAATCTATTCACAAGGCCCTGAGAGGCTCACAAAGATGAGTGGGAACAAGGCCAGCTGCTATTTTCTCACAGCAGTCCAAACCTGTATTGATAGATATTCAACTCTTCAAATAAAAATGAGACTGACGTCAAACCAACTGGGTACTTTTGTCCATGTGCGCATATGTGCGTGTATTTTCTTTCATGAAAGTCGTCCACTGCAAGAGGCCTTGAGGCTGCCTTAGCCTGAAGAGAAAAACCTTGTCCCTACCTGAGCTCCAACTATTAAACAAGCTATGACTCAGGGAAGAATTCTGCATAGTTACCGTCTCTCCTGACGTATGCTAAATGTCATAGAGTAGTTTTGAGAAAGGCAAATCATTTTATCTTCCCTAAAGATTTGATGTAAACCTGTCTGATGTGAGAACCTTTAAAGTTATACTACAATAAAGAAAAAAAACTACAGACACACAATTCCCACATACTGGAATGCTTCATCCTGGACCTTAGGTTTATTCTCAAGCATTATATTCACCTATTTTTATTGCAAAATTGAAGCAAACACTCACGGATTAAAAATAAAAGCCAACCATTGCATAAGCCACCTACATCACCTGTTTCTTGAGGAGTACTTCCAGTGAGATGGGCCCAAGCAATTTACTCTGCAGCTGTGAGTCTTGGAAAACAATTTCACTCTGATGTCCTCCCTCTCTTGTGTCAAGAGAGCTTTCTGCATTTGACTTATTCATGTCTTACACAGTACAGTATGTGAAAAGACGGCAGGGTGAAAGGAGAAGGATAGAGGCTTAGTATAAAAGCTCAACTTCAAAATTGTGGGGGAGATGGCTGAAAGGAAGGCATGAAGAGGCTGTTTTCTATAGTCTCTAACATTGTGCCTGAATCACACAGTCGTGTTCACTTACAGTAGCTTTCACTATTGGCAGAGCACCACCTGACCTCTGACTGCAGCACCACAGCTCTGATTACTGGCCCCTCAACAGCAAGACAGTTTGTAGAGATATGGCAACAGAGAGTCGGAAATCACACAAAATGTTCTAAAAGGGGAGTCCAACATGAATGTTTCATGTTGTATGTTGTGTCTATTTTCACCTTCGTACACAGGAGCTATATTTTAACTGGTTGCTACCTCACATCAGACAGGTCTTCTAGCCTTTTCGCCCTGCAGTGCTGTGAATTAGCCCTTGTGCCCGCCGCTACACTAAGCAAGGTAGCGTGCTAATCCTCATGACATCACCATTGTGTCCAGGCCGTTCCATCTAATGTGCTTATCAAAGGGCTTCTTTGAGTGTGAAATCAGCATGGTGGTGAGGCGGCTGATAGGAAGGCTTTTATCTGCTAAGGAATATTTCTGCTCTTATATAACTTCTTATGAGACTTTCACTACCATATTTCCACATTCCTTTGTGGTGCTGGAGTCTTCATTTGAGGTGAATAAGTCTCTTTTGGTGGCTCTTTTTGCCATAATTGAGCAGTAGGTTACAGTAATACAGGAAGCTAGTTTTTCTCCCCATTTTCCCGCCACATATCCAGAGTCGGGGGGCTTTTCATCTGCATTTCCCAGACATATCTCAATCAGTCTGTTGACCATTACACATCAGCATGTAGACTGATATCAGGATATGAGGCTGGATTCACATCCTTCCTTTGGCCGTCTCCCATTGTCTGGTTACTCAGTGGACAGGAAGAGCAGCGGGAGGGGGAAACTACTTAACTCAACTGTCTGACTTTATTTGAATATTGTTGTATTGTGGCTGTTTGAAAAACAATGTGGACTCTGGGATTCAACCCCACCTGATACTACAATGGCAATAACCGACTTACACAGCAGCCATTTCACTCTGACCTCACATTTAGGGTGGGAAGTTAATTGCTGCTGAGCTCAGCACTAGGGGTGGGAATCCCTAGTGGCCCCATGAAATGATATTATCGATACATCGATATTACACGATACAATATTATTGCGGTTTTTAACATTTGGCAATACAGCGAGCAGTGCGATACAATATATTGCGATTTATATAATTTTTTCAACTGTTTAGCTAATTTAGCATTTGTCTTTCCTTTATATTTGTCTAATTTACACAGTATCTTATTTTCATGTAGCACATCTTGCAAATCTTATATGTATATTTTTGTACTTACTTTCTCCTGCTCTATGATGTCATCTCTGCCAACTTCACTGGACAGACAGTTGATTTTATTTTTCCATTATCATAGATTTGACTTCATATTAATGATTAATTTGAAAAAATCGATACTTGGTTAATGAGAAGATAAGATATATCACCAGACAAAATATCGCGATACTACACTGTATTGATTTTGTCTCCCACCCCTACTCAGCACAGCAGCCTGGGACTCAATGCAGAGGGACTGTCTACACAGTGCAATACCAAAAAAATCACTCTCTTTGTCTCAATCAGTCAACTCCTAATTTTTAGTACCAACAAGAGGGAATTAAACAACAAAACTCAGGACTCAAGTAACCAGCATCATCAATGAAAAACAATGAGAACATACTGTTCACGCTCCTCAAGAATAGGAGATGAGACGGATTAAAATGGTAAAATACTCACAACCCAGACCACACATTAACATCCGAATTATTGAAAATCTTTCCAACCATCTTCATTACCTGTCCCCCCTCCCCATCCCAACCCCTGCTCTCTCCCCCTTTCTCTTTCCCCGCTCTCCTTTCTCTCTCTCTCTTTCTCTGGTCATTGAGTGGATCATTAGCTGTCAGGGCCCTTGAAACCATACCCCCAACCCTGAACTCCCATTCCTGCTTGCCTCTAAAATATTCATAAGGACAATTAGGAGTTCCGATAAGGCGAGTACGGAGGGCTGGGGGGGCGCTCGGCAAAGAGGGCAGGATGTGCCAGCAGGACGTCTGTTCTGCAACACTCTATACCCGGACCACAGACCTGTCCTCATCAATCTGAGACACAGCAGCCTCCCTCTTTGCCCCCAGTAAGGCCAGGCAGCCAGGGGAAGGTGGCACAGTGCCAGCTAACCCCCTCCATCCCAGCAGGCTTTGCTATGTCCTCGCCCCTGGGCAGGAGGGGTTGGCCGCACAGCACACACAGTGGGAGGAGGGGGGCACAAGGGCAAGCTGATGGTTGCACGAGCTAACCCACAGAAACCGCCATGTACAAAAGCAAGGTCTCATTTCAACCATACAGCCAACAAGGTCACTCACTGAACAACATGCAAAGGGGGCATGCATGGCTTGTATTGGCGTGAACTTCGGCATGGCCGTTTTTATTGTATGTTTGTAATTAGATCAAACCAAATCAGGTCAAATCAAAGACTGACCTATTTTCTGTTGTTCGTACCTCCATCAGTAACAGGTATGTGATTTGTATCCATTTTTAAGGTTAACACATGAGAACCTCTGCATCTACGCTGTACATCACCACACTCTCATTCAGTTACCCATCAGGCTATATAAACTACATACAACAGTTCTGATGTGTGGTGTAAGATAATCAGGCCGTCACAGCTCTGGCAAAAGGACACCAGCGTCATGTGGTGTGCTAAAGGCGATAGGACTTATTCACCAACAATTTCTCAAAAATTCACGAAACAGCTCTTAAACAGCAAGATTGTTCACACCTGTACTCTTAAAATGAATAAAGGTCATGTCTTCATAAGTTTTGAGGCCTGTTTAACTTTTTCCAAGTTAGCATGTGCCCGTATCAGGGCTAAATAAAGACACCACACTTGTTAAAGAAGAGGAGTAAAGAGACATTGAAGGTGTACAAATGAAAATATCAACTGATGGTGCACTGGAAGTAAATTAATCATTAGGTAGCTCTGAAACAGTGCTGCTGGAAGTGAAACCAAATGCCAGATTTATTAGCCGCGGTGGTTTTGATTGAAAGAAGAAAAAATATGTATATCACTTGAAATAAAAAAGTGTATTCAAGAATGGCTGGAAAAAGGGGCCCAATATAATTTAGGCAACAGTAAGAATTACCAAATGAAACTAACAAGAAAAGGAGGATAACCAGGTGGCTGGTAAGAAGTCCTAATACTCCCAAAAGTCAAGGTATGAAAACCGCATGAATTCAGGGTCACTCATTACTTCCCATTAATTATTCAATGAACCCTTAGTTTTGCTTATCTGATCACCTTGCTCGGTCTTTAAGATATGCTAAGTAAACATAAGCTTTCATTACTTCTGAGGACACAGGCACCAAGTTGCCTGTAATGTTAATGACCTGTAGCTTGTTTGTTAGCAGTAGCGTGTCACAAACAAGAGGGCAGTACATTATCAATGTGGTGTACACAACCGATGTTATATGTTAAAGATCATCGAATTACCAACAATTACATGTGGGTCAAACAAAAGGAAAAACCAGTGGGGCACACATTTGAAAACAATTCAGCACTTTTTCAATTAAAAAGTAAAAAATTACCCAATCAATGATAGGCTAGTGACTAGCCTATCATTGATTCGGTCATTTTTTACTTTTTTACTAGCCGCTAGTCTGATCTAGAAAACATTTGACATGTCTAAGAGGGTTTTGGTGGCTTTCCTTTAAGAATTAAGAAAAATGTTTATGAAGTGATTAAACCTCTTAACCCTCTTTTAGGCAGTAGTTAAAAGCTAAAAAATGTCCATAAACTCCAGCTCAAATTCGTTTGACCTCTTTAGTCTTTCTTTGACAGTAGTTTGTCTAATAAACCAAGCACTTATCTCAAGAAATTTGCTGTAGAAGTTTAATATTAAAATGATCTTAAATAAGAAAAACAGTCTTATAAAGAAAGAAGGGAGTAATCTGGATTAAAAATTAAATTACATATATATGTCCATGTCTTTTGTGAATAAACTGTGATGTTCAGAAGTGACAGATTTTGGCATATCTACCATTAGATCCAGGAGTACAAACTGATTAGTGTCAGTGGAAACTAATGTTATAAAGGAGGCACTTTGGCTTGTGGTCTTTTGTTGTTGTTGTGTTTCCTTTCATTATATGCTCTCTTAAGAGATCCTCAGTTTCAAATGAGACATTGGCAATGTAGCCGTGAGCATGGAAAAAAGCTCTGACGTCAAGATCATACAGCATGTGCTAAAAGCAAAAATATCTTAGCAATAACCTGGTAACAAGCACCGCACAGTGAAGAGCACAGAATCATAACACAATGACAGAAGTGACGCAAAATGGACATAAAACCTGGATATCTTGAATCATACGCTGAGCCATTCTAAAAATCTAAAGAACACTATTTAAAGCGTGCCTGCATGAAAAAAAAAATTATACAAAGAGCTGGAATACAGCTTATTCTGATGTCGGTAATTAGACAACATCTTCACAATTTAAAATTCATGGCCATTAACCAGCCATCAGGTAACAAATACTGTAAGTTGGTTTTATAACCAAGGACACATGTTACAGAGTAATATGAACATTTACCTCAACTGTTTCATTACGCTGAGAAAAATACAAAAGAGGACTGGTGACCCTTTTTCACTAAAAGCCCAGAGGAAAAGGAGTCCTTGTCCTACAAAAAGGGGCACTTTGAAACCCAGCATGTCGCTCGCAACAGAACCATTAATACTGTCTCACTCACATGGAGAGAGGAGACTTTTCAGACGACTCTCACTACTCTGCTCCATGAGAGATAAATGAATAAATCACTGAAACTGAGATTAACATGACTACTTTTTAGCCTGAGAAAGACGGTGTGATTAGGTATTACCGCACAGTTAACGTCACAACAAATGAATGATGTAAATGTACAAGCCATAACAGGTTTTAGGGGAAATATGACGTAGACTGAATTGGGTTACTCTTATTAAACAGAGCAGATGTTGACCAACTTTGTGATATTAATGTCAATGTTAATGTTCAGTGGCTTACACTTGTGTTTAGAAAAATCATGGACACTGATCATCAGAGACCTCGGTAAACGCTTGATTTTGGAGCGGTGCAAATGTTATTTTAATCAACATTTATGATTAAATCCTGTACCTAAAAATATAATTCCCTTGAGACATAAACCGAGAGTCCCTATCTCTGTGGTGGCCAAACTGCTGTTTCCTCAAGACATCAAACTGAAGTCGAGGCTTTGGTGCAACAGTCACACAACAATCTACCTAACCACAACTATCATGAAGATATTATCTAGAAAACAGTATTTTCCAATTAACTTATTTGAATAAACAAATAAATGCAGATTTAACAGGCCTCGGCTACTTTTGCTGTTCCAGGGATTTCCCAGCATGCAGTTTTACAGTATGCAGCGCCCCGCTAAAAGCCCCCACAGAGGCTGACTTGACAGTTGATACTATGTATTAAAGCTGTGACTAACTTTATCAGCGGTATTCCTGCCATCAACAAAGATAACCTTTCTTTCTGTTTTAACTTGAACGTATGTGAGTTTCTTTTTTTAAACTTGTCCTACTGCACTGCTCTGAAAATAGAAGCTGCTGCAGTGTGAACAGTGACTGTGTTTGTTTTGACTGGAAACACATGTAACCCTGGAGCTGACCAGCAGGCCCAAAAAGGTTAAACGTCTGCTCCCAGGTATACACAACAGTCTGTGTGCACACAGTAAATAGGAAGTAGCTTTCTGATATAGTGTTTTTATATCAGCACCAAATAAAAGGGGAACAGAAAGATTTCAAAGACACATTGATACTGCCTTTGCCATTTCCTAACCTCCCTCCCTCTCTCCGTGGACATCAGATTGATTGACAGGCTTAGCTTTTAAACTAAAACAAACTGTTCCTGAAAGCTGTATCACTAACGATGCACATAACCATCATTTTTACGGTTGACTAAAAGGAATCATACTTAAGATGAGACCGTCTTACTTAGGATAATCTACAGAGCTGTGCGTCAGAATGACAATGTAGAAAACAATTTTAATATCACTTCAATAAATCACAGGAGAGCAGAGGAGCACATACTTTTTTAAATGTAATAATAAAAATGGGCCACAGAAAATTTCACATATATTGAAAAGCCCTGAAAAATCAACATCAATAAGTCTAAGTCAATAGCAATGATATTTGATTTAGCTTAAAAGGGATTTCTCATCATTGCTGCTATGAGCTCATTGGTGAACTACTCAGAAGAAAAAATAGTAATATGAGGTTGTTTGCAGCAGAGAAGTGGAAAGATAATGGCGGAGAGGTGGAGGTGGATATAAGGTGTACTGAAAGTTGACAATGGCGCCACTGAACCTACAACTCGTTTCATGTATGGAAACTTCTAACAAGTTAGATTTGTCCTAAATGCTCTAAACACTAATCTATTCAACTGACTTGTCACTTTTCATCTTGTTCAAATCACAAATTTTGTAAAAATTAAACTCTTCAAATATTGTTTCAAAGTTGATTTACAAAGAGTGCAGTTCTTTCAATTACATGGCTGCCCTCCTTTACCAAGAGTCAACTACAATGAATTTCAAGAATGAGCAGTTTTACGTGTCAGACATGAAGTCATTTTCAAACCACAATGATAATTGTATTTTGAAGCTCTATCTTCCCCAGATCATAAATAAGGACTTTTTGTTTTTAAAAATGCCAGCCAAGCACTCCTCAGAAAATCAGAATTAGATATAAAATGATTATTTTTCTCCAAAGCAGTTCCTTGTACGTCAAGAGAAACTCCCTGCTAGTTTTCATGTTTTAGTTGAGCTGGCCAACATATGATTTTTCCTTTCAAACTCATCATTTTAGTCTCTCTATTAGACTAACAGTCATAGGTTAAAGGGGGATGAGGAAAGCTAAACCCTGATAACACAATTCTCTAAACTTTGTAAATACTTACATGAACTTTAATCATAAACGGTTGTTTAAAAAGTTTTTGAAAGCTTAAAAAAACATTCAATACTGTCAGAAATCAATTACAGAGGTGTAATACGTCATTAATCTATTGTTTTATCATCTTTAACATTACTCCTGGGATACTGCCTATTACACAAGAAAACTTGGTATTTGCGTCAGTTGATTGGTTTCCCAGTCAGAGTCTCAATGGACATCCCTCTATACTTCTGCGTCACTTTTACGCCTCTACTACTCTCAGTAGTTTTCACCAGTGTGCTTCAAGAAAATGAGCCTACTGTTAAACACAAACACAAACAATCTGCGCACAACGACAAACAAGAGAGACTTCAGAGTTTAAAATCACAGAGCGTGTAAATACCCGTGTGGCTGAGGCCCATGTCTCACAGGAATATCTCTTCAGAAAATCTACTGAAGGAAAATCAGACGCGGATCTTACATGCAATTGTATTTTTGACATATAGCAATGGGGGAGGAAATCACAAGAATTCAACAAATGACATATTGAGCACTTCTATAAAGTCATATATCTTCGCATTGTTTTGATCTGGGTAGTATCAGCTGCATTATTTAGTGTCACATTGGCCGGACTTGGGTTTGTTAAAAGAGTAAAGTAAAATTCTCTCTTTTTTTTGTTAAACTGTACAATTGATATAATGAGTGTAGCTTAAGGGGAGTTTCTTTTTCCCTTTTTTTTTCTCATGCTCTTTCATCTCTCCTCCAGCCCTTAGTCCCCCCACTCTTTCCTCATCTCCATTTCCAGTGAGCCACCAGCAGGAGGATAATTGATCAATCATGCTAATTGAAGAGTCTGGACAGCAAGCCCACCATAGCAGATGTGCCAATTTGCATTCATTAAGAAAGAAATGAGTCTTAATCACTGCTCGGTCTTTGATTGACAACATAAACATCCCCTGTTTGAAACTACTGGTGCCCATTCAGCCCAAAACACTGCAAGGTTTAATTCCTCGAAGAGTAGCGCTACCTTTCTTACAAGCCTTAATGCAGTGACCCTCTTGCTTGGTTTAACAAAGATCCAGAAAATGGGACATGGTGGAAAACAAATTCTTTGATTGGGAGAAAAGCTTTTGTCACAATAAAACCGGCAAAGGTCAGTCTCATGGCTTGGCATTCAGTAATGGTCAGAATTTTCATATCTTATTGAATGACTAATGCTGCCTAATCGATAACAATAGCTGATAGTGATCATGAAATAAAACTTAATGGAAATTAGCTGATAAATTATGCCCGTCTTCTCTCGCTGAAGTGGCCCTTCACAAATAGAGAATAAACAGCCCTTTTTTACTAAGTCCCATTAACAATGGCTTCCTCTCTTCTTTATGAGGAAGATAAGCAGCATTTCCCTATGAATGATGGCTGTGTGTTTACTCCCACAAATCATCAGGGTAAAAGACCTTTAAAGAGGAGCAGTGAAAAAGCAAAGCTTTGCCAATTATGCAGTCTAGTTTTTACATTTACAAGGAGAGGTTTTCACTCAAATCACATCTTGAAACTAGGTTAAAGACAAATCGCCGTCCTGATTCTATTAAGATTTAAGTGTTGACTTAATGCCAATTTTGTGTGCCTGTAAACATGATTACTCTTAATCTCAACCTTATACCTAAATTGTTTTGAATTGCTTTTAGAGAGGACACATAAATGCCAGATGATACCCATGAAGTTAGTCCATGATTTAAAGGTTTTTCCTGGAGACACAGTGATGTTTCTGTGTGCTGGGGTATGGTGTGAGGTTATGGAGGAGCATGAGCGAAATCTCATTAGCTGCACTAGCAGAGAGTGGAGGAAGAGTAAATATTATTAGATTAATCTAATGACTAACAGCAGCATTTTCATTTGTGGTATAAACAGAATTCAATACCAAGCACAATAGGAACAACACCATGAAACCTTCAGTCATGAGCACTCTGTTTGGTCTGCAATAACACGAACATATTAGAAACCACAATTACATTGAGCAGAAATTACTGCGTGCTGATGAGTTTGATCTCGAGAAAGGCTGCACACTGCAGACGCACGAGGAAAAATACTTGTATGTAATTTTCTGCATAACTGCTAAATTGAGTAATGCGAAGGTGGCCTTAAAAGTTTTTTTTTTACATAGAAGAAGCCAGACTAGCTTCAGTAGAAATAAAAAAAATGCTTAATTCTGTTCAACAGGCCACAAGAATGAGCCCTGCAAATTTTCTCTTTGTGAAACTGATTAAAAATGACTTCCCTCCTCGTAGTGTTCAGAATGAAACAAAAAAGGGGAGCATTTTGTGTCATGCATAAAAAAATGGTGATTTCGTACAGCAGGCCACCTGCTGGTTGACGCTCTGTAAGGATTAAGACCATCAACAAATGCAAACATGCTCAAACACACATGGCAACTGAAATATCGGCGCTCACTGCTCGGCTTTGGACTGTGAGCCAAGTTTGAGACAAAGTCCACAGCCCTCCACTGGGTTATCAAACTGTGGACCAGGCATGCATCCATCTGTGGAAAACATGGAGACTGTTCTCCCACACTACACAGCTCGGCCTTTATCTACAGATGGTACCACTGAGAAGGAATGTGACCTTTGATTTAGTACCTCACACGGAAAGAGCTTCCCAACGAAAAGTAAGAGAGGGTTTTTCTAGCCTCTCAAAGTGAACAAATAAGCACATGATTGTTTGCAGGGCAAAGATTGGTTTAACACAATTTAATAACTTAGATAAGTGTCCATGGTAAGTGTCCTCATGTGGGACCCATTTCACTTGATTGGTAGGGGATGGGTTGGATTCTCTCCGTCAATGTAAATCCATCAGCTTCTTCATTTAGTGTACAGATCCTCTGTTGCTTAATTGAGCAGATTTCTCCAAGAGTTTGATCGTGTTGTATCAAATCTTTTACCAATTACAAATCACCTCTGATACTAGCTCTCTACTCATCATGTGAACAGCGGGGTTGTTTGGCGACGCTGTGAAGTGGACCGGCTTGGTTACTTCTGCTCCGCTTCTTCATTTCTGAACCTTGCGCACGTAGCCAGCAGGCAAAAGGGGGGGGGGGGTTTGTGCATATCTGCAAAGATGCTGGCCGAGCGAGCGGGGACAACAGCGGCTTGTTCTCGCCTTTTGTGCAGCAGGGGCAGCTTCCTTGAGAGTGCTACACAGAAAGGCTAAATGGGAAAAACAGCGAGGGACCACTGGTGCTACATTTGGCACGATGTATATTCCGATCCATGCTGTCGGTTTGAGCAGGCGCACAGAACTAGTGCAAAGGTATTCATGACATAACAGCCTGAGGTGGAGAAAACCTCAATTGATTCTGTTATTATGTTTGCTTGTGTAAAATAAGACAGCTTCCTGAGCCACAGCCAAAAATGAATAAATAAATAAAGATAAAAAGGAAAAAGAAATTGTGGTCATCCTTACGTAACGAAGGAGAGCGTCCATGTATTTTTCATGCAGGTGAGCCCCTGCTCTGTTTGGAGGGCCCCTGATGGAGAAGTGACTACACGAGTCTACTGGATGCCAGAGCACTCTTCTGCAGCTCTGCCAAGCAGGTAATTCACAAGCAGCAGCATGAATAAAAGATAATGGGCCACAGCTGACTCCTTTATGCTGCATGTAATTTCGCTAATTCCTCCAAGTGAAAGTCTCTCCCATGCAGAGGATTCTTAAAAACGTTCAGTCTCACCCCTCTTAAATGCTCGATGTCCTCTAATTGAGCAGCAGTGATAAAATGTATGTTTCAGCGGGCAGGTGGAAAGCATTGTGATTTGTTAGTGTGCAGTGTTCATTAGAAGTACCTCAGATTGAATAAAGTATATTCTGAATTATACCAATAAAAAATGAATGGGAACTAGACTCAAGATTATAAGAAGGCTTTTAAAAGGCATTAACATACATTGTATATGCTTTCATTTACTCACAAAGAAGATACCAGGCACTAAGAGCAGATCTTGAAAAGGCACTGAAACCACAAGAGAGCCAGTGAAAGAGGTTTGGAACCGAATGTCTCCCCAATCATTCTCATTTACTTTGGCTTTTCACTCTTGGCTCACAGTTTTTGTATACTGGCATAACAAGTGGCTTACTCTTCCGCTAGTTGTCGGGCATGCACAGGCTGCCAAGAAAGCCAAGTGCTTGTTGAGTTTTATAGAGCGGTATGGAATGTACTAAACACTGTATTTCAACTGTGCCAACAGTGGAGCTGATGGTCTGTGATGAGGAGCAGCAAGAGCACTGAGCCCTACAGGTACAGTATCTATGGGAAACACAGGCGGCACTGGTGGTCAGCAGCTAGTGTGTGCAGAGATAGGTTTTCCACGTCAGTTGACGGGCAGAAGTGAAGCTGAACTTATCAGGGAGTGCAGACCTCCCGTGCCCTATCTGCGTGGTGACGAGAAGGAAACTGTTACTTATTTCTCATTGTTGTTTGTTTGAAGCTTTAACCTCGAGGAATCTACAAAACTGTAAAGCCTATATTACCCCAGAACAAATATTAGAATAAGTATATTTTATGCAAATCCCCTACTTAAGTACATTTTAAACATGGTTTTTCTTCAACCGCTCAGGGGAGAGGCAATACTTGATCTGAAATAATGAGGAAAAAAATGCCCAATGTGGAAGAAATTTTTCATCACATTATAAGGAAGCGGCATTCACTCACCTCTACAATGTCAGAATTGGTTCTGCTCTCATGGGGTTCGTTGTACTCTGTGTATTTCAGCAACACTTTGTCCATGTCTGTGCTGGCGTACTGGAACAGTTTGTTAGAGCTGTTGAAAATGATGAGGGCTATCTCACAGTCACACAGTACGCTCAGCTCGTAGGCCTTTTTCATCAGGCCAAACTTCCTCTTGGTGAAGGTAACCTGAGGGAGACGGACAACAAAACTATTAACAGGAAAACTGCTTCATTCAAAGTGACAGAATAGAAACATTCACATTGCATAAAGTGGAAAATAAAAATCTACATCTGACACATAAATGTAGAGCTAATCTAGTATTAAAAAAAACAATATCTTACTGTTACTGAGGAAGTTAAGGACACCAAGAATACAGTAACACCACACAGTTACACTTTTTGGGGTAAGTGGCTCTGTTGATGCTAGAAAACCCTTTTTGTTCTTAGTTTAGTTTTAAATGCAGAATACATGGAAATAAAACACTTCTCTGTTGGGTCCAGTGTAGGTAAAGTGTGTGGGGGGGGGCAGGATTTACAGTCACATTATTTTACAACAAAGTTACTACAAACAGGATGAAAGATAACAAGATCATTGCTCCTTTAGGAATGATTGCAATGACACTGCGCACGTCTGAAATGTCTAGTTATCAGAACGGAGGTCAGGGTCAAAGGCACGAGTCAGCCAGCTGAGTCAGTGCTTTGGCAACAACAGGGGTCCATACATTACTGTAGCCCCTGACTCCATATAGGGAAAGCTATCTGTGTAGTGCAGCATAAGCCTTGTAACGTGAGCCCTCAGATGGGAGTTGGGGTCATACATCACTTGGATGGTAACGCAACTCTCGCTGCAAAGTGACTTTCTGTCCCGTCTCACTGCAGCTCTGTCTCTGTGGTTGTTTCAGACTCATACACACATGTCATTATGTTACACCACCTCTTTACAGTACACACAACAGTCATTTCTCAAAGCTGAAAACATCAGTCACAGGAAGGGAGGACAGAAATAAAGGTGTTTTCTTCTTTGGCTTCCTAATGATTGTTTGCAGAAATAGTTTTACAATATGTGTATTTCAAAGCGTGGTTCCAGATTTATGTTGTCCTTAAGTGCGTATGTGTGTGTGTGCATGTGTGTGTTACACAGTGTGGCTACAAGTCAAAGCTGTGCTCAGAGCCACAGAGGAGTGCATGTGCCTGTATTCTTCATCAGTTTCACTGACCTACTAAGAGAGGAGTTGAGCAGATGAGCTGGCTTTGTTCAACTTTAATTGGTCACAGCTTGCGGCTATATCCTCATTTTAACTGGTATAATGCAGTATAATCCTACATGTTGCACAGTGTCTATGGAACTGCTGAGGCAGTGGGGTCACTCCAGCTGTGATAAATGAATTTCAGATCTTTCACACTACAGGTAATTATTACACAGAGCCGTTATCCCTACTGTAGACACGAAGGAGCCTGCCCCCTGTCATTTCATATTCAATACAATGATGTTACCAGAGCTGAGAGGACAAACCAAAATCTGAGCCGACTTTCTTGAAATGACAGATTTAAACACAAGAGAGACTGACTAAAATGAATGCTTTCACAGACATGAAGCTTTTGAATTAACACAATTAAAGCATTGTGTGGTTTTGTGTGTGTTCTCCTTGGTGGATTTTAAGCAATGTAATATAATTTGACGAGTTTTAGGTCTGTTCCTTCCCCCTTTTGGTTCAACAGCATGTCTAACCAGCCTATGTTTGTCCCCTGTGGCTGAACACCAAAGCAGACTATTCCCTTATTCACCTGCTTACATATTTGTTTGTTTGCCTAACCAACTGGAAAGTAGGGACTGTCATGTGGGGAAATGATTAACAAATTGTATGCTCTTTAGCAGATGAATGTGGCTGTTAAGCCATGGAGATGTCACCTTTCAGCAGGAAGCCCAGGATGAGACGCTGAGCGAGGACTTTGTTCCACCTGGATGCATGGCAGAGTGCTGAGTGCAGAGCTGCTGACCCAGCCACCACTTCATTTCAACCTCAGCTGCAGCACTGAGACCTGGTCCTCGCCCCGGCCCCAGAACACATCTCTATGATAGCTAGCTGACGACTGCATTACTCATCTGTTCTTGTACGGTTTTGAACATTTTAAAGGAAAGCTATTTTTTGACATTTGCCCTATTCATCTCCATTTTACAGATTTAAATAGTTCAGCTTAGTTCACTTGAGAAGTCATGCCACAAAACATGTCTGAGCATAAAGACCTACATATACAGACATATCTTCTTTGGGTGATGGTGAGACTGTGGAAAACCACAGACATCCTCAAGGTCAAGTGGGAGGTTCACTGGCAGAGCCACACTATGGTTCATCGTGTCAAAGACTCCCACAAAGAGACAGTGTGATCTCAAAAATTTCAGTCCTTCCTATAGAAAGATGAAGCTCTCCGGGTCCATGACTAATTCATGCCTTTCAAAATGACGGGATAAGAGTCCGTTTTGTTAAGATGTGTTATACCGTTCAAGAATGCCACACAGTTGTACTTAAAAATCAAATGTAAGGGCAAATATAAAGAGAGTTACATCACTCCCAATAAAGTGAAGTGTTTGCAACTTTCTCTGCTTTTGATAAGGTCATCATAACAGCTCATACAATACCAGATACATCAGTGACTAAACCAGGATTTCATTCAGACTCTGCCATGCTGAAAGCCTGACCTTTAAGAAGCACTCACAATGTCAAAATGAGGCTGCTATTCCGCTCTCAATTCACACTTTCTGCACTCCCAACTTCTTCTCAGGGGCCTCACCACCGTTACCTGTTTTACTGAGCTTTAATTGAGCTTGGTGATTCAGCTCAGTTTTTTTTTTCTTTAAAGCTACGGACTTGGTTTTCTCAATCAAGACATCAGAGAGATGCTGCAGCGTAGACGGTTGTAAATGTCAACGCATTTCAGGTAAAGTATAGAAATCTTGATTCTCAGGAATTAACAAAAAAAACGTAACATCCTGTGTCTGTTATTCGTAGGTATTATTTCCTTTGTCATTTTCCTCTTCCACCAGAGATTCTCTACCTCAGAAAACTACAGAATAACTCGCCACAGCAAACCTCATCTTCAACTACCACACAGAGCAGAAGTGTCAATCACGAGGTCTATCAATGTCTATCCACAGGCAGAGGTGCCAAGATGACAAACAAGACATCTGGGACTCAGAGTGCAGCTGTGACTGCTTCATGGCAGGAGACGCCTGAGTCACTAACACCTTCAGAGGGGTGAGGAGCTGGCGGCCTTATTAGAACCTCATGTCACCTCAGACGACCCCCATGGCAGACAAGAGTGCGGGATGCAGAGTAACTGAGGTCTGGCACCAGCTGGCAGAGTGACCCAGGCCCTGTGGCTGCTGCCCTGGCTATGTGGTGCCAGAGAGTGCGAGCCTGGGAGACAGGCCGAGGCCAGCGCGACTGTCTGTGCAGATCAGCTCTCACTGGGAGAGAGGACAGCCCCAGGATCCCTATTTGGACAACTGACGGAGCAAAGGCCTCATCCACTGAGTGGGGTTGACCTTGAAACCTAGAGTAGCCGTGACTGATCCTGTTTAGTGAAGAGAGCGACATGCCAGTTAGCAAAAGAAATGTGCATCTCCATAAAACTCTCTGTTTTCAATAACAAGAACAACCCAATCTATGGACAATTAGAGGAAAACTAATTCAAAAATGTCTGCAGTGTTGATAGAACTTTAAATAGTTATAACTTTTCAAAAAGCACAAGCCTTTTAGGGAACCATAACACTAAACTCTCTTCCTGTAACACAAAGTGTCAATCCCAATCACCCAACTTTGTGATTTGCTGCTTCAGCACAGTTTCATGGAAACTACATGTCATCTTGAACAACGTGACTTCCTGTCACACTGAACACTGTTCCTCTGTTCTGTTCATGGTCAATCAACGAGCTCTTTACCTGTCCAAAAAATAATGACAGCCACTCAGAACTTCAGCAACGGGTGAAGGCTGAATTATGGGAGGTGTTGCTCCCTGGAGAGAAAGTGAGACAGAAAGCTCCTCCGTGCCTACAGGCAACTCGAGCACCAGAGCTAAAAAACCCAAAATGAGCCACAGCAAGGGCAGGCAACCCTCCACCCAGCAGCAAAATCATCAAACTTTTAATGACTTGGGCAATTACCCCCAGTGAGCTTGCTTAATGGCATCCAGAGGACGTCACCAGACACTGCCTACTGGGTTTCACCAGCTGCTTTATACGCTGACATACAGGACTAATGTGTCCGCTTCTGTCTTCACCATCACACTCCTGCTAAATCTGTGCACAACAGACCAGCTCCTCCTAGAAGTAAAAAAGACTCCAAAAATTGGAAAAGGTTGGTTGTTAATTGAACTCCTTTTGTAGTTTTAAAGCAGTTGATTCAATTGAATACTCCTGCGGTTTTGAATTTAGTTTCCACTATATTAATCTGCATGTGGTGACAGATTAAAAAAAAAAGTTACACAAGATACAGCTTGAGAATCAATTTTTGATTCTGTGCACAGGTAAGTATTCATGACGGAGTATTAGAGTATAAGAAAAAAAAATTTAAGACATCGAGATTTAAGTCATTAATTTACGAGAATAAGTCATTACTAATGAGAATAAAGTTGTACTAAAATCATTACTTACGTGAATAAAGTTGTACTAGATTCACTACTTACAAGAATAAAGTTGTATCAAAATCATTATGATAGGCTACTAATGATAATGTGGTATTGATATGCCAAAGAATTAAATATCTCCTTGTTTGAGAAACCTATATTGAAGTACATTTTCACAAAATGCTCCACGGCTCTCAATTCAACAACTATCATCTCAAACAACAGGTTAGAATATGAGGACTTTATTCTCGTAGGTAATGATTTCAGTACGACTTTATTCTTGTAAGTAATGACTTTATTACAACTTTATTCTCGTAAGTAATGATTTTATTACAACTTTATTCTTGTAGGTACTTACTTTATTCTTGTAAGGTAACAACTTTAATTTCAATGTCACAATGTTTTTTTCTTTACTTAATGTGGCCCTAATACTCCATCGTAGGTTTAATTTTAGTGAAGGCTTTAGATGAAGACAAATCAGCCAGACTGTGCTAACGCCTGGTTTTCACCTAGCATCCATTTGCAATCAGTGTGTCAGTCTGCTACATGACTGTGCTGCTCTGTCCCAGGACCATCATCACTTATGCAGGGTATCGCTGGGGAACTTGCTTTACTGTCCTACAATATGCATGACAGGACCTCCACTGCTTTCATGTCTCATTCTGTACACCCTTTACACAGCAGAAACACACGTACTTTGGTTTCGGGTATAGAGCTGCACTAAAAGACGATGTATGTGAAAACAGCTTGATGGTTTTGCATCATGCGCTTCGTAATGCTAAACGATGAAAACATGTCATGACACGATGAGTAACAAACAAACTAAAAAATTAAATACAATAAAAACTCTGCAAAGTTCACTGCCTGTTTCAACTTGGCACTCACAATTCCTGATGGATTGTGCAATTACAGACCTCCTTGGCCTTTGGCGCGCGCTGCGTTATAAATCCAAAAAGGTTAACAGCTCTCCTAAAGCACTTGTAGTGATAATGCAAGGGAGCCCCAGCCGTCCCCACACAACATCCTGTGTAGCAATTCTATCTAATTAGCCCACTTAAGGACTCCTTTCATTTTAATGCTATGATAGCTAGCAGCAGAGCGGCATAGATAAAGATTCAAATTGTCTCCCGACAGCAGAGACATATGCTAATGGCTATTCCCCTAGGTTAGGAGCGCGCCCCAGGGAGTGATGGCGCTGTGCGCTTCATGGCCCAGGAAAAAAAAAGAGAGAGAAAGACACATAAGCATACATCACTTTACACCAAAGCTGTGTTTTAGCATGGTGGCCTATCGTCGGAGCGGATCCACTGCTGAGCCAGCTATAACCAATTAAATGCGAGAGGAAAAGCCTGTGCTCTGCTGATAAACTTTCTCACAAATTAAACTGCCAGAAATGTAGAATAGAATCTGATGCAAAAAGTCCGCTTTGGGAGACACATTAATAAAAACAACATCTAAGCTCCATAGTTTTGCGATAGAATACAGAAAAATGTATTCCCTAGGCCTCCTCATATAAGCAGAATAAAAAGTGAGTCACATGTGGAGTTAAGTTCAACACCGGGCCAACAGTTGACAACCTGTTTTCACGTAATTTTCTATTTCCCTACATGCCACAGGTCTTTGCTGGCAGTGAGGATACAGCAGTGAGATTTCTCTACTGCCCTTCTGTTTGGATCCCGACCAGAGCCAGGTGTTACACTGATAATTGGCCCACAGTGTTGATTTCTGTTTTGCACTCAGCTGAATTGCGAGCCTCACAGTTACAGGCGCACACAGTGTACAGATTTGCCACTGCTAATACCTCTACCATTACTTTCTTTGTTGCTCCACCTGTGGAGAGATCTAAGTGACATTTTGAGGGGGTGTTAAAAAATGGCTTTAGGGTTGGCCTTGGCTGTGGGAAATGCATTCTTATGAGTGGATATGAATTAAGCTTCCTCAACTTAGCTTTGAACTAAAGGTAGCGTAGCTAACAGAGTCGGACAAAAACCATCCTTCTCTAAATATACTCCAGCCTGTTATTCTTGTTTCTGACAGATCCAGGCTGTTTTGAAAGTGTTTTGCTGTTTAGGAGTTTATATTTGACATGAGCAGACACAGTGAATTCCAGCTCTTTCCCTCTCTGCGGCTAGCTGGGACTAGTGTAGCCAAAGCAGAGAAGGGTGCTGTGTGTCCTGCTGACCCACCCTGCAAATGAAAGGGTGCTGTGGTACAGTGGCTGCGTCTAATTACTACCAAACAGCTGCAAACACATAGGGTTACAGCAAAAGGGGCCCAGCCATACTGCCAGGCCAGGGGACAAGCCCTGCAGTGTGGGGAGGCCACAGGCAGCCCGCTGTGCTCCTCACTACCCTCGGCGCACTCCCACGCCATGAGGCCCCCGCTGCAGCCCAGAGCTCCTGCTGCCTCATCAACTTCTCTGGCTGAAATTGCAGGGTGGCAGGGGAATCATGTCTGTAAATATGACCGCACTGACAAAGAAATGTCATGGTCCCTGTTCAGCTGGCAGGGACATTGGGGAGGGAGGTATGTCTGTTTAGATCCATGCACACCATGACAGCTGCTGAACTCTAGCAAGGCAGAGAAGAAAACAGAAGAAGACTGATAAATCAGTCCTGTCTCCACCTGTCTGAGGGTTACAAACAAAAATGAGTACAGGAGAATCTCTTAAGATAAAACCTTTTTGGATCATTTCTTTGAACACAGTTTGATGTATTTTACTACAACTGTTTACACTGGAAAAACAAAGGCTACAGGCTTTAGATACGTGAACAGCAAGCTAGCAAGGAGAGAGACAGCATATGCTAGACAGGTGGACAGCAATCTATCAAGCTGACCATTTAGCTACCTAGCACTCTAACCATTTAGATACACACACTCAGTGACAGATTGATGGATAACTATCTGACACCAAGCGGCAACACTTGGTTTTGAAAAAAGGAAGCTGATCCAGAAAGGCTAAAAACTGCAGTTTTAACGTTGCCCACTTGAGGTTGGCTGAAAAAGGAGTGGAAACCACATACACACTCATTCAAAATAGAACATTTTTTATTGCAAAAATAAACAAATTTACAGCCTAGGTCAATAAACTATTATAGTTTAGATAGCTCATTTCTCTCTCCTTATCACTGTGCAGGGTATGAGCTTGACTATAATTCCTTTATTTCAAAGATAATACAGTAATGAGGCATGGCTGATTTGACTGACATGTGTGGAGGTTAAAAATCTACTTTGACTCCGCCTCTTTGCCTCGTAGATGGTGCAATGAATGTTGGGTTGAGTCAGCATATTCAATATGGCAACAGCCGCTGACGGGCTTCAAAATTTCCCTTCAGAAACAAATGGTTTGCATCACTGAGACTGCGTCCTTGTATTGTAGAGTCTGTGTCCGACACTCACCTGCCTGTTCCTCTCATCCATGATCCTGGTGATCTGTATCTTCTTTCGCCCCATGGCTGGGTCCTTTCCGCTCTCTCTGACACCTTGACAATATCAGAAAACAACTTGATTTATCCCCCCACTCTCCTAGCACATCGTGCAACAGTCTCTTCTTGGTTACGCTTTTTCTTCTTTCTTCACCACACCACGATCTGCAGGAAGACAAGCAGAAAGACAGACAGAAAAAAAGAGATGAGGGTTAGAAAGTTAGCCAGCCAGTCACCTTACCTTAGCGGCACCTTAGACACACTGGAGGGTCCTGTTTTCTGTTTTCCAACACAACAGGCATAGACCCTATCTCTGAACTAGGGCTGGGCGACATGGCCTTAAATCAATTTCACGATACATTGAGCAGTTCACCTTGAGAACAATAAGTACTCTACAAGCCGCTCACCCCCTCCCACATTAACTTTATCTACTTCAGCTGCCGCTCCAGCCGCAACAACTTTTGAACCGTCCTCCATCTCCTCACCTGTCTTTCCCTCTTTGTTACAGACTGAATGGGGTGGAGTCACATCTCTGACATAGGACAGCGTCTTAAAATGGACATAAGACCAGAGCCTAACTCCACACATCCAAAACCACCTTTTTTCAATTTATTTATTAGACACAGAATATACTGACATGGGCAAAATGACGTTGGTTATTGTTGTAAATTTCAGTATCTGTAAATTTTGGGTTTATCGCCCAGCCCTACTCTGAACATCAGCTGAAATCAAAGAAAGATGGCTTTACACCTACAGGGCTGCTGTATGACAAAAACGACAAGAATAGAGAATAATACTTGAACAGGACAATAACAGAAATTATTACTTGGTGGAATTATCTGAAAATTCAATACAACCTTTCCTGCAAATATTTATTATCCTTTTCTTGAATTTGTTCATATTATAGTGACCTAGAAGTGTGCAGATGTAAAGGCTCATGGGCCTGTTAATGTCTGATTTAAGTACCTCAGTAGCTTAATGTCCGCTGTTTACTCATTCAGTTATTAATCACTAAAAGGTTGTCATATCTATTGACCTTTCTCAGTGTGTTATAAGGTGTAAAATTCAGTTAACAACTTTAACACAAGAAGTGTGAGTGCTGTTTCGGTAAGTGGCCTCCGACAGCCTCTATTCCTGTCTGTAGGTGATAACAAAATTGAGTTCCTGCTGCAGGTGGCCGAGAAGCTGCCTGTGAAACAGAGACTTCTGCTCTGAGCTGGACTTGCACACACACTTGCCACAGTACAAAAAACATAAAAAAAAGGACAGCTCTCTATTTTAAGGGTGTTTCATAGCCCCTTTCGCAGGTTTTCACTGAAGGACCAAGTCTAGGCTGTTTTTAAAATATCTCTGTAAAGATAAAGATTAGGGGTTGGAATCGTCAGTAGCCCCACGATACGATAGTATTGCGATTTTTAACATTTTGCAATACAGTGGGTATTGCGATACAATATTTGCGATTTGTAAAATTTTTTCAACTGTTTAGCTAATTTAGTATTTGGCTTTTCGTAATGTTCGTCTTATTTACACTGTATTCTATTTTCATGTAGCACATCTTGTAAATCTTATATATTTTATTGAACTAATTTTCTCCTGCTCTATGATGTCACCTCTGCCAACCTCACTGGACAAACAGTTGATTTTATTTTTCCATTATCATAGATTTGACTTCACATCAGCATTCAATTTGAAAAAAGTTGACACTTGATAAATGAGACGATATATCACCTAACAAAATATCACGATACTATGCTGTATCGATTTTTTCTCCCATCCCTGATAAAAATTAATAAAGTAGTGACTGTATAACCATTTTTACCTTGTTCCCAGACCTTTTACCTAGTTTAACTCACCGCTGCTAACTACTTGCTGTCCCTGAAAGTGCATCAAGATTCACCCTTCATCCACATACTTTAACAAAATCATAAAGAAAAAGTTGGTCCGCTCAACACTGCCTGTGGAAACAATAGAGCAACACTTCCTTACTCTTTCTGTGCTGACCCACCTCTGCTTTGCCCTTAAGATGATTAAGAGAGCACCCAGTCTGGGCTGACAGTAGTTGAAATCTCCAGGGCTGGAGGAGAAGCCATGGGGGGAGAGGAGGAGGCAAGTGTAGGGGAGTATATTCCCTTATGAGCTTGTAACTTGGCCAGTGTTTCAGACCACACTGTGCCCCAGGGAACATCTAACTCCGTCCTGTCTCTGCCTCTCTGCAAGAAGAGATATAGTCCCCTCCCTGGAGGTACATCCATCACTTACATTCAGCAAATAGAAAATGTCTAAACAACTACATTTCCCCTGAGTATAAATGTAGAAAGGTTAACAACCCGGACCATTAGATGCAGTCAGCAGTTGTGAAGGGAGGAAGCCAGGGGCTGAATTGGCAGTGAAAACGAAAATGACCAGTTCCAGTGGCACACAGTCATTATGGGTTACAGATGGACTGGCATTATGGTGTCTGGCTGTCTGAATAGGGGCTCCACTGTAGAAAAACTCGACTGAGATCACCTCGCTAACTACCCACGCATGGCTGTCTGAGCCAGTAAAGTAACCGCTTGAACCCCCGCAAAGAATTTCCCCAAACCACATCACAACAGGCCAGGGAGAAATTTGTTCATTCACTTTTTCACACACACACTAACAGGGCAGTGTTTGGAGCTAAAGGGAGGCCAGGGCGGGTTCAGCTCTTAGAAAGCCATACCTGAGACACCCTGAAAGCTGCGACGGAGCCAAAAGTGCTCAAATATTGTTGCAGCCTTAACACAATATGGAAAACATTGCTAAATTTAAAGTGAGGATGAACATAGATTTTTTTCTCCAGAGTTTACGACACAGACTGACACCTTTTTTCTAATCAAACAGATTGCTGAGCACTGAAGTCGTTTTATCCTTGAGGAGTCTAAAATCTTGATCTCCATGAGGTGAGAGAGTTTGTTGCTTTCTACACTCAGATGGATACCTGAGGTGGGCAATCCCGGTATATTTACAGCAACCAAAGTATATTTACTGACCAATTATGCATTGTTTAACCTGTTTCCAATTGTCATCTATGATTAATACACCAGTATGCACTAACTCTACATCTCTTGCATACGTTCAGCTGCATGGCTGCTCAGCGGATGTTAAGTCTTGTTAAACACTGCAATGTGACATTTCATGTTAATTACCATAACAATTAAAAAAATAATCAGGAAGATTCATGCTATTCGAAATAATCTCAGTAGGCAGCATGCAGCTTCCTCTTTCTTCTCTGACCAGTGAGTAACCATAGTAACATAAACGCTGATGTAACGTCATACAAAATTGCATATAGACTAAATACAGTATTTGCCACTTTGAGTATTTTTTATTTGTCACATCCCCCGCCTCCACTGCCATGTCATTATTATAATATTTAATCTGCGTGCCGAAGTGTGACTTTGCTGATAGTTTAGAGGAGTCTACATTTGACCACATCTGCTCGGTTCATTTAAAATGTGCATGTGAAGGTTTCCAGAAAAGTGACATGATTGTTTCCCATCGTATCCAACAATCTTTCCATCAAAAGAAGCACTCTGTTTATTGTTCTTGTCTTAAAACTTATTAAATTTAATATCCTAAGAATAAAGACACTCTTCAAACATACGTACGCACACACACACACACACACACACACACACACACACACACACACACACACACACACACACACACACACAAGTGCACATCTTTTCCTCCCTCCGTACAGACAAGCTTTCACAACAGGCCAGTCCAAGTCTTGAGGCACCAAAGACCGGGTCATGACTTGAACAAAGATAAAAACTGACAGGGCCTTCAGAATGCAGGTGGTCTCAACAAGAGTTATTCAAAAACTGGAAATCTCAGACATCTTTTTCAATGATGACTAATACTGTAGCTGATTTTATCCCATCATAATACAATGCAGATCACATAACGCTATCTCAAACTCCGGTACTGAGTAGGAAATTTGGGCCGGCATCACTAACCAGAGAGACATGTCAGAAGATGGTCAGATTATGAAGAACAATGTGAGTACTGTAGCAGAGTCCATGTTTGTGTGTGACACTGTGGCTGCTCTTGAGTGTTAGAGCGGGACAGAGCATCTGTTTATGGTCTCAATCATGTGCTCTAAGTGCATCACAGTGTGTGTGTGTGTGTGTGTGTGTGTGTGTGTGTGTGTGTGTGTGTGTGTGTGTGTGTGTGTGTGTGTGTGTGTGTGTGTGTGTGTGTGTGTGTGTGTGTGTGTGTGTAAGAGCAAGAAACAAAGAAACTGAATAAAGAAGAGGAAGGGGGGCACACTGCGCCTAAAGCAGGAGCAGGACAGCTAAAGGGCTCTAAGTTCACCCTGTGCACATAAACATAGTTAGCCTTTAAGTCACCCAACGATTCGTAAAATTGTCATTTTTAAGCCGCTCTTGTAAAGACCAAACAGGAAAAAAAACAGTGATTACAGGGATCAGCTATCATGATCTAGTTTGTCATTGAACTTTAGTTTTTCCAAGATCTAAAAATTGATGAAATACACTTTAACTTATCACAGGGTTTAAATGCCCCAACAAACAAGGATCTATGAAATAGCTTAGAAACATGAATAAAACAGACTAAAATTCATATTGAAGTCATGCAAAATCAAACAAGGCTGATCATACTTAGACTGTAATTTTTAATGCTCGAATCCAGTGCAAAAGGAGAGATGTCATTTGGATAGTCTCCACTGTAATTATTTACAATAAATTATATCTTTAACTATCAAAAGTTGCAGGATGAGATTTCAGCAGAGAAGACGAGACAAGCAAAGACTGCTTTGCCCACATGGGGTGAAAAACTGACACGAAGTGAAAGCTCCTCACAGGAGTTTTACACTTGGCCATATTTGTATGTTTTTTTCTCCGCATCACTTTACATCACACAGTTATTTTTTTGGCTTTTGTTTCTCTTTTTACATGCAGTGTATCTTGTGTTGGTATTACATCAGTCATTTAAAAATACGCAATATAGCGCAATTAATTCACCGTCAGATCTGCATGACTCTTCTCAGGCTGGCATACAGTCGCTGTCAGGTCTGCACAAATTCACAACATCAGGACTGCGACAGAACAATTTGTGTTTAGGATATCACACAAAAGTTGAAGGAATACCTATTTTTATTATGTTAAGCTTTTATTCTTTTACTGTCTGTATTTTATTCCTATGTTGTTAATTGTATTGTTTTATTGTAATCTATCTATTTAATTACTTCTTTTATTTTTCCTATGTACAGCACTTTATTTAACTGCTGTCTTCTTAAAGGTGCTTTACAAATAAACTTTGACTGGACTTGACACAATTATTTAATGCTTAATATTCAATATTCATAAATTCTGTAATTAATCATACAAGTCTAAATGTCCTGGTTTTGTGCAAATGTCTGCGGATGAAACTGACATTTAAATTCTAAAATTAAAAGTGTTTTTTTCTCACCTCGTAAAATTTACTGTGAGAAAAAGATCATTGCGGTCACAAGTAGCACCCTGTGTAACAGCGTCTCATCATGTGCATTTGATACACTTTGTCTCCTTCGATATAAACACGTCCACCACTTTGAAAAGTTGCACACCAAATGTTTTTACACATCTGTGCTGAGACACTGTCGTCACAGGAACGACCACATTATCTTGACAGGAAGTCAATATGGCATTTCTAACAGCAAAAGTTCCCTCTTTTACTGCACTTTCTGTTAAATGCATGTACTCGCTGTCTTCAAAAGCAACTTGGCATTGCAGTCATTTCCAACCAGAACCACTTTGATCCTCTGTGACGAGGTGTGAGACTGGTCAGGTGATAGGAGGGCCAGTCTGCCTCCTCCTCCCTAAAGACAGAGCGTGGAGACACTGGCAGGCTTGGTGACAGGCCTGGCCCTTTCATAATCAATAAAACATGCTCAATTCCCAGTGTAATTACTGGATCCAGCACGGCCTCCTCCCTCTCTGATTGTACGCCTGTGTTCACTCCGCACAAAGTTGAGGCCTGACTCCCTCAACTGTTGTCCTATTTCAATGGTACCATAAGATTATGGAGAGGATTGGTATTGCAGGGTTTACCTAATAAGCAAAAAAGAGGCCAGAGATATTCTGAAGACGGTAGCTTCATAGAGCTGTATCAACTGACTTTACAAATATGCAAATTAAACTGATGTATATTAGAGACGGTTTAACAGTCTGACTTGTTTTCAAGACGCACCCTCTTGAAGGTGATGAACAGCAGCCAAAGTCTTGAGCAGAGCCGTGACAGTTGTGCTTCCTGAGCTCGCCAGTGTTAGCCTCAGTATCCTACCGCAGGCCATGGGCAGACAAGACTCAACTTCCTGCCCCTCCATTTCCTGTTATTCAGGACCCCTTCTACGTGCCCTCCACGGGGGAGAGGAGGAAGAAAGGGAGGGACCACCTCGGGGACACCCTTCCCCTCTGATTCTTCTCCTTATTACCTTCCTGACTGTGAGTCTGAGACTAAACAACAACAGAGGCTCATCTCTTGTGACTTCACCCTCTGAGCTTATAATGTTTACTGAAAGGATCATTACACTGGCTGGACGGCATGCACATTAGTTGCTTACTTTGCGATTGGAAAGCAGAAACCTTTTTCCTTTTCTTCTAGTGCCTCATCCATTACATAAGAATGAATCACAGCTCTCAAAGCAGGGGTTAACATACATTGAAACACCATGACTACGGTAGAACTACATTTCTGATTTGATGCAACAGCCTCACTGTAATCTGATGTGCATTGAAACAGGGATTCTGGGAAATAATCCATGACAACATTTTAAAGTGTATCGAACTCAAAGTGTCAACACTGTGGCTCAGTTACGATTAGCTCCTGGCAGGCTGGAGACACAAAGCGAGGCAGCCTAAATCCACAGTTTCACCGATTTGTTTCAATGGAGCCTTGACACCGGCGCAGCAGGAAATGAACATCCACCTCTTTGTTCTTGCTTTCATCAGGAGGTGCTGCACCTGTAAATGGGGGCTGTTGGCCTGAGGGGAGTGGAGGCAAGCCAGCCCTCTCACGCTCTCTCTCCAGCTTCCCTTTTGTGCGAATGTGCTTATCTCCCTCTCCAGCAGTGAAAGGCAGGATTGTGGCCCCGGCAGCATCACCAGTGTTAATGTCTCCTGATGCTAATCTGACACACGGCTGATCCCTCAACAACCACTTTCTCCATTCCTTCTTTTAAACCCTCCCCCTCCTTTCTTTCTTTTTTCCTTTCTTTGGTTCTTTCTTCCTCATGATTTCTCTTTCCTTTTCTTTCTGTTTCTTTGAACTCCTGTTATACATCCCCTCACCTCAGTTTCCAAGGCAACTAATGAGATATAATTAATAAGAGCTATTGCAAGGGCATGCGTACAAAGTGAAAAAGGAGGCTTTGAGAAATGTGAAAAGAGGTGAGGCCGTCTGAAAAACAGACTTTCTGCAGCACTTCACCTTCCTCTTGTAAAACCTGGCTTGAGGTGACACTTTACCTCCTCAGGTACAATCAAAACTAAGTTTAACAATTTTAAATTCCCTGTAAAATGAACATCATGAAGGCGAATAAAGAAAATCAGACATACAGCAGGCCAACATCTTGACATTTTACAGCTAAGTTTGGTTATTTTTTAAATAATTTTGCTAATAATTTTAAAGTCTGGGTATGAGGGGGTCATTTTTCCTTATTTCATCCCATACCTCAATGTTTCCTTTATGTATTAAATTAGTCAAAAACTGACTCAATTAAGTAAGACATGAAACCTCATTGTCCGACAGTGACCTGTGTGGTGGGGACATGTACAAAGCCAGCAGTGAAAGCCTGCACTGAGATGGCAGCCGGGCAGACAGCGAGTGGTTAATCTGCCCTGATGACTGCTAGCTCAGTCCAACTCTCCAATGACCCAGCTGTAATCCCACATTGGATCAATGCAAGTTCAAACAATCCTCCATGCTGCTAGCACCTTGCTTGGGCTGGGGGATGGTGTTGTAAGACAGGGACCAGGAGACAGAAAGCTACTTATCACCTCCAAAATGACATCAAAAGGAGAGAAAACCCCACAGGATGAACCTGCTCTCACTGAGGAAATGTCTCATCGTACAGGCAGCGCTACACAGCCCACTGAATGGAAATGATGTTGTTCTTCAGACGATCACCAGACATGTCTCCAATCTACAACATCTGAACACCTGGATACAGCAACCAATAAGCAAAGGACGTCAGACACTGACAGCATCACCAGACAGACATCCTCCATCTCACTCTCACTGTACTGTCAGGGGATGAGAGGACTATACAAGGTGACTTTGACTAAGTGCCTTGGGGTTTCATGAGAAAACTCCATTGACATTACATTAATTTCATGTCTCTTTCTTAACTGAGTCAGAGCCAAAGAGCCAAGGATAGCTGGGGATGAAAGGAACTTAATTTGGTTTCTTTGGCTGTAAGGCAGAGTCAAAAGATTGACAAACAAGTGACATGATCTGCAACTTTTGGCCTCACTGAGACGTAGAGGATGAGACATAAACAGACAGGAAAAAAAAATGAAAATCAAAAACTTTCCTCTGCACTTCACGTGTTTTTGGGGTTTAACAGCAGTTTGCCCGTTTGAAAAGACACGGAAAGACAACAAGAGAGGGAGAGCGAGAGATAGTAGAAGATGGTATAACTGTGTTAACTATGTGGAAAGATGTAAGGGAAACAAGACTAAAAGAAGAGCTCCGCGCCCATCCCATCCCACCTCTGTGGTAGTGTGCGGCAGCGGCGTTGTAACATAATTACTGCTGGGACACTTCTATTCCCAATGATCCATTTGCGTCAGTCAGGTTTTCAAGCCCAGCCAATGAGTGGATTCTCAGTTTCTCAAGGATAAAGAGATGACCCTCTCCTAACAGTTATATCCATTTCATGTAGAGGAGTGACTCTCCTTCTCAAGGTAAATCCCCCGATGCAGATTTTAGTTAAACTTTTACATACAAAGAAAATTATCGCTTTCTTTATGCAAGGGTAGAGCGACAAATAATGTCTCATTAAAAAGGAATGTGCTTGACAGCCAGCCTAGTACCTACATAAACAAAACATTGCAGTTACTATAGTGTGGATGGTAAATGGTGCCTGCAAAGTACTGCCACACATTTAAGCTGAAAGCTCAACACCTGAAAAAACTTTTCTGCAATCACTTAACAGTCATTAAAAAACTGATGAGAAGTGATGTCCAAGTTCTTGAAGAGTCTTAAAATAATTCAACAACCCCATGATGAATGAATTGGATATTTTTAACCTAATAGCCTCATTTTCCTGTAACAAGGGTGACAGCATTGCAATGGCTGAAAATCAGAAACTGTCTGCAAATTCAGGAAAGTGAAAAATAAATGCAACAGAACAAAAAACATGCTCTAAAAGCTCATATAATTGTTTTAATGGCTATAGGAAGTGGTCCGGGCGCTAAGTTAATTATGATGATTGACAGGTATCTCAGAGGACTGTGCACTTCTGTCTGAAACTGAGTTGAAACACAACTTTTTACATATAGATGAACATTCAGCTTCACTTTAGAAAGGGTTCCTAATGAGCAGACAGCTTTAAGTTAGTGCTACGACTCGTAGCTTCAGTTGCATCAAACACAGACTGGATGAGGCTTTTATGAATGTTGACGTTCCTGTCTCTACCTTTGGCACAATCTCTGGTTTCAAGGAAAAGTTGTTGGGATTTGGGTGCCAATGACCAAGAAGTTTACGTCCTCCTTGTATTGGGGTAATAGCATAGACTGTATATAAAATGGACAGCGTCTGCCTCCTCACTGGGTGAAGCCACCCTGAGAACAGCACCCTCTAGTGATGGGCTGCAATATAGGTCATAAATCCCGCCTCCTCCAGCAATCCCTATGGGGCTGTGGACAAACTTTAGAAATTTATAAAACAGAATATACATTTTTTTCCCCCCTGGTTGTGATGTTAACATGTAGTTATTGTAAGACTGGTTTGTGCTCAAGTCCTCTTTTTTCTGTGCAGCTCAATTTTTAAAAGTTATTAGGGGGTTGATGTTTTACTATGATTGACATTTGATACAGCCTATGGGCGTACGAAGATTGCATAGCTCACTCGGGGGATACGCTGTTTGAGCTGAGCGTCATCATAGCAACTCTCCGCGACTCACCCACCAAATGCGTACAATGCTACTGCGCAAGTGGTGGAGTGCGTACAACGCTACTGCGTAATGTTGGTTTCGGGAAGTGGAGAAAAAGTGCGGCATTACCACATTACGAGAGCTTTTCGGCTTCAAATCCGTATACTGGCGAAAGGCGGAACCAAGTTGTCTATAGTATTTACAGTCTATGAGTAATAGTCCTCATCACAGCAGTTACTAGTTTGTTTTCCCACCACATCCCTTTGCTGCTTGTCTTCCGTCACTCTCTGCTCCCCACATTTCCTTTATCTCTTTCAGTGTGTATCATAAAGACAAAAAAATGCCCCAAAATATAAGTTAAAAGAAATGTTGCCCCTTTAAAACAGTTGATTATTCTTTCACTATGCTGGTTCTAGATACTATAACACATATAGATGTTTGAAAGACTTTCTTCTTGAGCTTTGCGCCTCTGGTGTAGTGGTGAAAACCGAAGTTCTCAGTCTTGGTCTGATGTCCTGCCAGAGTTAAAACTGCTCTGCCGTCAGTTTCCCATGGTAGCACAGAGTAAAGCTTCACTGTGCTTCAGTGAAAAATGTCTTTATATCAGCTTAACCTCTTGACTCTTGCAAATAACTTCTAATCAGCCGATCTACAGTTCGTCATGCTGTATCTGTGAACTGCAATTGGCACAGTAATGACCGGCTACTCACTTCAAATTAAAGCCATTGGTTTAACAAACTGTATCTCTGAGCTAAAGTCCTCCATCACCCACATTCCTCATGACAGGATGTCACTTTAACAAGTCGGTGTGTTGACATGGCACAACTTAAGAGTACAAGACTCTGTATGGATGGACACTTCCTGGCTCGTGATATTGCTCCTTTCTAATAAAGTTACAGCTGAGGGAGTTTTTAACAATTATAGACAGACACCAAATGAAGCAACAGGGTTTATATGTGTGTATGGTATTTCAGGGTGGTACTGTGGTCTGATTTAGTGCAGAGGCATGCGCACATTTGCATGGTTGTCTATCATCAGATGGACTTCTCACTAGGGAGCAATAATAATGCCAACACCATGGGGACCGACAGTCCCCCAACCCTCCAGGAACCCTGCGAGCTGTGTTAAGTGCCATGGCAGCCTTTTGATGTTGCACAGACCGCAACTCAGAAATGGTAAACAGCGAAGATGAACCGAGATCTTCCTCCGGGGGGAATCCACAGTGTAAGGATATTAGGGACGTCATGCATAATGTGTCTCAGCAGCAGCACATTTACAGGATCTCAACACGTCTTTGGAAGTACTGTGTTTCCAGATTAGGCACTGAGATTTCAGATATTCACTTCTCCCCTGGAGTTTGATGATCAGCAGGAAGATTTGAATAAAAACAACAGTTTTTTGTTTGACATACATGTAGTCCGTGATGTTCAGGATCACTTTGCTTTTGAAGAATGTCTCTTTTTTAATGGAAAAAAATTAAAAAGCCAAGGATAAATATTTGATTTTGTCTTCCCATTTTTATCTTCCACTCGATGCCTCTCTCCCACAGTGTTCCATTACATAAAAGGTTTATGCAATCTGAGCAGTGAGGATGGCCATGAGTCATAACAACAGTGAAAGGGGCTGGCCAAAGTAGCATTGATTTTCTTTTCTTGCAGTTTTATGTCAAAGAATAAGTCTGTAAAAGCTCTTGTGCAGGTTTGTTATTACCATAATCTATCTAATATATCAAAATTAAGGCAGTTTACTAACTTATTCATAGTTTTAATACAGTGAAAAAGCTGGCAGATGTACAAAAATGTAGATACATGTATGTCTGTCTGTCTGTTTGTTAACAATGTGTTTTAATAGTAACCATGTCCACCGTATGTCTATCTCAATAACTACAACTGTATGAGCAGTGTTCACTCTGAGTTTTCTCTGCAGCTGCAGCAAACAGTTACTCCCAAATCAGATGATGTGTGCTAGCTGTCACATGAACACTGTGTGCAAACAGTGTGATAGAGAGAGAGGGAGGACAGAGGCAGAGGAAGAAAGAGAGACCCCCACAGGCCCTGCTGCTGCTTGCCTCTCCAGGAATCTTTTCAGTCTGACTGTTTTCTGATAGCCTCTGGTTCTGAGTCTCAGGGCCAGCCGGCTGATGATGGATGCCACCCTGCCCCCCTTCTTACTCCGGACTCCTACAAACGCTCTGAAACACCAGACTGTCAGACCAGTCAGGTTGAGGGGAGCAAGGGAACAAAATCAAGAACAACACAGTCTGACATGCGTACAGGCAGGCGATAGCTCGCCAGTGGAAACACTACACCGTTTCCTACTAGATTTGCAGCCCATAGCACACAGATGGAAAGTGGACTGGGAGAAAAGGAGAGGACAGACGGGCAGACACAGAAACAGCGGGCTGTCTCAACACCTCGCTCACAATCTCAGTCACACTATAGAGAGCTGGGATCAAGTGACTGGAGATATAATGATAATACTCTCTAAATGCCCTTGATTGTTTAAAGATTTGTTTTCACCTGAAATGAAATGTAAATATTAGCAGAAGCAGAATAAGTGAGAGCAACGCGGGTGAAACAGAAAGAGGAGTTGTGCCGATCATTTAGATAAGTAAGGCTGTTGCAGTGAGGGAATTCCCCGACAATACGATACATCACCAGACAAAATATCGCGATACTATGCTGTATCGATTTTTTCTCCCACCCCCACTAACTATACAAAGTTGGGGAAAAGATCTATGTCATAGAAGACCTTTCTCTAAAATGCCATTTGAGCCGAGACAGACACATCTTGCTGAGCAAAATGGTCTAGATCGCTAAAAAGAGTGTAAATTCCCATTATTAACAGGCTGAGGTTGCTTACCTGTAAAAGATGAAGAATTTAAACCCTGCTTGGTCTTGTTGGTCTTATCAGAATCAGTATAGGCCTCTGACATTGTCTAAAATGCACCACTGCGTGACAGGATGTGAGGGTATCTGGTTGGCAAGTACACTTGTCAATACAAGAATCTTATGGGTTTATCTATTAAACCCCCGAAAGCTCAAGCTATTTCAGGTAGTGATGCTCCTAAGTGACCAATTTTATTTTAACAGAAATTTAACTAGTCTACACCAAGACAACAAGAAAACAAGTATATGGGGCAGAAACTTACACAGCAGCATGTAGGACTGGAGAGTCTGTAGGTAAAAAATGTCAAATTGCTTTGTCCAATGGGGATATTGTTAGCAGAGCTAGCACCACCAGTCAATATATAGCTGATTCGAAGCCAGCACAGCTCTCAACTTATCACTTTTCTGTTGAGCCTTCTGTTACCTAGCAAAGCGACTGGTTGATAATTGGTCTCACATACTATCATGGGAATCAACTAGTTCCAAACGGTCACACAACCAACACACATCCTTTCTGACGTACACTTGAGAGTGGAAACATGAGTAAGGTCAGTTTTTAACATAACAAACGCACCATTCGTGGCAGGTAGCAGCGCTACAGCTCAGACAAAACATATAACTGGCATGCGGCACTGAAATCATATAACTATCAGTTATTTTGTTTACCTTTATTATCTGTAGATGAATATTACCGTATTAGTTTACTGAGGTCAAGAGTGCATGGATTTGCCAAGTTAAAATGAAAGTGCCCTATTCTGGATCATGATGCAAGGTACTTTAGCAGCATGATGTGTTGGTATACTGTATTATTATGCTTAAGCTTGAACGACACATTACAGTTCAAGTACGAACTCTTACCCCAGAGTTTGAATGAAGATCCGAAGTGATAAGGCACAGGAACATCTCTAGTTAAAGTGACACTTAATGGGGGTTTTTAATTCCCCTTATACACACAGGGTTAACAACACATATTCGTTATCCAGAACCTGGAAACAAAACATAAACAAACTGGATTCTGAACAGTGTATGACAAGTTGGAAACTCATTTTCTTGCTAAAAAGAAAACCCATAAGGCATTTTAGTCTTCATGCTGCTTGAGTTCAGCCCTCACAGCAGAGAAGGAGGCAACTTTGAACCGGCAGTCAGAGCCCTGCGGTGGACTGGAGCAGCTTCCACAGAGCAGAGGGGGGCTGGGTCACTTCCCTTCCTAGTTCATACGACTGATGTGTAGGGCAGAATAATGGGAGGAATCATCCCCCCCAGCTGTCTTGGTTCACATGGCTCCTCAGACAAACAGAATAACAACAATATAGCAGGCCAGGCCTCTTTCCTGCGGCATGGGAGGCCACAGGGTCAGTCCAGCAGCTGCAGGAGATCTAAGTCTTCCTTCCAGCAGCTACTGGACTTTCAGTCAATGTGCACGCTGTAGGAGCTGAAACCCAGGTCCTACAGCTGGTTTAACTACACACACCATAGATAAAAACACTTCCTTTGGTTAAACATTCATGAGATTTTAAAACTCTTGTAATACCAAGAATTTTCTTCCGTGACACCAGTGCCTCGACTTTAGCACTGGCCAATATAGGATACCCCTCAAACACGACTGCATTTAAAGGATAGACACACAGTATTATGGCTGATATTTAACAGCTTGGGCAAACGCTAAAAACAATACACATCTAGAAAACAGCTGAGCTGAGTGTAATACTTTTGGCTGAAGATGAACTTCATAATTAACAGCTTAGATCAGTGTGCAACAAGGTTTGAGGACGCCAAGAAGTTATGGATGCCAAAAAATATGTTAGGTGGGGACTGCTGTATCTTCAACATGTTGTGCCACAGCGGTACAAACCATCACGTGGCCACAGGCGGGGAAGGGAGAGATGTGTAGTACTGCCAGGAAGACAAGCGGGAGGAGCAGATGTGTGTAAGTAAAGCAGAGCAATACAGTGAGCATGAGGAGAGAGGGGCCTTACTGTTTGCAAGAGTAAACCAGCTGATGATGGGCGGGCTAAACAGTGAGCAAAGTTGGTCCATACTCAGAATAATGTTTAATAATAATGATCTAACTATCAATTGCAATAATTGTTTATTTTTGCCATAACTGAGCAGCTAAGCCACATTCTCTCAGCCAACCTGAAGCCCTATGTCCAGAAAACCCTGTTACTGTGGTGCAATCCTCTCTTTGGAGAAGGAATGAACAAAAAGGTCGAATTTGGTGGTTAATGGTTAATAAATGATGGTCAGCATCCACTGACAGGTGCATTTGCTTTCAAGATATAGCATTTCTTTGATCACTATTAGAACGAATGGTTTCAAATTCAAGTCTTTTTTATCACGGATACAATAAACAGCTTCATCACAAAGAAAAAACAGACTTTGAAGAAAGTTTACTTTGCACATAATTCAATTGTTTGTCTGTTTAGATGCCTCGACTCAGTCGACTCTGTACAGAGGCAGGGTGGTGAAATCTCCAGTGAGAGACGCTTTTTAAGATCTACAGTAGAACATCAGGAACTCTATACAGTGGGGTATATTAGCAATCATGGGAGATCTTTTGATCTAGTAAATTAGATTATAATATATTCCTTTGATTTATGTTTTTTCACAGTCTCATTAAAATTCAGTTAAAATGCAACTCAGCAAAGAGATGTCTTTCTTAACTTCCTTTGCAGTTTAGCTTTCTGCTCAATTCGACTTAACATTACCATGGCATTGTGGAGCAACAAAGTCCCTCACCACTATCACAGTTTCAAACAGGCAAGTATCCTTTACAGCAAAAAAATAATTAAAAGGCGACTAACCAAACCACAGGACACACAGTGAGGTTACGTGCCACTGTAGTGTAGCGCACTTACTTTTGAGATGACAATAGTGTGAAAGAGTGGTTTCTATTGCACTCCAGAAAAACAAAAAGCAGGAAGAGGCATCTTCTACGGGTGCTAAATGACTTGTCTTCTCGAAATCATCACCTTTGCCCCACCACATTCTCCACAGACTACTCTCCCGAAACCACAGAGTGTGCTAGCCCTGCTCTCTGACTTTACGAAGTAGCTGTATGGTTATTTTTTGTAATATAACAAAGGCTCAACATCTGAAGAATGCACACAAGCTGAGCAGTATTGTTATTTAGGGTTACTTCAATATCTGTGGCTCTACATGTTTGTACTTACTCACAATCTGCAACCAGTTTGTAGAGTGAACGACAGACTGGGATCATAGTGGTGAAAGCAGATTAGCAGCAGATTTAGAGTGCGGCTCTACTCCAGGATCTTACCCCGCTGGCTCCCCGCTGTAGTCCAGGTTGCAGAGGTGAAGAGACCTCCAGTCAGGCCTCGTTTGGAAGAGCAGGGGGAGACAGGAAAAGACGGCGGCCTTAAGCTGCTCTGCCCTGCTCAGCAGCACATGTGCTGAGTGAGCCAAAGAGGTGGCTTACCAGCAGAGGTCTCAGTCAAGGGCAGGACAGTTGAAAGGTCACCGCAAGCTGTCCTGCTATACAAACAGAGCCTCAGCAAGTCATACATTCATCCTCTGAGCTTACATCAGCCTATTTGATCGCCACAATTACACTGGAGGTTTTTTTAAATATTGATTGTAGGAGGTTATGTTATTATAAGGTGATATTGTCTTTAAAGAAAAAATACTTGAAAAGATATTTTCAAAAAACGCCTTGTATCTTTTCAAAAGTTGACTTACTTTCATTAAAAAAAAAAAAAAAAAGTTTAAAAAGGAAAAACTAAATTCTGATTCTTTGAGTAAAAATTCCTTCAACTCTGAGCCAAAAACTTCATGTAAAACTGTGAATTGTTCTTAGCAAGTTCACGCTGTCCAATATACCAACCACGGCTCATGATCACTGCACATTTGCATCCTGTCTAATACATACAGCACATACAAGCACCCCACAGAGATGGCAAGAAACTGAACATAGCAGGTCCAATAAAAAGTGGTTTGTGACCTATTTAGCATTATCTGAACTTGGAAAGAGAAAAAATATATAAAGGCAGTATATATAGTTTCATTTTTCAGCTTAAAGTTGACACTAGCAACACTGCATGAACATTAAAAGTCTTTTTCCACTCTTTTTCTCTTCGGTCTACAGGGGACAGTCTACAGTTAACTGCAGCCTAAAACATTATCTGCAAGGCTCCAAATTCTGCATCCAACCTCCAGGTCTCACAGGAAAACGCTGGAATCTCCATATTGATGATACAGCTCCAATAAACAATGAATCATCTTGCTAATATGCTTTTGTTAGGCAGGGAGAAAGTTGGAAAGTATTTTTTTTCTTTTGCAGAAAAGAAGGAAAGATACTAATCAATAAAAGATGAAGAGGGGTGTTCATCACCTGAAAGCATTTTCCTGTTAACCAAGCCAAACTGTGATTTTTTTTTAAGGACCTCTTTAACAAGTATCATCAACAAACGAGCCAAGATACTAGAACACTGCACTCAAAGCTTACTCTTAGAAAACAGCCAGCCTGTGTTGCTTCACATATCAAATTAAGTAAAAGTATAAATAAAGCCCAAATCATGTTAGTAAAATACAGATAACAAATCTGTTTCCACATTACAAAATTCACAACTGCTGAAGCTCAATCACAGTGAAAATAGAGACATTTCTGGCTTACCAAACAATCATAGAAACACTTTCCGCTTTGGTGGACCAAGAATTTTCAGAATGTATATTAAAGTTTTCATTCAAAACATCCTTGGCTTTCCGCTTTCTGGTGTTTTGTCCTTCTTGGAATAAAAAAAAAAATGTCCTGGGAGGAGGAGAGTGGACGAGAAAGACTTTCACTCAGTGATTCAGAGGCATCGAGTAAACGCCAGCATTCTCTTTCTGACAACCAGCGTTAATTGCAGATCTGACTCGCCCACACACTCCACATTTCTCCTGGAAGGAGAAGCTGAGACACTGAGATTGAAGTGGGATGAGGAGTGCAGCAAAAGATGCTGCAGCTGCCCGTTCCTCACACCGTCACCACCTCTCATTTCTCCCTTTGCACCGAGAACTTGTGCTGAAACGCTAACAAGCACTTACACACATTTACAGAGACATGCAGGAGCGCACAAACAGGACATGTAACAAGGCTAGAACGTTTCATAAACAGACGTAGTCACCCTGGAAAATCATCCATCGAGTTTGCAATCCTCCAACATAATACTGTTGATTAAATGATGAGGGGTGAGATAAAATATACAAATGATCAAATCTGTGTGCGCATTTGTGTTATCTGAAGGTGGAACATTTGGGGTCTCTGAGGTTAAAGCAACAGCTCACTGCATGCAGTCATGCTGGCTCAATCTGTGCCTTCACAGACATCATATTCATTTCTTTGACTAATAGACAACATAAATTGTTAAAATGATATTCATCTGAGCAGCGCTGAAAGAAGCCCTCATCCACACATTAGATATAAGAGCTCACGTGATGTGGATCATGAGCAACAAGGCCCATTACAGGCGAGGCCCGGGGCAGCACAGAAGCTAATGACTGCAGATTGGAGGGTGCTTTACTGCTTTGCTTTAGAAATCACTGGCAACCAGCTGCTAATGTACATGCCATCAGAACATAAAACAGACCAAGAGAAGTACAAGTTATCCTGCTGCGACAACTCGTGTCTCTGATGAACTCCTTTCACAATAGAGTCAGAGCAACATATAAGGATACTGTTGAAATTTGCCAAATGACAAATTATGGAGTATTATTTCAAAAAATAAGTTGCAAAAAAAACCTAACTAAAGAAAGACATTGAAACATTTGTTCATTTTAAATTAAATGAATAGAAAATAACTTTAGGTCATACTGCTGGCATTTTTTGATACAACTGGAATAAGTCTCCTCCCTCAGTGCAATATTAATGAGACATCAATGGTGTACACATTCATTAGAAACATTTGAGAAGGTCAGGTTACTGTTAGCTATTGCGTACTCTGGCCGGGGCTTAAGGTCACGGGAGTCCTGGAGGTCCAGAGAAACCGTCAGGCAGCAAAGATCCTCTCTCTTAAACTGTGATATCCAACTGCCAATAAGGACTATTCTTTATATTCTGTAACTGTTGTCATAGCCTGTTACTTAAACCAATAAAAATGTGCGATTTTGGATCTAAAAAGAGGCATATTTAGACAGAAAATTATTTTTCACACTTCACAGAGGATAATTCCCTTGTTTCAGCTTTGGCCAGTCATTAAGCGCCTTGATCAAACCCCTCTTAAAGTAAACACGGGGTGGTTTCCTTTAAGGGGATCATATGTAAAGCACCACATGATAATGCTTTATATATTATGCCACAACTTATACTTTTGATCAAGTTGACTCCTCTTGGTTTGCTGTATTGAATTATAGTATGATACGCCTGTAGTTGCCCAGGGAACATTTCCTACATCATGTCTGTAATACATGAGTGTAAATCACATCAATTTGCACAGGCTGACCAGCATGATTTACATGTCAATTCCATTAACATAAAGAAATTATAAAATATAAATACTTTAAGTAGCCATATTCAAAATGATATAATGATCATGTAAAGTTAGTTTTATTGATTCAAGCTGTCTTACACGTTCTTAGAAGTTGTCAGTAAACATAAACTTTGCAGTGAACTCTGTATTAGGCTGAAGCTTCTATTATATTCACTGTGTGAACTGAGCCTGCTGCTGTTGTGATAGCTCAACAGTGTTGTCAGAAACACATTAATTACTATTTTGCTCTTAAAGGTGCGCCTGTTTAAAAAAGTAGATATATGCCTACTTTCAGTCCGACAAAAATGTGCTGGGATTTTTTTTTCAGACCTTTACATTTAAAAATATATATATGAGTAAAGATTTAGAGAGAGTCCCACTGACAGCGTGTTACATTCAGTATGATTCGTGTAAAAGTTTCTCGCGATTGACAGATATCAACAGCGCGCGCTCGTCTAAATCCACCCTTTGAATAGGCAGTTTTGATGTCCAGTGGCACAAAAACCTCGCTTATGAACTAAAACGACAGATAACAGTGACATTAAACAACCTCTTAACTTCGTCCCGTGTCATATTCTTCATGTATGCCGGTGAAAACAGATAGGAAAACAGACAGAGATGTAGGCTACAGTTTACGTCTCCTCCGTCTCTGAAATCCACTCTACGTCTCCCTCTTGCGCTTTTCTACTCTCACTCTCCGTAGCTACAGTACCGCTGCCACACTCCGTAACATTGTTTCTATTTCCGTTACTCACCTTTACTCCCGAGTCAGTCGCTGAGTATAGACACTCTATATCGGTGGCTCCAGTGGATAAACGTAATTTCAGTTCACATTTACACGCTGACTGCTATTTTAGGGGGAGCTGACAAACTCAGAAAAGCCAGTCTCCCTCTTGTCAGTGAAAGACTCCTCCCCTTATCTGACGAACTGCCTCCCTCCCTCTCCCTCTCCCTCCCTCTCGCTCTCTCTCTCTCTCTCTCCCTCACTTTCACAGACATACACACTCCTGTTAACTACACTCACAAGCACACACTCCACTGTCAAAACATGAAAAAAGTAGCCTACCCTAGTTCAAGTTACTGTCAATTCTGTAACGCAAACTAAAGCAGGACATGACACACAAACTCCTCCAATGAGTATTACAGTAACATACATTAGTTTTCCATACATTGCTGATTCCTCCATAACTACAGTTTAAAACAGGGATTTACACTGTCCCAAACTTTTGGGAATCTTGGCAGAGCTGACCGGCAGGAGTAAACAACAAAAACAAGAACTAGACTGAGACCAGTTTTTGTCAGGACTGACCACATTTGGACAAATATTTCCCCGAATTACTCTGCTGCTGCTCAGCCTCATCACATTAGATATATTTGACGTCATATCTCTAAGACAACAGCGATGGAATTTAGTTTGACGGACATCTCCCTGAGCCAATTAGAATCTGCAGCGTCTGTCAAGCAGCCAGTTACAGGATGAAGGAGGGAACCGGTTTGATTTCAATATGGGCTCGTCACGTGTACGTGCTGGATCAGAGGAGGTGTGATTAGTGGCCAACAGTGATCCTACCGGCATATGGGAGCAGGTGCGGAAACATTACTGCCCAGCTATTAACTATTACTTTAGTTTTGCATTTAATATGAACCGAATGAACGTGTGGTCAGGTTTATACAGGGAAAGTGATTCAGCACCTCCAAAACTTTGTCATAGCTTTAATTTTTTTTTTTAAGTTAAAAGAACTTTGATTTGTCTTTTCTTGCAACATACAGTTGAAACCAGAAGTTTACATACACTATATAAGTCTGCCTACAAACTTGGCTCAGTTACACCAGTTCTGTCAGGAGAAATGGGCCAAAATTCCTGAAAACTATTGTGAGAAGCTTGTGGAAGCATATCCAAGGCATTTGACCCAAGTCGTACGATTAAAGGCAGCTTCCAAATATTGATGAAATGTTTGTAAACGTTTGACTCTCGAGAAATAGTAGTAAATATCTCATTATTCTGGCATTTAGCAAATAAAAATGATTTTGGTAATCCTAATTGACCAAAAACAGGAAAAGTTTAATCTGATTTAATGTTAGATGGTGAGGGGAAAAAAAGGTTATGTGCCTTTTTATATAGTGTATGTAAACTTCTGGTTTTAACTGTAGATATTGGTTAGATTTAGACTTTAAGGCTAATTCAAATGTTTTCTTGAGTAAAGTAATATATATTGGATTTGTCCTTTCTCTATCGTATTGCCTCTTTTATTCAAACATTTTTGAACTTAACTTTTAGTCCCTTATTTTGTGGTGAAAGTAATAACACACATTTTATCATGCTCTTATCTTTGCAGGACTCTCTTTCTACATGTGTTGTCCTCTCTTTGAGCTTTTAGTGCCTTTTTTGAATGGAACATCAGGGTCAATATAATTTTCTTCAATAACTCAACCTGATGCTACAGCCTATGACTGCTCCCTCCATCAGCTCCAAGGAAACCAGGCAGTACTGTGCGTCAAACTGCAGGGAATCTCATCATTACCAAGACTGAAGCTGTCACCTGAAATTTGAAAGTACAATGATTCACATTTTTTCTTTGTTAAGCAGCCAAAGCTGTTGAGAATCCATGATCTAATGGGACCTTGCTCTGACTGAACACGACAACAAGGCATCAACAGTCTACTGATTACATCCTGTTTACTACACCGTGCAGAGTAAGGCCACCACAGTATTTAGTTTATTTTTATCTGTTTGGTATGAGCTAATATTTTTTTCTTTTCATGAAATTCAGCGGAAAGACCAGTGTCTCTTCGTCAACGTTTCTAATTCCTAAACCAAAAATTCACAACTGTATGTCATAGCATTTAAAGGCGTTTTAACATCGCTCATGCAATAATAACCGCAGCATTAGACAATGGTCTTATTCTTCTCGTCGAAGATTATGAGAAAAACTGATGGCATCCAAAGGGTAATCCTAAAGTTGATTAAATGTAGTCGCCATTACACTGCTCTTGGCCCTGCGCCGACCACTGTCCAGGTTAAATGAGGGCACGCTTAACGGCCACATGAGGAGATGTGGGCTGACTCTTTCTGCAGTTTACTTGAGCACCGGTCCACTTTTGTTTGACTATGTACACTCAGGCTGCAGCAAAATACAGATAAAGCACCCAAGAGTTCCACAAGCCTAGTTTTAACAGGTCAGTAGAGAAATCAAAGTTTATTTGTTCATTTTGGTCTCAGTGTTTCAAGAGAGAAGCGCCAACACATGTAAATTAAAGAGTGCATCACACATAAACAAAAAACCCACTCAGATTAAATACAGGAGAGCTGTATTGTCTAGTTGCAGCTAAATTATTGATTGATTTATGCTGTGGTTGTCCTTTCTGTTCAAACCAGTCTATTACATTGAACCAGAAGAATGCTTCCCCATTGTAGGACAAGTCTACAGTGCTTCTAATTTGCATGGGAGACTTATCAGTTTTATTTGTTGTTGTGAAGTTTTCTTTTATATGTGGCAATTTATTTAGATCCATGGTGTATAATTAAGTGCCAAATGAGAGTTTTTAGTAATTTTTTTCCCGGAATCATAGCTGTGAAGTAAAATTTATCCCCCATGTGTTGGCATTTTAAAGCCAGAGCAGCAAATTTTGAACTCCAAGATGCCTATGGTGCAAAATATTCTCCCGCTAAATGCAACATGAGGTAAAATCACAGAGCGAAAGCAGCTCTTGAAGTCTTCTCTTCAGAGCTCTGCGCCTCGAGTACGATAAAATGTTCATTCAGATGCCCCAAGAGTATCAGCTTCCTGTGATAGTCAGACGAGATTGGTTTTCTCCAAAAACACCCTCCCACTTATCCAAAGAGGAAAACATAAGCCATCATTTACCACTGCAACATATTATGGTAGCATTCTCATAGCTAACAGGATAGTGTGTTTACCAGAAGTGGGTTAAATGAGGTACATGTTGATAATATTACCCACCGAGAATCCGGGTCAGCTCAGTGTCTTTGTTGAGAAACCGGAAAGGGAACCAGCACAGAAGCTTTGCAGTCAACTGCTGCAGATGGAGTTATCTGTATCGTGTAATTTTGCTCAATTTGAGAAACTAAAACCCAAACACTGATGTTATCATATGTAAGACATGTGCTCTCTATTTGGAAATGTTTCCAAGCTTCACATTCAGAGAAGCAGATTCACTATTGCACTATGCATGGATGCGGCATGTATGTATTCCACTGATTAGCTACTCAGGTCCAAGATGTAGGTGTCAACTTGACAATCACCAAGTGCACTTGAAAGATTTTCTGATTTTCTGGTAATTGCATCACAATTTCACTTAATTTTAAGCAACAAATTCTGTCAGTTTTATGCTGACACAGAAATGGCTCCACGGTTTATTTTCTCAGAAAATTCTTCCCTTTCAGCGGTTAATATGGTATATTTTGATGAGGTCGACATACTGTACAGACTGTGGATTGTGTTATTATGAAAAATAAAAATGTTAATAGCCAAAATCTTATTTTGAAGAAACATTGATTTTCCAATACAACACCTGGAGTCTGAAGGAAGTGGTGTTTAGTGAGGCAGACAGCTGCTGGTATCCTCTGGTCCAGAAATACTGTTGTTACCAAGTCCCAATTGTTATGGCAGTGCCATGGGTTTATGGACATGTGCTCACAGTTTACACACCTTCACCACCAGCTAACTCTGTCCTGCTCTCCCTCTTCTTTGGTCCACTGAGTTCAGTTCTTCCTCTGTAAAATCCAGTTCATAAAGGTCTCTTTTTGTGCCTACAGTAAATGGGGTGTCATTGTTGTTGTCAAAATCACTCATTTAGTTTGGTTTCCTGAAACCTGATAACTGATCTGTGCTCTACAGGCAAATATGTGTGTATGTGTTGCACCATAAAGTCCAAAATAAGCCTAATTAGGTTGTAAGGAAGGCCCAGTCTGCTGTGGTTAACAGCTTAGCTTTCGTGCTGGTTCTCTGACTGGTTCCTCAGCAGGAGGGGGCTGAGCTGACCAGGCTCTCCTGTGGCTAATACACTCACTATTGACAGGTACCTCATTTAACTCCACTTTAAAAAGCAACAAGCTATCCTTTTGACCAACATTTTCCGCCCTTCGTGAAAATTCAGTCCAGAAATGGAATCTTCCAAATAAAAGTCTTACAGCATACAGATATTTCTTTTAAAACCGCTCAACTGCTGTTCATTTATAATTATCTCACACATGTATATTATTCTGCTCCTTTTCTCTGTTTAACAGTGACAACAGTCGTGACAATAGAGAATTAGACATAAACAGTCCCCAGCTGTTTTCTTGGAGTGTTTTCAGTCAGGAAAGTTTCTGCAGCGCATTGGTTCTCAGTGAGTTCAGGCTGATGCCAACTGACAACAGAGAGGCTCCAATTTGCTCTCAGCATCTCCTGTAGCTGCACTTTTGTGTCGGCATGCATCCCGCCCATCCTCCCACAGTGATGCCAGCAACACAAAACAGTTGTGTTAGTAAAAGTGCAACCAGCAGTGATTTACATCAGCTAATTAAGTTTCACATGAGCAAGATGCTACGGTATCACCGGTAAGACAATTTCTCAAATTCTCATTATTCCTATCACGAAATAGTAAATATGGAATTAACAGGAATTTGGAGCAATATCAGATTTTGATTATTTGCAAGCAATCCAGGCCTTTTTTTACACCTGATTCTCACCTGTTTGCTGTTGTTGAAAATCCACTTTCACAGAACCTGCTGTTTCAATCTCTCCTCTTCACACTGCAGCTCGTGACTTTCTTTATCTCTTCTTTTCTTCCCTCTATGACTCTTCCTCTTCTCTCTGCTGCTTTTGTCTTACTCTGCCCATTGATTTACCTCAAAGCCAGACCAGCTGGCTTTGGATGCTACCCTTCGAGCCCTGAGAGGCTCGTCTTCTTCACACCCTCTTCTTCCTCTTGTCCCTTGGTCTCTCTGCCGGCAGAGAGCGAGGGTTGCTGTGGTTTGAAGGGAAGGACCCCAGATGGACATAGACATGTCAGGCATGCGTTATGTGATGGGGCTTGGCTCACGGCTTTCTTGACCAGCCACAGTTGTCAGTCACAACTCTGGAAGGTGTTGAGGGTCTCTCTTTGCTCTCGCAGAAGGCTGGGAATAATTGAAAAAACTATCTATAACATATGTTCCCACAACAAAGTAGACTATTTTAGAGAAAATGTGCATCTGTTAGGTGGGATTCTGCTCTGTAGTCTGGTTTTAGGTAAAACAAGTCTTTTTTTTTCATACATTCAAACACATTTTTAATCACCAGGATCAAATGTTCATGTTAGGTTGGTTATAAATAAAGGAGAAAACTTGTTTTCATCATGATATGGTAAACAATTTATTTCAACAAGTTGCAGCAACATGCCAAACGACGGTTTGTTCCAGCACGGCTTTGATACGCGACAGCTGGCATTTCCAACATTGCACCAGACCACAAATAGACCCAGACACTCTTTCTCTCCAATTAAAAAAAAGGGACTAAAAACACCCCGTCTCAAGCTGCAAGCTTTATTAGGCTATATAAGTCAGGTTTGATGTACAACACGATAGTGAGGGAAGAAAATAGATGTTTATTTTGCAAATGAGAGAAGCATAAACAGATCAGTGAGTCACACAATTTTCTGAGACATCAATCTGACCACGAGCTCTGAAATAACATTTAATTATCTGAGGCTCATTAAAAGAGCCTTTCTGAAAAGCCTTCATCAATCCCTGTTTCTACATTTGCTGCACAATAGAAATTCAGTCCTGGGAGCAAGTCTGCCAGTGCATGCCTGACTGAGGTTTCACTGACTTTTGTGACTCTGGTACATTAAATCACAGTTTCTGTTGATGGCAAACTTCAAGGATTACAAGCGGAAGGTTTTCCAACCAGGAGTGAGTGATAAAGGGAAGTTCTTGAAAATGTGTTGATTGGGTTGTTAAACGGTTTCTCAAAGTGACAAAGTTCTCCAACTGAATCCAACTGAGACCGCAAAACTCCACCAACAAAGCTGTATCTGAAGGGACCTTAACGATGTGTTAGATAATCAAGATCAAGATCTAAAAATACTTCTTGTGTCACAGTCTGGATCACTTCTCCCATTACCCACT